GTTTATAAACTTTTCTATACACTCATTATTTCAAAATGAAATTTTAAATATAATAATATGCCACTGTGAGCTGTTCCCATGCAGTTACAGGTACCTGGTGGCTTGGCACAGAGACATTACAATAACGACCAACCAAATACTTGTTATTAAATTAAATTTATTGCGGAAACTTTCACCGGAATAACCTGCATTTTCTTACAATTAACAATTAAAATTTATAATCAAAAACATCTTTTGACTGCTGAAATTAGGCAAGAATATACTGCATCTGCACTGTATTTTTTAATAAGACTGATTCAGCAGTATCATCAAAAATTCTTATTTTACAACCAGTGGCGGCCCGTGACATTTTGTTGTACAAATGACGTTTATTTTAAATAAACCTCATTTTTGTTCAGCAAGAACCACGTGAAGGTCAACCATATCGGTACAATTTCTCACCGTAATATCCATAACGACTAAATTGACATAAATCACCAAGTTCAATTAACTAAACCCACAGAATAAACCACTTACAAAAGAATCATAAAATAGACAAACTCATAGAAAAAGAATAAACAAAATATTGCGTAAATAACCACAGATTTGTTCTTTAAACAGTTCAGAATTTTATAACCAAAACAAACATAAAGAAGAAATCTGTATTTATTTTATTGGTTACTGTGATGGCTACAAGATGGCGATAGTGTTAAAATATGTTTATTTAGAATAGAAATATAATTTCGATTAAATCGATTTATTATAAGAAAAATAATACCATTTATTATTGAATTTTGAAAAACGTGTAAAGTATAATTTATCTAAAATTCCGCAACAGTGTTTCCACAACACCTGCTTATTTCCTTGGATGTAGGCGTGCCTGCCTCGCGTATGCTAATACGAGAGAAGGAGACAACTATGATATTGCATTGTAATAGAACGAGACAACAAGGCTAACGCCAATCGTGAGTCTAAATTAGTTCAGGCATGCTTCTGAGCCAATCATCTAGCTATAAATATTAGTTTAAATTGCGGTCGTTTCAAATTCAAATAATTTAAATGTTACTGAGTATTCCACGTATGAAATCAATCAATTTTATTGACTATTTCACAATTCATGTAATCCAAATATTAAAAATGTATACGAGCCCTAACCACATAATGTTCGGACACTTCATAATTTATACAGAAATTTTTTTCGTGAATACTATCTCAAAATTATTAGAAGTTATGAAAAATTCAGCTTATTTTGGCATATACCCCTCGAAGCGATTTTTATTTTTAAAAAGTTTACCTTTTATTTTTAGCTTTTAAAAAAAGGCTAACTTTTTAACTTTTTTTTGCATGAGTAAAAAAAGTTATAAATGGGCCCATTAAAAAGAACATAAAATATTATACAAACCCTGAAAATTTGGTAAAAGTTGTATAAATAATAAGAAAGTTATAGCGATATATATATCTGCAAAATCTCCCGTTTCCTAAGAAAATTGCAAAAACTCTTTAAAAATAGCATTTTTAAATTACTTATACTTTTTTATAACTTATTTATTTTTTACCAAATTTTCAGGGTTTGTATAATATTTTATGCTCTTTTTAATGGGTCCATTTATAACTTTTTTTACTCATACAAAAAAAAGTTAAAAAGTTAGCCTTTTTTTAAAAGCTAAAAATAAAAGGTAAACTTTTTAAAAATAAAAATCGCTTCGAGGGGTATATGCCAAAATAAGCTAAATTTTTCATAACTTCTAATAATTTTGAGATAGTATTCACGAAAAAAATTTCTGTATAAATTATGAAGTGTCCGAACATTATGTGGTTGGGGCTCGTAGTATATTATAGAAAGTAAAATATTTAAATTATACTTAATTTTTTAATTCTCTATGATGAGGCACTGCCTCCCCTGACGGACCGCCACTGTTTACAACAATTTTTACGAATTTTTAAAAACTTAGCCTTATGACTTATTCGTCAATATTTTTTGTTTCTGACCTTCCTTATTAAAACCATCGATAAGGGATCACTATTTTATTTATTTTAGTTTCGTGATTTGACTTTTGCACGCGTTTAGACAATATCCCTATTATAGTAATATATTACCTGTTTAAATAACAGACATAAATAATGTAAAAATAGAGATATAAATGTTTTTAGATAGTAAAATCAACAAATTTATTGGCTTTAAAAAAGTAATAGACTTTATAAAATAAAAATAAAAAAAGTTTTTATTTCTATACAGGGTGTTATGTAATTAATGTAATTTTTGTTCTACATTCTAGGTTAAAAATAATTTATAATATCCTTTATCCTACCAAAAAGTACGCTAGGAACTTCAGGCTAATCTGGTTGCCTAATTTAATTTATTATGCTATGGTTGGTAACAACCAGCGTTTTCAGATTCTGTCAAAAAAGTTGCCAGATTTTGTTTAAATTTAGCCTAATTACAAAAATGACATGTTTTTATTAATTGTTGATTATGTTTGTAATAAAGGTAAATTTAAACAAAATCTGGCAAACAAATTTTAGTAACAATTTTTTACAACAGTTACTGGCAACTATACCCTGTATAGTTCCCATGTTTAAAAAGACATTTAATAAATAATAATTTTTCTTTTTTTAACTTAATTAAATTAAGTTTACAAAAAGGTTAATTAAGTATTCCTAAACATACAAATTTTATCGACTAAACACAAAAATAAATTATAATCAAATAAATTTTAACTTTTGAATATGTTTATTAGACGTAAATTAGACACGAAAAAACCCTTGCTATTTTCGTCGGAAATATGATTTTTTTAATTTTCATAATAATTATTATAACATTTTTGCATACATACAGTGCATAGTGCGTTGGGAAACATTACAAAGTTACTAATATGGAATGACCCATATATTTTGTGGTTGTGCCAGTGCAATATTTATCTTGATCATCGACAACATCTTACCTTTTAATTAATATTTTGCCGAAGACAGGTCCATATTAAATAGCCTTACAAGATTAAACTTGTAATGGAAATACATTGTTTGTCGCGTGGGTTTTCGACATGGACTGATTACGGAAATGATTGTGTACCGCAAAAACCGCAGCTGATAGCTGCGGCACGCGGCAGCTGACTGAAAGCTTGCTGCAAACAGGTTGGTAAAAATAGCATCGTTTGTATGATAATTTTTTATATGAAAAATGCTGTTTTTGAAGAAATCTAAAATATCTATCAACGGTTGTGCCACTTCTGGAGCAAAATCAACATATAAATCTCCAGTCAGAATTTTTTTATTATATTCATTATATTACTTTGTAGACCAATGTCTTAAAAAAATGTACATCGAAGTCACCACCTACCTTAATGGTACAACATAAAAATCATTTCAATCTGAAAACCACAATACTTTAAAAAGCATAATGCATAGGTAACTAAATTATGTCAGTCTATTGTCGATGTACACGCAACAGCGGTATTAAGAGACATTTTCCACGGGTAAATCGATTTTTGTTCTTGAAAACGATTACGAAATGCAGGACATTAAAAGAATTTGTTACAAAGTTTAAAAAATATAATGGATTATAATTTATTTTTAAGGGTAAAAAATATTTTTGATTACATTACGCCATTTTATAAAACGTATTTTAATTAGTACACCCTTAAAATTTCACCAAAATCGCATTAGATTTGTAGAAGTTACAGTGCTTCAAAACTTAGCACCATGGGGTTAAATTTTAAAGCTCTGTAACTTTTGCAAGAGTTAACCGATTTTGATGAAATTTTTTAAGGTTTATTAAATAAAATGCACTCTTTACAATGACATTTGTAAAAATGCCGTATTTGTGTTGGTATACCCTGAAAATCAATCACATTAGTGTGTAATAAAACACAGTTTTAAACTATATTATTTATTTTTAATTGTTTCTACATTTAATACTGCTAACAATAGTTACTTTTCTATACATATAAAATATATTGTATACCTCCTAATAAATATAAGATTATTTATTTTGTAAGTTTTTAAAACTAAAAGTTTTGCTTTTAAATTTACAGGGTTTTAAAGTTAATTTCTAGAATTAAATCAGTCTCAAGTTTTCTTTTTTTTTAACATTTTTATTATAAACTCAATAGAATAAATTGATTCCAGCAAAAAGGTAAAAAATTTGTAAAATGTAAAAAACAATACGTTTTTTATTACAAAAAATCAAAAGGATTTGTGCTACATACGAACAGAGATAAGAAATGATTTTTTTGTAAAATCTGTTAATGCCATTTTATTGAATGTATTTTGGTTTATATACCCTTAAAATTTCACCAGAATCGCATTAAAATTGTAGAAGTTACAGTGCTTCAAAACTTAGCACCATGGGGTTAACTTTTAAAGCTCTGTAACTTTTACAAGAGTTTACCTTTTAGTGAAATTTTTAGGACGATTTATTAAATACAATGACATTTGTGAAAATGTTGTATTTTTGTTGATATACCCTGAAAATCACATTTATTTTGTAATAAAACACAGTTTTAAACTATATAATTATGTATATTATTTATATTTAATTTTTTTTTACATTTAATACTGCTAACAATAGTTACTTTTCTATAGATATAAAATATATTGTATACCTCCTAATAAAGTTAAGATTATTTTGTTTTTAGTTTTTAAAACTAAAAGTTTTGCTTTTAAATGTACAGGGTTTTAAAGTTAATTTGTAGAATTAAATCAGTCTCAAAAGTTCTTTCTTTAACATTTTTACTATAAACTTAATTTATTAAATATGGGTTATTCCAGAGAAATGGTAAAATATTTGTAAAATGTAAAAAAACAACAGAGATATAAATGTTTTTTTTTGTAAAATCTGTTAATGTTATTTTGTAGAACCTATTTTAATTAGTATACCCTTAAAATTTCACCAGAATCGCATTAAATTTGTAGAAGTTACAGTGATTCAAAACTTAGCACCATGGGGTTAACTTTTAAAGCTCTGTAACTTTTACAAGAGTCAACCGATTTTAGTGAAATTTTTAAGGTTTATTATATAAAATGCGCTCTTTACAATGACATTTGTGAAAAAGTCGTATTTTTGTTGGTATACCCTGAAAATAATATTTATTATCATAAAAAAATCCCGGAAAATAAAAATAAAAAAAACAAAAACAAATAATTGTTTACCTTTTTACTGGAACCACCATATTTATCAAAAATATCTTCAAATTTTTTAAGCAGTATCCATTCACAGATACTTAACTCAAAGTCCTATGCACCGTAGCCTTGGTCTCGAACGAACTTCGGTTCTCCTCGTTTGTGAAAGTCCTCCTTATCGTCGGCAAACTGTTCCTGTACTTGAAAACGTCGTATTCCGGATTTCCTCTGGGCTTCATCTTGCTCCCGTACCGCAGCAACCTGTTGGACTTGGATTCGGGCGGCAAGATGCGCAGAACCGTGTCCAGCAGACGGGAATGCTTCTCGGGCGACGTGGGGTTGTTGATTATTATCATTGCGTTGTGCTTTCGCTCGAGCGCGGCGTTCTTTTTCATGAGCTGTTTGGCTTTTTTGTTGAGCAAATCTTGAGCTTCCGGGTAGTGCGATAGGGCTGCGTTCAGGTCCGCCTTGCTCAGCACGAAGAGGTTCGAGTAGCCTTGAGACCTAATAGAAACATTTTTCATGTAAACCCTAAAAATCTATACTTTCGTGTTACCTGACGTCCGCAGTTCTTCTATTCATTCCTTGTATACCCAATAGACTTATTTCTCCAAAAACGGATCCTTCAGACAGTGTAGCCAGGACTTCATCGTTTCTAGTACCTATAACCTGGACTTTACCGGACTGTATTATGTACATTTCTTTCCCAACGTCCCCCTTTTTACATACTATGTCTCCTAAAAAAGGTTGCTGTGTAATAGTAATCATCTATAGACTGAAAACAGCATCTTGGATTGATGCAGTCTACTCTTTGACGTGGGTTTAATCCCACTTCTGATGCAAACATCAGAAAATCGGTTCAAACGTACAAAAAAGTTGTATTGATCATCTAATCAGTGAATTTTATAAAAATTTGTTCATGGTATAGTTATTTACGTGTCAAGCTTTGTAAATGAATATTTCAAATTTAAAATGTGACATTTTATTTCATAAATTACTTTATCTACTCCTGCATTGGCGAGCTGTGACTTTATTGCGTTTTAGTCACTGGATGAAATTAACGCCACTTTTTTCTAATTTGTATTAGAAAAAAGTGGCGTTAATTCCGTTGACATTTGACAGATGTCGGATGTTTAACAAATAAAATTGGCTTTAAATTCTGCTTTGTGTTCGTCGTAAATAAAGTGTAGTATGCAACTCGTTTTAAAAACTTATTTAGACACTCGTTTTTATTAAGCACTCGCTTGCAAGCTTCGCTCGTGCCTAATAAAACTCGTAACATTTATAAAACTTTATACATAATATACTATACACAATCTGCGAATAGTTTTACTTACATTTACTAACATTTTTTCTATACTTAGTACCAAGGGGTTAGTGAAAGTGTTAACTTTTAAAGCATTGTAACTTTTACAAGATTTGGTCGATTTTGATTTAATTTTTAGGGGTTATTAAATGAAATACGCTCTTTACAGACAGAACTGTTGTTAGTTTAAATTACAATCTAGATTGTGATAATTTTAGCTTGTCAATATTTTGTAAAAATTTTGGCACATCTGTGATCATTGTCCTAAAATGATGTCATTATAGATTGTCGTTATTTCTGGCTTGATAAAACTAAATGACTAGATAATTGTTTATCATTTTTACGTGTTATTTAAAGATCCTGTTTTTGTAAATTCTGCTAATGGCATTCTATAGAGCGTATTTTAATTAGTATACCCTTAAAATGTCAAAAAAATCGGATTAAATTTGTAGAAGTTACAGGCTTTCAAAACTTAGCACCATGGGGTTAACTTTTAAGGCTCTGTAACTTTTACAAGAGTTGATCGATTTTGTTGAAATTTTTAGGGGTTATTAAATGAAATGCACTCTTAACAATGACATTTGCGAAAATGTATAATTAGTATTTGAAGCTACATTCCTTTAAAACTGATAAGTGGATTTTATGAAAATTTCTATAATTTCTTACCTGGTAAATATATAACTGACTTGAGCTGCAAAACTAATTCCCTCAACAGGGCTTCATCGCAATCTGCAAATAGTTTTACTTTACTTAAAGTTTGTATATGTACATTTATGGCAATGTCTGTCTTCATTTTATGGGGTAAACAATCCATTATGGTGTTTTCATCTGGAACCAAAAACACCCTGTATAGTGTAATTAATATTATTGTAACTGCAATAAATGTCAACTTGCAAATATTGAACCATTTAACTACAGCATCACGCAATGTTAATCGTTTTAAATACTTTATTTGTTCAGCTAATTGTGTTTTATGTTGCTAATAAAATGTATACCGTTCTTACCGAGTGTATGTTGCGTTTCCCAAGTATAGTTGAACCACAGTTGGACCCTCCTCTGCATATCTTGCGGCAGATTTAGTCTCCTCATGTACTCCAAAGTTTCATCAACAAGTTTCCTGTACTCCGTTTTGCTTCTCTGAGCTGTAGAAAAAATATCCCTTATTTGGCCGATTAACAGGGCGAAAACGAAAACCCCCATCAGCCAAGAAAACGTCATGAACATGTACTCGGTTTCTTGAGTCGGTTTCGGATTCTTCCCGATGCTTGTAGCGGTTTTCGTGGCAAAATAAAAACACTTTATGTAGGCGCTACCATTTCCGCTGAAGACGAAATTATTCTTCCCTATGCCTTCCCAAGCGGAAAAGGCGTAGTAGGCGCAAGCGTTCAAGTGTATCAAGTACATCATGTACATTAGTGTTCTAGTAATTCTGATCAGATATGGATTCGCTAAGAGTTTGTCCACAAAACTGAAAAACTCCCAAAACGTGTGCATTTTGAAGAATCTTGGTACGCGGAGTATCACGAAGTCTGGACCCAGTAAAAAGTACAGTAGGTCCAGGGGGAGCAGCGATATCAAATCCAACTAAAAAATGTTTTTTGTTTGTTTGTATGTGGTATTTAATTATCAATTCTTTCGTGTTCCTCACCAGCATCGATAGATAGCTGTTTCGTTCTATTGAAGCTCATCAGTATCGAGACGAAAGAATTAATAAAAATTATGAAGTGAAAACCGATAGTCAACGTCATAACTTACCTTGAAATGTTTATTCTTAACATAGTTCCTGCTAAGCAACTTCACATCAGTCACCCAGAACCCTTCGTGTAAATATTTAACCCTCGGCTGTATTAAAATCATATCCACTACGTAAACAAAGTCGCCTATGTAATCGAATGCCATCCAAACCGCTCTATTATCTTTGGTCTGAGTGGGGAACGTACTTCTCAGCGGAATGACCCATGCGTTGTACAAAACGGCCATGGCGGCCAACGACATCCACGTGATGTAGGTTTTGGAGTTCGGGTCTATGATTTTGCCCTTTATCCTACTTACAAGTCCCCGGTTTGTTTTGAATATGGTGTCTTCCTCTTCGACATATTTGTCGGAGAAAGATATGCTCAGCTTTGGTTTTAGAGGGGTTTGGTCAACAGTTTCTCTGCTGCTTATTGACGACGGAGTTGCCGGAGCATCTATTTTTTCTCTCGCAGCTTGAGCACGGGACGAAAACGCGTATACAAGGTGTCTTATTCGGTCCTGTATGAATTGCTCATTTCTAAAAAATTTAGTTTCTTTTTAGCTTAATCATTGAGCGAAACATTGCTCAAAATTAAAATCCTAAACCGTGTTTTTAATTTTGGACCTTATAAGAAAGCTGCTAATGCCATTTTATAGAGCGTATTTTATTTAGTATACCCTTAAAATTTCACCCAAATCGCATTAAATTTGTAGAAGTTACAGGCCTTCAAAACTTAGCACCACGGGGTTAACTTTAAAGTCCTGTAACTTTTTACAAGAGTTTATCGATTTTAATGAAATGCCATTTTATAGAACGTTTTTTGATTAGTATACCCTTAAAATTTCACCAGAATCGCATTAAAATTGTTAAAGTTACAGTGCTTCCAAACTAAGCACCATGGGGTTAACTTTTTAAGCTCTGTAACTTTTACAAGAATTAACCGATTTCAGTGAAATTTTTAAGGTTTATTAAATAAAATGCGCTCTTTACAATGACATTTGTGAAAATGCCGTTTTTTTGTTGGTATACCCTGAAAATCACATTTATTTTGTAATGCTAACAATAGTTACTTTTTTTAGTTTTGCTTTAAAATTTACAGGGTTTTAAAGCTAATTTGTAAAAGTTCTTTCTTTAAAATTTTTATTATTAGCGAAATGGTAAAATATTTGTAAAATATAAAAACAATACGTTTTTTATTATTCATAAAAATGCACTTAAAAAAATACAAAAGTATTTTATATCATTTCCTGATCAGTACCTAACATTTTTGTTTGTGCTACATACGAACAGAAATAAGCCTTGTGTGATTTTTTTTTTGTAAAATATTTTTATGCCATTTTATAAAACGTATTTTAATTAGCATACCATAAAAATTTCACCAAAATCGCATTAAATTTGTAGAAGTTACAGGCCTTCAAAACTTAGCACCATGGGGTTAACTTTTAAAGCTCTGTAACCTTTACAAGATTTGATTGATTTTGATGAAATTTTTAAGGGTAATTAAATAAAAAACACGCTCTTTACAATGACATTTGTAAAAAAAGTAGCATTTGTGTTGGTATACCCTTAAATATGGCATTTAATAGAAGCCCTAAGCTTGTTACCAAGTTTGAATGTTTTTGTAAATTCCGCTAATGGCATTCTATAAAGCGTATTTTAATTGGTATGCCCTTAAATTTACACCCAAATCGCATTAAATTTGTAGAAGTTACATTCCTTTTAAACTTAGCACCATGGGGTTAACTTTTAAAGCTCTGTAACTTTTACAAGAGTTCGTCGATTTTGATAAAATTTTTAGGGGTTATTAAAAGAAATATGCTTTTTAAAATGATATTTGCGAAAATGTGGTATTTTTGTTGGTATACCCTGAAAATGGCATTCTAAAGCTTAGTAAATATTTACGTGTTATTTGAAGATCCTGACGATCCAGAGTTTATCCTATCACTATTGTCACTAGCGGACCTATTTTCCGTACAATGAGATCTGACGCTTTGCTGAATATTATTCGTGTCATCACATCTTGTGATATTATTGCTATCCAGTGGTTCAGTGCACCAAGAACTTTTCGAAGCGGCCAGAGGCTTTCCACCCACCTGCTTCAAAGATATTCGTTCCGGGTAAACCATACTCTAAAAGAAATGTTAATCACTCGCAAGTCGCAACTTCGACATGACAGCAAAGGATCAAACTAAACTATAGTTCGAGCTGAACACTTATGACTTGTGGGCAATTACTTTAAGTGATTGTCCTTACCTTTTTGAAGCGCTGGTAAATGTTTTCCATTTCGGTAATGGTCTAACACGGAGCGTTGCGTGTCATCAGCACTGACTCGATCTTCTTTGGACGGGACTCAGAAACCAATGAGAAGTGAGGAGCAGGACCGTAGTCCTGCACAAACGCGGTCCCGAATATCGATTGGCAGGATAAAACAGCTGCTTTCTCTTAGGTTGCAAATACTTCGAAATGAGCTTGTATTGTAGTTGATTAAAACTATCATAACATTCGCCTACGGATCTGCGTTTTATTATGTTAATACAGCAGTTTATTACTTAAGTAAACAGTACACAAAATCGATATTAAGATAATACATATAACTTAATTTATGGGAGCTATTTATTAGCTTTGGATAATTATAATTAATGCATCGTATCGCGTTTATCGTTTCCTATTAGGTTTATTAATTGATATTGAAAATGGTAACCTTAGTCAATGATATACATGTGCTTCTTTCATTACAAAAAAAATTGTAATTAGATTAAAGTTATAAATGTTACTCTTACTACATACGAACAGATCTTTGTCTAATATTTTGTATAATCTGTTAATGGCATTCTATAAAGCGTATTTTAATAAGTACCTACACACTTAAAATTTCACAAAAATCGCATTAAATTTGTGGAAGTTACAGGCCTTTAAAACTTAGCACCATAGGGTTAAGTGAAGTGGTAAAATTTATAGGGTTTTATTTTTAAAATGAAAACTGTTCTTAATTGACATTTTTGCGGATTGAAATAATACAATTTACCACCTAATACCACCAAATTGCTCCAAATTTGTAGAAGTTGCAGCCCTTTAAAACTTAGCACCATGGGGTTAATTTGTAACTTTTAATTTTTTTAATTTTTAAGGTTTATTAAATGAAATGCGTTCTTTACAATTTCATTTGTGAATATGTCGTATTTTTGTTGGTATACCCTGAAAATTAATTATTCAAACTGTTCTTAATTGACATTTTTGGGATTTTAAATAATAAAATTTATCACCCAATATCACCAAAATTGCTTCAAAGAAGTTGCAGCCCTTCAAAACTTAGCACCATAGGGTTAACTTTTAAAGCTTTGTAACTTTTACAGGAGTTAACCGATTTTAATGAAATTTATAAGGTTTATTAAATGAAATGCGCTCTTAACAATTACATTATTTCATTAAAAAAATTGCTATTAGTTTAAAGTTATAAATGTTACTTACTACATACGATAATAGATCTTTGTATAATCTGTTAATAGCATTCTATAGAACGTATTCTAATAAGTATACACTCAAAATTTCACCAAAATCGCATTAAATTTGTAGACGTTACAGGCCTTTAAAACTTAGCACCATAGGGTTAAATGAAAACTTTTAAAGGTCTGTAACTTTTACGAGAATTAATCGATTTAGACGAAATTTTCATGGTATATTAAATGAAATGCGCTCTTTAAAATTACATTTGTGAAAATGTCGTAATTTTGTTGGTGGCATTTTAATGGAAGACCTGACAAATTAATTCTGAAGAACTGTAGTTAGGATTGGGGATGAAAACGAAAAAATAAAATATAATTAGTTACTAATAATTTATTTAAATTGAGTAAAAAATTCACAAGTATAATAATAACTAATTTGAAAACAACATAGTATGAATTATTAAATAATTTACAAGTTTTAATAAGTTAATAATAATAATAATTATAGAACAAATATAAAAAATGCATTAAATGCGAAAAAATTAACTAAAATCAGTACAATTTACAATAATTAATAAATATACATACCACTAAACAAAATTAAAGCAAATTTTCCAAAAACAACATGGAACAAATCTCAAGTAAACGAGATTTTTTCTACCGAATGTTCATAGTTAAAATAACTACTTACGAGTAAGTATAAAAATAAAAATGCTATAAAAATGAACTCCCACGTTAAACTAATCGTCCTACGTGGTTTTTATCAACAAAAAATTGCATTAAAAAGCTTAAAACTGAGGATGAAAAATTTAAATTTTTCATCCCACTGAAAACAGCGACAAATTAATTAAATGCCCTGAATTACTGAACGAATGGCCGTATAAATAAAATAAAATATTTACACTGTACAATTTAGTTAATGTTAGTTCTTAACATTAACAATAATAATAATAATAGATAAAATTCTGTAACGCTAAAAATATTAATTTTATATATTTTACAACAGTTAAAATGTCACTCTTTCGAATTATTGCTTAAAATTAGAACCCTGCAGTTCACTCATTTCAATTGTTAATTTCGGCATTTTTGCGTACTGAAAATGTTGGATTTTGGACCATATTTGGGGGGTTAACGTTTTCAGCGCGCAAAAATGCTTTTTAACATTTGTACTACATACGAACAGAGCTGAGAAATGATGGCATTTTATAGGGCGTATTTTTGTTAGTATACCCTTAAAATTTCACCCAAATCGCATTAAATTTGTAGAAGTTACAGTGCTTTAAAACTTAGCACCGTGGGGTTAACTTTTAAAGCTCTGTAACTTTGTAGAGAGTTAATGGATTTTGATGAAATTTTTAGGGTTTGCTAAGTGAAATACGCTCTTTATAATGACATTTGTGAAAATGTCGATATACCCTTATTTAAGGCATTTCCCAGCGCTGCATACAGACACAACTATTTGTGGTTTAAATTACATAGATTGTCTATTACGTTTTAATCTAATAAAAAAATATTTAGTTCAATAAAATCTTTCCGAAAATGCCCCCTTCCCGAACATTTCCCCTTTAATCTGCCTCTCCTGGTTTGGTGTTCCTTTAATTTTTTTAACATTAATTAGCAGTCTTACTTATGAGAATCTTTTGGGTGAATCTATATAGTCGTTATATATAAATTGTTTTTTTTTTATTTAAATATATATATTATATTATTTTGTGTGTATAAACTTTAAAAATATTAATAATAATAATAATCAATAAAAAAAATAATATGATAAAAATCTCTTGCTTACGGTAGAGATTGGGAAGCTTTCATTTTAAATAGGTCGGATTTTTTGGCGGCGGTGTTGCCACGTCGAACGTGCTAGGAGCCGTTCGATTCGCTCGTGATACAACGTCGCAAAATCGAGTTGTCGAGATTCATGCGCGAGGCCAACAGGTAGTTGTCGTCTCCTATTGGAGCAGCTCTAAAAATGAAAATTTTAATTTGTTAAAATTTTCTTTTTTTTTACACCTCGCCATAGTTTTTTGTTTTGAAGTTCAAAACAAAAAACTTTGGCGAGTAATGGGTCAAGAAAGTTTCTTAAAGAAACTAAGAAATATTTTTTTTAACTAAAAACTGACTTACAGGCTTCCGTATTTGGTGTTGCGGTCCAGCGTTCTCTTGTAGCTCCTGTGCCTGGATTCGATTTGGTAAGCTGCGTCTTGCAGCTGCGCTAGAACTTTGGCGATCGGCTCCTGCGCAGGGTTGTCGCGCAGCATTTGCAAAGTTCGGTCGAAGATGTCCAGATGCGCGACAATGAGAGAATGTATGCGCTGCAGGTCTCTTTCGGGGTCTAGAGTCATGTGATAGTTGCCGTCGCATCGAGACACCTCTCGACAGCCCGGCGCCAGTTCGTTTGGCGATTTGCAACTGAAAGATTATCATAATCTAATAATGCCATTTTAAAGAGCGTATTTTTGTTGGTATACCCACAAAATTTCACCAAAATCGCGTTAAATTTGTAGAAGTTACAGCCTTTCAAAACTTAGCACCATGGGGTTAACTTTTAAAGCTCTAACTTTTACAAGAGTTGACCGATTTTGATGAAATTTTTAAGGTTTATTAAATGAAATGCGCTCTTTACAATAACATTTGTAAAATGTCGTATTTTTGTTGGTGTGTTCGTTTGGAAATTTGCAACTAAAAAATTATTAACATCTAATAATGCCATTTTAAAGAGCGTATTTTTGTTAGTAGACCCAAAGAATTTAACCTAAATCGCTCCAAAATTGTAGAAGTTACAGCCATTCAAAACTTAGCACCATGGGGTTAACTTTTAAAGCTCTGTAACTTTTACAAGAGTTGACCGATTTTGATGAAATTTTTAAGGTTTATTAAATGAAATTCGCTCTTTACAATGACATTTGTGAAAATGTCGTATTTTTGTTGGTATACCCTGAAAATTAATCTAAACTGTTCCTAATTTACAATTTTGCGAATTTTAAATATTTAATAAAATGTACCACTCAATATTGCCAAAATTGCTTCAAAGTTCAATAAAGTTTTTATATTGCAAAAGAATATCCATGGACAAGAAAAGTCCAACATATTCTTGTAAACCTCTGTTAGGAATTACAATTTTAACTCTTCCCTATTTGTACATATTAAGTTTAGTTTTATTCATTTTTGAAAATAAAAAAGATATTTTAACACATATATGTATACATAACATACTCAACAAGAAGCCAAAATCAGTTAGTTTTGCCATTTTCTAGGCTCTCTGTATGTCAAACGTCTTTTAATTATATGGGAATTAAATGTTATAATGAAGTTATGTCTATTGTGTCTTGTTGTAAAATTTCAAAAATAATAAATATAATGCAGATTGCAGACTTTGTTTTTACAAAAAATATATTATTCTGTGGAAGAGTTTCTTAGTGTTAATTTTTAATTAACTTATTTAATTTTTAATAAATTTAGTAGTAGGTACATAGTGTTTAAACATAATTTCTTTATTTTGTAATTTTTTTTTACTAGTCCAATATGTTGTATGGAATTAAATGCGGCAAAACTCTGTGATCAATAAATATTATTATTATTATTATAATTATAATTTGTAGAAGTTGCAGCCCTTCAAAACTTAGCACCATTGGGTTTAGTGAAAGGTTAACTTTTAAAGGTATTTTAAATGAAGTGCGATCTTTACAATGACATTTGTAAAAATGTCGTATTTTTGTTGGTATACCCTGAAAATTAATTATTCAAACCGTTCTTTATTTACATTTTTGCGATTTTAAATAATAAAATGTACCACTTAATATCACCAAAATTGCTTCAAATTTGTAAAAGTTGCAGCTCTTCAAAACTTAGCACCACGGGGTTAACTTTTAAAGCTCTGTAACTTTTACAAGAGTTGACCGATTTTGATGAAATTTTTAAGGTTTGTTTAATGAATTGCTCTCTTTATAATGACATTTGTGAAAAGGTCGTATTTTTGTTGGTATACCCTAAAAATTAATTATCCAAACTGTTTTTATTTGACATTTTTGCGAATTTTAAATAATATTGACCAACTAATATTTGCGTGTGAATTAATGATTTTAAATTAAAAAAATACTCACCACAACCAGTTGCCATTAATAAACGCGCAAGGGTGGTAATTCTTCAGCCTGTTGGCATTCGTCTGGCAAATTTTGTTCAGCAAATCCACCCACTCCTTTTCCTCGACGCAATTGGCCGCCTGCACGTACAGCGCCCTCTGCGGCTGAACTATTTGAAACATGTTCTTCATTTTGAAAGAGGTCTCGGCCAACCTTTCCACCGCCAAAATGTCCGACAGCGGTATCCGACAGAGGGCGTCGCGCCCTGCAACAACCGTACCGGTGAAATGCATGCAACCAGCTGCGGGCGGAAGCTTTTCGTGGGAGCCTATGACACAGACAAAACGGAACATGCAGACTGGATGCAAACAAACACGTAAGTGCAAATGTTAGTGACGTATGACAAGCGCAATTTTGGTCGAACACCCTTATAATTTCACCAAAATCGCATTAAATTTGTAGAAGTTACAGGCTTTTAAAACTTAGCACCATGGGGTTAACTTTTAAAGCTCTGTAACTCTTACAAGAGTTGACCGATTTTGATGAAATTTGTATGGCATGTTAAATGAAAACAAAAAATATAAAAAAATATTCTAAAATTATAAAAAATAAATACACAACCAAAACAAAGAAAGAAAAGTCTTAAGGAAAAAAGTATTAATTAAAGAGTTAGTAAACATAAACCATGCAAAATTTAGATAATATTTATTTTATAGAGCATAATTTAATAATTTCAGCAAAATCGCATTAAATTTGTGGAAGCTACAGGCTTTTAAAACTTAGCACCATAGGGTTAACTTTTAAAGCTCTGAAACTTTTACATGAGTTTATCTATTTTGATGAAATTTCAATGGAATATTAAATTAAATCAAATAATATAAAAAATATTCAAAAATTAAAGAAAAACAAATCCAGAAACAAAAAATCCAAAAAAACAAAGAAAAAAACTGAAAAGAAGTATTTATCAGAGTTAGTAAACATAAACCATGCAAAATTTATTTGCAATATTCATTTTATAGAGAATAACCTAATAATTTCAGCAAAATCGCGTTAAATTTGTAGAATCTACAAGCTTTTAAATCTTATCACCATGGGGTTAACTTTATAGATTCATAAAACTTTTACAAGATTTTATCTATTTTGATGAAGTTTTAACGGTATATAAAATGAAATCAAATAATATAAAAAATATTCAAAACAAATCCAGAAACAAAAAAAAAACAAAAAAAGAAGAAAAAAACTTAAAAGAGTTAATTAAAGAGTTAGTAAACATAAACCATGCGAAATTTATTTACAATATTCATTTTATAGAGCATAATTAAATAATTTTAGCAAAATCGCGTTAAATTTGTAGAAGCAACAGGCTTTCAAAACTTAGCACCATGGGGTTAACTTTTAAAGCTCTGTAACTTTTACAAGAGATGATCGATTTTGATGAAATTTTTATGGCATATTAAATAAAATCAAATAATAAAAAAATTATGAAAAAATCAGAATTACTCACCTCTATTTTTGGAATAACTCAAATCGTGAGTTGTCAATTTAAAGAAGCGCTGCTTGAAATTTTTCCTTCCGAAACGTTTCCTACCCTGAGCTCTTTTTATCATAAGTCTAAAAAAAATATTTCATGAAATTTTGGATTTTTTTAATACAAATTTTACTGCATAAAACCTTACCTTGTTATCTCTCTATATAGCAGCATGTTAATAGAATAAATTTATATAAAAAAATTAAACAATATAAATTTTCTTACCCTTCTTTTAGCGTCACAGGCGTGTCATTGTCAATTGTTTGCAGATTCGAGGTATTGGCCGAAACAATTTCCAAAAACTGTCGCATCGCCGTCCGATGACTTTCCGTGTAAAATTCTTTGTAAACTTGTTCCATGTATCCTTCCTTACAGACCTGCTGTATGGATCTACAGCTCACCAAGTTCCCCAGGGACTGGATGGTTTTCGATATTAACGTTAGAGTGCGGTTTGTTTGACAGTCCTATGAAAAATGAATTAAATCAATTTTTCATGATTATGATTTACAACTTTAATTACATTTTTTGTCATTTTAAAGCGCGTACTTTTGTTAGTATACCCTTAAAATTTCACCAAAATCGCTCTAAATTTGTAGAAGTTACATCAGTTTAAAACTTAGCACCATGGGGTTAACTTTTAAAGCTCTGTAACTTCTACAAGACTTGATCGATTTGTATGAAATTTTTAGGGTTTATCAAATGAAATGCGCTCTTTACAATGACATTGATAAAAATGTCGTATTTTTGAAGGTATACCATGAAAGTAACTTCTCGGATGGCGCTAATAATTTCTAAACGAATCACCCGAAAACCATATTGTTAAATTATTTTGAGAGTGTTTTATAGCAAAAACGATTTGATTATGCTTTGATATTAACGTTAGAGTGCGGTTTGTTTGACAGTCCTGTAAAAATGAATGTATTCAATGTTTAAAACAATGATTGTCAAATCTGCTAATGACATTTTAAAGGGCGTATATTTGTTGGTGTACCCTTAAAATTTCACCAAAATCGCTCTAAATTTGTAGAAGTTACGGCACTTTAAAACTTAGCACCATGGGGTTAAGTTAAAGGGTTAACTTTTAAAGCTCTGTAACTTTTACAAGACTTGATCGATTTGTATGAAATTTTTAGGGTTTATTAAATGAAGTGTGCTCTTTACAATGACATTTGTGAAAATGTCGTATTTTTGTAGGTATACCCTGAAAGTAACTTCTCGGATGGCGCTAATAATTTCTAAACGGATCACCCGAAAACCGTATTGTTAAAGAATTTTGAGAGTGTTTTATAGCAAAAATCAATTTGCTTATGCTTTGATATTTACGTTAGAGTGCGGTTTGTTTGACAGTCCTGTAAAAATGAATGTATTCAATTTTTAAAACCATGATTGTCAAATCTGTTAATGACATTTTAAAGAGCGTGTTTTTGTTAGTGTAACCTTAAAATTTCACCAAAATCGCTCTAAATTTGTAGAAGTTACGGCACTTTAAAACTTAGCACCATGGGGTTAAGTTAAAGGGTTTACTTTTAAAGCTCTGTAACTTCCACAATACTTGATCGATTTGCATGAAATTTTTAGGGGTTATTAAATGAAGTGTGCTCTTTACAATGACATTTATAAAAATGTCGTATTTTTTAAGGTATACCCTGAAAGTAACTTCTCGGATGGCGCTAATAATTTCTAAACGGATCACCCGAAAACCATATTGTTAAAGAATTTTGAGAGTGTTTTATAACAAAAATCGATTTACTATTGTGGTTTGTTTGACAGTCCTGTAAAAATTATGTATTCAATTTTTAAAACCATGATTGTCAAATCTGTTAATGACATTTTAAAGGGCGTATTTTTGTTGGTGTACCCTTAAAATTTCACCAAAATCGCTCTAAATTTGTAGAAGTTACGGCACTTCAAAACTTAGCACCATGGGGTTAAGTGAAAGGGTTAACTTTTAAAGCTCTGTAACTTCCACAAGATTTGATCGATTTGTATGAAATTTTTAGGGTTTATTAAATGAAGTGTGCTCTTTACAATGACATTTGTGAAAATTTTATATTTTTAAAATTAACTGAGCATTTTACAGGTTTTCTTAAATATTACGTTTACATAAAACTTACTTTTTTGATGGTGTGTTGGAAAAAAGAGAAGAAGAAAAACAAAAGATTTAAAATGGGGCAACAAAATTACAAAAAAAATTTAGATGGTAAAAAATGGATACTCACAATTTGCTGGGTCGTGAGGTCGAACAGCTTGGGCCCCAGGATGGCGGGCGCGAAGAACCTCAAAAAAATGAACCCCGAGATGACCGAGTAGCGTACGGCCCTGTTGTCGGGAAAGTAGGCGAGCGCGCACTCTTTGAGGTTGTGGAAAATCTGGCACATCAGTGCCGGGCAGTGGACGGCGCTCTGCGTGATGGCGTCGAATATTTTCTGGATGTAGCCCTTCAGCGTTGCCATGTTCTGCCGCACGGTGTTCTGGTCGGTGACGCGCGTCGGGTCGATCTCGCACGATTTTCGCTCGGTGAAAATTTGCTCCAGCGTCGGCCGGAGGGTTTTGTGCAGGTACTGGAGTCCAATAAGGCGCATCGCTTCGTCCATCATTTTCGAGACTAGCGTGTTGCCGCGAAATATCGTCGTGGGGTCACTAAAAAAAATTAATGATTTTGACATTCTTAATGTGTTTTTTAGGTATGATATTGACTTTCTGAAACGTGTTTTTGACGTTCTTGAGTTGGTTTGACATCCTTAAAAATGATTTGGACATTAAAATTTTGTTGACGGCCTTAATATGATATTGACATTGTAAAACGTGTTTTTGACACTCTTGAGTTGGTTTGACATCCTTAAAATGATTTTGACACTCTTAAAAATGTGTTTTTCCTTGTAACATTTTTTTGACAGTCTAGGCATGTTTTCACGTTTTTAAATATGTTAATGACATTCTAAAATTTGATTTTGACAAACTAATAACTTATGTATATTGATATTCTTAAATATGCTTTCAACATTCTGAAACGGGTTTATAATCTACTATATTCTAAAATGTGTCTGTAACATATTCCTAATATGTGTTTTTCCATTCTTAAATATCATATTGACATTCTAAAAGGCATTTCTGACATTCTTGAGTTGGTTTGATATCCTTAAAATGATTTTGACACTCTTAATATGTTTTAGATTCTTAATATGTGTTCTCAAATTCTTAAATTTGATATTGACATTCTAAAATGTGCTTTTGACATTCTTGAGTTAGTTTGACATTCTTAAAAATAATTTTGACACCTTTAATATGTTTCACACTTAACATTCTTTTTATAGAGTCTTATTATGTGTTTTCAAATTCTTAAATATGATATTAACATTCTGAAATGTGCTTTTGACATTCTTGAGTTAGTTTGACATTTTTAATAATAATTTTTACACTCCTAATATGTTTTACATTTTTCAATTTTTTGAATGTATAAATATGTGTTTTCACATTTTTAAGTATAATATTCTAAAATGTGCTTTTGACATTCTTGAGTTAGTTTGACATTTTAAAAATTATTTTGACTCTTAATATGTTTTACACTCTAAAATTTTATTTGAGAGTCTTAATATGTCTCAATATATTGACATTCTGAAATGTGTTTTTGACATTTTTAATAATAATTTTTACACTCCTAATAGGTTTTACATTCTTCAATTTTTTGAAAGTATAAATATGTGTTTTCACAAGTATGATATTCTAAAATGTACTTTTGACATTCTTGAGTTAGTTTGACATTTTAAAAATTATTTTGACTCTTAATATGTTTTACACTCTAAAATTTTATTTGAGAGTCTTAATATGTCTCAATATATTGACATTCTGAAACGTGTTTTTGACATTTTTACACTCCTAAAGTTTTACATTCTTAATTTTTTTGAGAGTATTAATATGTATTTTCACATTCTTAAATATGATATTGACATTTTGAAATGTGTTTTTGACATTTTTAAGTTAGTTTGACATTCTTAAAAATAATATTGATACTCTTAATGTGTTTTACACTCTTTGAGAGTCTTAATATGTGTTTTCACATTCTTAAATATGATATTGACATTTTGAAATGTGTTTTTGACATTTTAAAAATAATCTTGGCTCTTAATATGTTTCACACTTAAATTTTTTTTTTGAGAGTCTTAATATGTGTTTTCACATTATTAAATATGATTTTGATATTCTAAAATGTGTTTTTGACATTCTTAAAAATAATTTTGACTCTTAATATGTTTCACACTTTGAGAGTCTTAATATGTTTTCATATTGTTAAATATTTTATTGACATTCAAACATTTTTTAATGAAGCTAGATTAACAATGAACCAAATTAAAAACAAAAAACTAGACCTTCATTAGCGAACATTTTAAATTAAATTCCATTCTTACTACCGGCAATTCATTAGCTGCATCAAGCTTTCATTCATCACTTGACTCACTTCGACCGTGAACTTTACGTAGCACAATTTTTTAGTTAATTGCTCTCAATATTTTCACAAAAGCCTTTAATGGCTAAAACAGTAGTAGTCGGCAAGAATGAATGTAACCGATGACTTATCCATATTGTTCCACATGTTAATACGTAATTACCTCGCTGTCTTTTTAATTAGTTTTTATTTATTATTAGTCATTTACCGATGACGTGTCAAAAACAATGAGTAAATAAAAGATTTTTTTGGTTAATTCGGCCAAACTAATCACAGGTGTCGTTCTGGCTATCGATTAGTTGGAACAGTTGGGTTGTGTGGGTTGTAGCGTTAATAAAGTACATAATTGAAAAGCGCACCTAGCGGGGCGGCCAAAGGGGCGGGCGTGGGCGCCAAAATTAAATCGAGCGACCCACTGACTTAACGAAAGACGAGGATGCCAGCGTTTAAGAGAAATCCTTCGGAAATGCGTAGGCGGCCTTGTGCTAAGGTAGTCTTCTGTTTTTTACAAATTTTCGCATGAACTCTGGCACATGGTACGTTTGACACATTCTGGTAGTCGTTAACTTATTTTTAAAGTAATCACTTTTCGTCTCATTCAATAACAAATATTACACGGTGCTGTTCTGAGAGGTGATTTTTGGACTTTCTGTGAAACCTATTTTTTTATATTCTTGTTAATTAGGTCATAACTAAAATTTTAAGAGCAAAATAAAAAAAATTTGACGGTTAATTTTGTTTTAATTGGATGTTTATTAAAAATATGTATGCACACTTTCAATTCTCCAATTAAAACTTGCGATTTTATTTAAATATTATCATAACTTTTTAAATCAGATTAAAGATTAGTTAATTTCCTAAAAAAGGTCTATACATTTTTTATATCTTTTACGGTTTTGTTGTAATACAAGTTTAAAGTTTTAATTTAAGGTTAAATGTATAGTATACATTTATTAAACAATAATTCTAAGGGTGCCACATTTTATTTAGGGCCGATTTATTCATTTTTGATTTATTTGACGAATAATTTCTTTGGATACTAGATATTGCCAAGACATGAAAGTTATCGGCCCGATAAACTTTACTAAAGATGAATAAACCGGTCGTTAGTTAAATTTCATGAATTTCTTCGTAACTTTTACTACAATTTTTCATTTTTGTTTATAAAAAACACTTAAAAAAACTAAACAAAAATTATAGAATACGTATACTGAAAATGACAATTCAAACATCAAATAAATTTTTAATAGATCTAAGTTTCATGGCAACCTTTAAGGATATATTAATAAAGGGAACATAAATGTATACGTCAAAGGTTAGATTAAAAGTTTGAACGTTTATTGCAACAAAACAGTAAAATTTATAAAAAAAATTGTAAAAACCTTTTTTTTAGTGCATAATATTTTTAATAAACAGCCAATTAAAACAATTCAAACCGTCAAATTTTTTTTATTTTGCTCTTAAATAACAAGAATATAAAAAAAAATTAGGTTTCACAGAAAGTCCAAAAATCACCTCTCAGAACAGCACCGTGAATATATTGCCTACCTACGAATTGTAATACGGGAATTCGCCTAGCAACAGTGTCATGCGTGTAGGATTTAATTCCACATAAAATTTCATTCATAAAATTTATCGAGTAAAATTTAGGATTTTAGTAAATACCTAGTTAAAAAAAATATAATTTCTAACAAATAAAACGAGTCCATATACATTATTTGTATTTTGTGTGTTGGATTATTACTGGGTCATTGAAATTTATTTTTATAACCACCGACAAGTTTTTAATTTTTTAGATGCGGAGGTGGGCACCACGCATATTGCATTTTAATGTAAATTTTTAATTTAGTAGACAAAACTGAGACTAATATTGTAAAATAGAAGTGTTTTTACTATATTTTTGTTCACGTTTTTTATAATATTTGGAGAACAAACTATTTTTCCCCCAAATATGAGAGTCCTAATATGTCTCAATTTATTGACATTCTTAAATGTGTTTTTGACATTTTTAAGTTAGTTTGACATTTTTATTAATAATTTTTACACTCCTAATGTTTTACATTCAACATTTTTTTGAGAGTATAAATATGTATTTTCACATTTTTAAATATGATATTCTAAAATGTGCTTTTGACATTCTTGAGTTAGTTTAACATTCTTAAAAATTATTTTGACTCTTAATATGTTTTACACTCTAACATTTTTTTTGAGAGTCTTAATATATTCTGAAATGTGTTTTTGACATTTTTGAGTTAGTTTGACATTTTTAATAATAATTTTTACACTCCTAATATGTTTTACATTTTTAAATTTTTTGTAGTATAAATATGTAAGTAGGTGTTTTCACATTTTTAAGTATGATATTCTAAAATGTGCTTTTGACATTCTTGAGTTTTACACTCCAAAATTTTTTTTGAGAGTCTTAATATGTCTCAATATATTGACATTCTGAAATGTGTTTTTAACATTTTTGAGTTAGTTTGACATTTGTAATAATAATTTTTACACTCCTAATGTTTTACATTCTACATTTTTTTGAGAGTATAAATATGTGTTTTCACATTTTTAAGTATGATATTCTAAAATGTGCAAAAAAGTTATAGGCTATTTTTGATTGACGCGCATTTGACAAAATTTAACGAATAAAATTAAAAATTCCAAAAAATTCAGAATATGGTGTAGTAATTTCATGTAGAATTTAAAAATGTAAAAATATATTATTAAATAGCAAGATATTATTAAATTGAATTAATTAAAATTTTCTCATACATAATAAGTGTCGCAATTATTTTCACAATATTTTTCCACTAAGATACCCGAATGAAAAGAAAAAATCTCATCCTTTGTTCATATTCTCTAGTGTTTTCCTCCACAATTAACCCAGTTTTTAAAGAACGCCAAAGCAAATTAGGAGATGTTGCCAAATCCACTTTCTACTCTCAAGTGATTGCTTTGTTTTTCCCAATTAAATGGCACTTACGCTGCTCTATTGTTTCTAATTATAAGTACATTAAGTGCAGAAAAAAATATTAATTATTAGTAAGGAAAAACTTACGTGAGGTTTCCTATTTCAACATTGGCTAGCTCTTTGATGATGGGGACGATTTCTTGGTGGTGTAAAAAAACTCTCACCAAGGGTTGTGCTATGTCCAATTTATTTATAATTTCACCTAATATGTACACCGACGTCGCTGTTATAGGCTGAAATAAAAATAAACCTGTTATTGGTCCCTGATCGGTCGCCAAACCCCTTTTTTAAAACTAATCGTTTTATCTTGTTTCCTATTGGTCGCACAAAAAAATTTTTGAGACAAAAAATGAAGAGCTTGAAATTTTAAACATATTTGTTTTCAGGCAAAAATTTCTGTATTTGGTTGCTAAGAAGATATAGGGCGCCAAAGTGAACAAAAATAGTTTTTTTATAATTTGACTTTGCAAAATTGATTGACCATTAACATAAAACATAACATAAATAAAATAGGGTAAGTTGTAGTATTAAAACAAATTACCATACATACAGGATGATTTAATTTTAATATTAATACATTAATATGGCCGACTTCCCGGATTCAGCATCAGCATAGAGATTAATACTTACGCACGTACATATACATATAAAAGAAGAAGTATTTAAATAACCGGCATTTAATTTTAAAATACTTATATTACGGAATTTCCAATTAATTGCAGGACGTACCGCCGGAACACAGCACTTATCCAGTTGAATTAAAATACAGTGTTGTACGCGTTATCTAATACAATTTTATGCTTTGTTTTAATTTTTGTTTGGTCTCATTTTTGTAAAAAAAATTAGTTATGGAAGCAAAAAATTTGTTTCATTAGTGCCGGGTAGCAACAATTGCATTTTAACGTCGACTTCAAATGCTTGTGATAAAATTTTAATTTGTATTGGTTTTGAAACTTTTTATATGGCATTCTTTAGCATCTGGTTCGAATTTAAAAATAGATCGAATTTCCACATCATTGCTTACTTAACCAATTTTATTTCGTTAAACATAGCTGTTAACAGTCAAAATTACAAATTTAAGTGGCCTGTAATTAAAATATACACTCTGCGAGTTTATGTTTCTTAAAATACCCGACAGAAACATTTTGGCGCCCTAAAGAAAATGGCGTTTTTCTTACCTGTATGTGGATGCTTTCGAGCAATAGATTTTTGAGGTTATCGTACACGCTGGCGGGAAACACCCTGTCTTCGGTGTACTGCACTTGCAACCTTAAAGAACCCAAGGAATTATCGCCGGAAAGCCTTGTCCCTGGAGGGGTGGAATTCGTTATACTGGGTCGGTTTTTCCCCGATCTGGGCTGTAAAAAATACCTGAAATAAAGAAATTGTGTTAAATATTTGGCGGGATAATTTTCGCTGCAGCGTTGTTGGCGTTGAAATGTGCCAGCTGTTTACACCGAAAATGAAAATATAAGACAGTTTTTTCTTCTTGACAGATTTTAAAAAGGAAATCACGTCTTTTAAATTTTTTATTATTTTTAACTATACAGATTTTAAATTTTCTATTTTGTTATAATTTTTTTAAATTGTATGTTTTTGCAAAAATATTAATTTGATTTTTTTTTTAATTAAAAAAAATAATTTTTATTTTTAATTTTTTTTTTCAGATTTGTATTTGTGATATTTAATAAAACTAAATGAGTCTGACCTACACTTTTATTGTGTTTTTATCCTTCATAATTAAGTAGATATTACAATATTTACAATATTTTAAAAGTCTAAAACCTATCCTCCGTGACTGCTAATCTTTCTAGGTTAACCTATATGCTTTCAAATATTTGAGGTTATAAAAGCATACTAAAAATATCAGTTCACTAAGTAAATGAAACACATCCAAAGCAATCGAATCAAATATAAAATATTATTAAAAATTAAAAGAAATAATTTCTATAACCATTTATGTAGGTGTTTGATTCTATCCTCCGTGAATCTGTTTTTGGCTCTTTAATCATTTTAAATAAGCAAAAACCTCTGTTTACGACATTATAGATGCATGTGATTCCTGAAGGTCAGTTAGAGAGTTAAAAATCTATCCACCGTGAAGTGTAATATCTCAGTAAGTAGATTTTTTTTATAAATATTTTATGTATGTACAATTGGCGTCTCCGAAATGTGAACGATTTTTTGTTGTCATGGATTTTTTTCATAAAATTTATTCGTTCATTCCTGGCTTCGGCCAGTGGTGTTACATATAGAAGGGAGAATACTAAGATTAAGAACAATATCCTAAATAGTTCTATTTTTTAATAATATTTTAACAAACAATAATATAAACAATATAACAAATAAATTAACTTTAATTTGGTTTTATACAACAATATAAATTAACAAGTAGGTAAATACACAATAAAAATAAAATAACTAAATTAACATATTGCTCAAGAAAATTGGTTTTAAGTGAAATAGCTGCAGATTTAAATGTCAGTAAAAGCTGCATATTTTATATAAAAAAAACGTTGGCAAGAACAACAAAGATTGAGAAGACCTATCAGGCAAGGTGTATACACCTATAGGTAAAATCTCCAACGAAAATGAAGACAATGCTCTTGTCGCACTTATTAGGCAAAATCCTTTTAATAGCGCATTTAAGGCCCGCTCAAAAAAGATTGAAACAAGCTGGCTTAAAAAACTGTGCTGCTAAGCTATTTTAATACTTAATTGCAGAGCCATTAGCTGCCACAACCCTTCTTGGCATGGACATTATTAGCTCACGCATGTCGTATGACTATCATCCCAAGAATTTTCAACAGCACTCCATAGTTCATCTCGGTTTGCTCCCGTTGATATATATTTTTAACTATAAAACCCCACACGTTTTCAATGGGGTTTAAGTCAGGGCTTCTAGCTGGCCATGGCAAAACAGTTATGTGGTTGTTGTTTACCCACTTTGTAACCATGCGAGCTGTGTGAACTGGTGCATTGTCCTATAATATAATATTTATTAAAATCGTTTTTGAATACTATACAGTTTTCTGGAAACACATGTCTAACTGAAGGTAGCATAACGTTGTCCAAAATCCTCGTATAGTGCTCAGCCGTTAATAAACCATCAATTTCCCAACATACTCCCGGACCATGGATGCTTATCCACGCCCAAACATTTATGGAAAAGCGTCCACTATTTGAGGTTCTTAATGTATAGTTCTTCTCAAATCTTGGGCGATATACACGCAGCCTTCCATTATTGCAAGATTGGAACGTTTTTACATCCGAAAATATAACATTATTCCAAAAATCGTCTCCATAATTTAAATAGTCATTGGCGAACTGGACTCTCCTGCGCTTATATTCGTCAGTTAAAAAAACCTTATGAGCAGCAGCACAGTTTTTTAAACCAGCTTGTTTCAATCTTTTTTGAGCTGTTCAAAGAGATCCTGGAAATTGTGTATCTTCTCGGGCCTTAACTGCGCTATTGAAAGGATTTTGCCTAATATGTGCGACAAGAGCATTGTCTTCATTTTCGTTGGAGATTTTTCCTACACCTTGCCTGATAGGTCTTCTTAATCTTTCTTGTTCTTGCCAACGTTTTTTAATATAAAATATGCAGCTTTTACTGACATTTAAATCTGCAGATGCTGCATGCAGCTACTTCACTTAAAGACCAATTTTCTTCTAATTTGGCTATTGCCCTGGACCTCTGAGCCTCGGTTAAGTGGGGTGGCATTTTTAATATTGCAATTGACAACTATTATCAAATTTGACAACGACCGACGACACTGATGCAAAACCCATATTACACGATTAAATTTTGCCGTTCACATTTCGGGGACGCCAATTGTACAATTGTATTTTTTAAAAATATTAAGGTGTCAAAAGATACAATTACTTATTTGAAATATACAAAGGGATGTTTAAAAAAACATACGGAATCCTAACCTCCGTGAAGCTATCTTCCGTGAAGCTCTAATATTCAAAATGTATGATTTCTTAAAATTCTTGCATTAGTGCAGAACCACTTATGGTATGTTATTACTAGACCTGGTGGCTTCCCAAAAAACCCATTCTAGACTAACAGTGAAACAAACAAAAAAAAATAACATTTTCACTTGACATCTCAATATATTCTTCCTAATAGATTAAATCATTTTAGCACAAAATGCAAATAACTCAAATTAGAGAGAAAAGAATGACTTAAACCGTGGGTGAAAATTATCATTGTATGGTAGACCTGTACTAAGTGCTGTGGGTGTTTTTGAAAACAATGAAACAACCACAAATGACGGCAATTTAATGTGTTTTACTTTTTTACCTAATTACCTCAATAAGAAGTTTAATTTTAAGTAACGTCAAATTTACAAATACAGTTATGACGTCGCACCACACATACAAGTCGTTTAAATTATAATCAAGATATCAGACGCACTAAAAACTAATTAAACTCCAGGTTGAAATTAGCGCTTTATTTATGGCTTCTTGGTCTTGATTTCGAATTTCGTTGCGGTTTGCGAGGCAAAAAAATCAAATAAAAATAAGTAGACACAGGAAAGATTCGGAAACGCTCTAAAGGGTTTGAAAGAAGGAAATCTTTTGTGCGTCGGTCGGCTAAATTAAGCATATCCGAGTGTACAGCACAACAGGATGTCGACAAAAAAGTTCCCAACACAAGGGTGGCAAATCTACGGCATAAGTGGAGCAACCACCAAACTAAAAATTGACAAAAATATTGATAACTCTTTCACCATTCACAATTAATTATAAGGGTTTTAAAAAACCTGATGATAATTATATATAGAGTAAAAAGAAACATTTATGTTATAAATACCGATGTCATTTTTATTATAGGAAATTCTAGGAAAATATTAGCTACTTTTAGAACATAAAAAAATAAATTGTAAAGAATATCATTCAACAGTAACTGAAATATATTTCTTGGAACATTTAGTAAAAATATACTGTCAAATTTTCAAAATTCTTGTACATTTAAAGAAGAAAAAGTAAAAACAAAAACATAATCTAAAAACCTGTTTTTTTCAAATTTTGTTTACTTAGGGGTGTTATAGTACCAAACTAAGTAAAAGCAAGAAATATGTTCTATTTCTCAACTTTCTTACATACATAAGTATTTTTAATATATTTTCTGTATTTAATGTCCATTAAAAAAGTGAGTTTAAGAAATTTTCTTTTAATGAGTTTTAAAAACGTTTTTCTCAATTTTTAATCTGGGCCCAGCTTGTCCAATTTAACGAGAAATAAATTAAGTAATAAAAAGTTTTAGTCATTAATTAGTAATATTAATAAAATAAATTGTTTCGTTGAACTACCAAAAGTTTTTTTCCAGATTCTCTGAGGCAAAATACATTGACTAGGAAAATTACTATTACAGTAATAGTATTACTATTATTTTAAATTGGCTAAATAACCCAAATATTTGAGTATTTTCGCAAATTATGTCACGAACAAGATGTAACTTGTCCTTAGACTCCATTAGTAACCGTCTTCGCAAATTAAATGGCGTACTACATGACACAACTAATCAATAATTCATGTCTTTAATCACGGGACACACAATAAGTACCAACATACATAAGGTATGCAAAAAATGAAACAAAGAACTCCGTGTACCTTAAAAATCGACTTAAGAGTAACACCAAGTATACTAATGAGAATGGCAATGAATTGTTGAAATGACAATGGAAATAGTATGGGTATTGTTTAAGAATCAATGATCTAATAGGGACTTAATGAGCTTTTTGAACCACGCAATGTATAAAAATTTATATAAAGTTTGAAATTTGAACAATTAACAAATGGTTTTATATATTTAATTATCCATAAACAATGGTTACTTTAAATAAGCAGACACAAACTAAATATTAATTTATAATAATGCACAATTATTATACTACATACATATATGTATATATATGACGATATCCCGGTCATAAGGTCGTATATCCACAACAATCCCACTATTGTATTATAGCATCCTTTTTTTTTACTATAATCTTACCAATGTGCGGTATCATATGTATATTAATTTTTTTATGAATCAGATGGCATATTTTTATTATTATAATTATTTTTAGCGTTACCGAATCCTTAATTAATTAGGTATATTATTATAACAATGAAAAAATTAACATTTTATTGTATTTATTTAATAATAATATGTATTGTTTAGAGAAAAAGGGTCAGCTAATAAAAAATGTGGCATAATAAATTATAAGTATTAATTGTTGTATTCATTAATATTATTTACATTCACATCCACTTTTTAGTAAAAAAAACGTTTGCAGTATTGAATTACGTTGTGATATTTTTAATATTTTTATCGCATCGTGTATTTTGTATTATTTATAGAAGTCAATTTCTTGTTGATTGAAATCTATATTCGGTTCTTAGTACATTGTAATTTTTATGCAAAATGTCAAATCTATTTGATAAAATTATGAATGAACTACATACCTAATTTAGGTATTAATTAATCTATTAATTAATAGTTATCTAATTACCTGTTTTATATGATTTAAAAAAACTAATAAAACAATGTAAAAATAAAATAAAAGTTATTATCTCTAAAAATTGATATCAAAAATACATTATAATTAATATTTTTTATCTACCTACCTATGTATTTTAAAATTGGGTTGTTAAAACTAGAACAAATTTTATTTACCCACTTAATAAACGAACCAACAATAATTCGGAAAAAATCATCCAAAATTCTAGAGAGCAAAATATAATAAAAGTTTCCAAAAAGATGGCACTTAACTCAAAAAAGCCTAAAGTTAGTTAATAAATTGTATTTTTAAGGTTAATTATCTAACTCCCGCCTCGGGAGTGTAGACATAGCCATTTTTAATTCCTGGATCAAGTCAAAGGCTACTATCGTTAAGTCAAATAAAATCTTTAAAATTACACACAAATAACTAATATTTAATCTATAATTGATTCAAAATGAATAAAACTATCTAATAAATTACTTACCTACATTATTTGTTTCATTAAATGTTTGACATTTGTGTGCAATTTTAAGGGATATCATTGGTTTAACGTGAATCAGGTAGTCTGTGATATATAAAATGTCACTTACGTCAAAATTAAAAATTCTCTTTTTACAATTCAAATACAATATATATCGTCGTTTTTTTAACAAAAATAGATATATGATTGATAAAACATTCATTTGTACAAAAATTGGAATTAAAAATACGATTTGTTAACCAACTTTAGGCTTAAGCGATTTTTAGTTGCAGACATACAGTGTTGCCATATGTCTGAAAATGTATTCAATGTAATTGACAAAGTTTTGGCACAAACGCTTATTAGTCTTTTTTCTATGGTCAAAATAGTAAATTTGAGGTTAGGTTTTCAACAATTTTGAAGAATTAAAATTATACACAAATAAGTAATATTTAATCTACCTACAACTGATTTAAAATGAATTAAACTATCTAATAAATTACTTTCATTATTTGTTTCATTAAATTTTTGACATTTGTGTACAATTTTAAGGGATATCATTGGTTTAACGTAAATCGGGTAGCCTGTGAAATTTAAAATGTTAAAATGTCACAAACGTCAAAATTAATAATTCACTTTTTACAATTCAAATAGATTGTGTCCGTCGTGTTTTCAATTAAAATAGATTTATTATGGATAAAACATTCATTTGGACAAAAATTAGACTTAAAAATACGATTTATTAACCAACTATAAGGGATTTTTAGTTGCAGACATACAGTGTTGCCATATGTCTAAAAAGAGAAAATGTTTTTTCCACAATCCACACAATTTGTGGTTTTTTCTAAATAGTAAATTTGAGGTTAGATTTTCAAAAATTTTAAGGAATTACAAAAAATACTATAAAAAGTTAGATTAAAACTTACCATGCATTCTGGTGTGCAGCATTCTGCTGCTGGTTGCCCCTCAACTGCACCCTCACCTCCCCCAAAAACACATCGTCCCCAATCCCAGGCGTATCGTGCCAAATCGACACATTCAACTCACAAATCTCACAATCGCCACTGCACAGCATGGAATCCTTCTCGTCACTGTTAAGAAACTGAAACACCTCATCGAACTGCGGCTCCCTGGTTTTTTTCCTAACCTTAGTCCTCTTGCTGACCGACTTGCCATTCGTGTAGCTAACTTTTACTTGAGCGTACGGGTCGCACGAACCGTTCTTCAGAGTCAAGTCCAAGCACTTGGGGACGCGCACCAGAAGCTTCCTGTTGCTCGTGTAAGTGGGGTTATGTTTGCTGTAGATTGGCTCGAACTTGATTTCTATGTTCGCCTTGCCTTGCACCTCGGAATCCGCGTCCACGGCTTTAATGGGGAACCAGAAGTCCTTGTTGTTGTACATCGACAACTGCTCGCGTTTTATCGCCACTTTCCCCACGATTTTGTCCTGTTTCAGGTGCCTGTCTCTGTCGTAGACGTATATGGATATGAATCTGAAGTATCGAGGTACTTCGAACTGGAACTCCTCCCCAAAAAACGGGCTAAAAGATGTTATTAGATCAGTTTGAAAGTGTTTTTGATGTTTGTTTACCTTAAAGATTGACATACTGTGCTGGTACGAAATATTTCTTCCTGGTCCAGGCTTAGAATGCAATAGCAATCTCTTTGGGTGGAAGAACCCGTCCTGGCCGGTAAATTCTTGGCTTCCCCTAAAAATGACACAACATAAACACATTACTTGTAACCTGCCAAACACCACCTGAAAGTTGGCTGTGCATATGATATAACCAATAAAAATCGCACACCCACGCGTTGCCATGGCAATAACATTATTATTGGTGGGTAATTGCAGAGGTAACTCGGTGATTTTGATTAATAAACACAATATTAGGTTGGTGATCGCCACCTGCAAAGACGGCCGCGGTTGTAGCAGTATAACCAATAAAAATCGCACGTACAAGCGTTGCCATGGCAATAGGATAATTATTGGTCGGTAATTGCAAAGGTAACTCACCGATTTTGATTTTCAGTCGTTCCTCGAGCCTGACGTGAAACGACTCGTCCGCCATGTTTGATTCACTGCTGGAAAAAATGAATGAAACCCAACGTCCGTCGCGCTATTCGGCTCGAGAGCGGACCCGAACGAGACCTACGCGATTGCGGCGTTGCCGCTGCCGCATTTTCTCGCGCTAATCTTGATTGTCGACACACGTGCGTCGTTGCAGGAGGGTGATTTATGAATGAGAGGTGAGAACGTGCCGTGCGAATCGCGCTGCACTACGCAATCGCGCGGTCTGATGAATGAAAATCTACGCGGCGATTTTGTGGCAGGGGTGTTCAGAGTTTTCCATTCATTTTCTTTTGTTTGGCTAAATGGGACACTCGAGCTACTTAACCTCAATTTCAGCAAAACAAAGGATAATTTTGACGTGTAATGTCAAAAAATTTCTAACAATACGAAAAATTATACCTACCTACATATGTATGTTGAATGAAATTATATTCCCATGTCTAGGTTTTGAGTTAAGGAACTTTCTCTGTAATTTAGATTGTAGATTATAAAAAATATTAATAGAGTTGTTACAGGAAATCACAATATGTCTTATTGTTTTAATTATAATTTATAAATTACCATCCCAATAAACTTGTTTGACGTTATTTTCACCATGTTAATATTTTAATTTAACTTCAAAATTTAACTTTTGGGGGATTTTCAAGCATACATACATAAAATATTTATAAAAAAATATACTTACTGAGATACTTCATCTGCATATAAATTCTAAATGACCTTCAGGAATCACATGCATCTATAATGTCGAAACAGAGGTTTTTGCTTATTTAAAATGATTAAAGCGCCATCCGTTGCAAAAAATTTAAAGCAAACACAGATTCACGGAGGATAGAATCAATTTTTCTAACACCTACATAAATGGTTATAAAAAATATTTCTTTTAATTTTTATTAATATTTTATACTTGATTCGAATGCTTTGGATGTGTTTAATTTACTTAGTGAACTGATATTTTAGTATGCTTTTACTACCTCAGATATTTGAAAACATATAGGTTAACCTAGAAAGAGTAACAGTCACGGAGGATAGGTTTTAGACTTTTAAAACATTGTAAAAAATAATTAATTGCGGTTAAAAATTTGGAACCTGAGCTGTAATATCTACTTAATTATAAAAGATCAAAACACATTTCGTGAGATTCACCCATAAAGGTATATCAAAAGCATACACTAAGTGGATTTCCATTCAATGCCAATTCAATAAAAAAACGCTTAAATTTAAATTTCTACAATAAAAAAATATTTACTTAGCCAAGGTGTATTAAAAAAATAATTAACAATTCACAATAGATCGCGATTCTCGGAAAATTCGGTAGTATATAAAGTACAGTTTGGTTTCCTGTTTAAATAAGCGGGGTTTCTTGGTAAAGTCCAACCACAAAAATATAGTCAGTTTCCTTGCCCAAACGTGAGAAAATTTGTGGGGCATTTTTTTCGTTTAAAAAAAATTGATAAGTTATATATTTTTATAAAATTTAAAAATAATATGTTTGTGTTTTGGATTGTTAACCCATTATTTTTATAGAAATAAAAATATTAAACAATATCTCTATTGTATTTAAGATCCAAACAAATATTGTTTTATTATTTGAGTAAATATTTCAATAGAGATAAGAAAGCAATTTCCTGTGAGGATAGGTACTATATTTGTCTATTAAAAATATATTTTTTTACCACTGTAACGATTGTTTTTAAATAAATCCAAAAGTGTAAAAACTCTTTCAAAATTTGTTTACTATAATAAATTTATTATCTTGAATAAATAGGAAGGTATTTAAGTACCTACCTGTAGATAATTAAATTTTAATTTTACCAACTTGAAAAGTATAAATAAATTTAAAAATTAATCTCATTTTAAGGTAAAAACACAAACCATAGACCGGATCATAATGCCATCAAAACCATTCTTACTTTAAGGAAAAACCATAGACATAAAAATAGATAGATAGATAGATGCAACAAAAAAAAATATTTTTTGTAGGATAGCGATTCACAAATTTCTTTTATCGTGGGAAGACAGTTGAATGCGTAGCAAACCCGCTAATTTGATGAATTGTTATGTCTACCGCGTCATTCCACAAAGATAAGGCTCGGTATTATTAAATTTTCTTTTTTATTTCGACACCAATTATTTCGCGAAACAATGGAGGAAAATAATTTACAACGCGTTATGGGAAACAGTCATTAAGAATTTGTTCACATTCGTAACAATGGAGTGGCCCAGTTAACTGTTTTTAAAATTATTAATTATGAAAATTAATTTATAATGTTTACCTATATAAAGTTTAGACTAATGAAAAAAAAATAGAAACATTGTAAAACTGTTTTGAAAAAAAAAGCATACAAATTTGGTAAATTAAAAAAAAATAATCAAAGATGTAACTATACTTGTTAAAATATTTATTTTCAATTTTTCAATTTTTTTAAGAAAAGTCGCTCCTCATAATTTCTTCTGCTTGTTATATAAATAACATTCACGATAAAAAACTTTTATTTTGTTATACAGGGTGCGCAAAAAATACAATTGTAGATTTTTCAAAATTAAAAATTGTTAAATATTTTTTTTAAGGTCTAATATGAAGAGTTTGTTAAGAGAAACCAAAAAGACAATTATTTGTTAAAATTTGAAAAATAATATCTTACATTTTTAATATCAAATATCTTGGTATCAAAAACTCATATGAAAAAACTAAATTAGTTTGACCTACAAACATTATTAAAAATTAAAAGAAATAATTTTTATAACCATTTATGTAGGTGTTACAAAAATTAATTCTATCCTCCGTGAATCTGTTTTTGCTTTAAATTGTATGCAACAAATGGCGCTTTAATCATTTTAAATAAGCAAAAACCTCTGATTCCTGAAGGTCAGTTAGAATTTATATGCAGATGAGAGTGTTGCTATTTTATAATTCAAAAGTTCATTAATTTGCTCCACCGTGAAGTGTAATATCTCTTTTTATAAATATTTTAGGTATGTAAAATTTTATTTTTAAAAAATATTAAGGTGTCAAAACATATAATAACTAAAATGGATCTTTTAAAACATACGAAATCCTAACCTCCGTGAATCATTTTCACTTTGGGACATGTCAATGTCAATATATTCACCCAAATGCAAAACTTTTATTTTTTGCTTCATGTGTTATTTTTAGCTTATTAGTGGTTTGGTTCATTGTTAGTAATAATATTGGTCATTTAATGCAAATTCACTTAAGTGACGTATATTAGAGCACTACTTCGTAAATAAGTAATACGTATGAAATAAAAATATTGAACCGGATCATAAAGTGATTCACTAACGTTTTCTTAGAATGAGTCAATTATTAGATACACATGAAATAGGCAATAAAAACAAATTATACTTAAAAACATCGTTTTAAAAATAATTTGTTTTTTTCTTTACGAGTTTTAATTTTAAATCCCAAAAAGTAGTGAATTATATTTGCTGCGTTGCCAGATTTATTTATGCAACACACGTGTAGGTATAGGTGAACCTAGCAGACCAATTGCGGCAAAACTAAGCCAAAAATCGATGGAGGTGTATGTTGGTAGTGTGGGAGCATGTTCTAGCGTGTTTCGTGGCCGTAATGGAAGACGTCGTCTATGGGCATAAATAGATTTCATTCATAAAAGTGCTTCCGCTCGCCAAGGCACTTCCTTCTCATTGGGCCCGCCCATATCGAATTTCCCGACATATTTTTAAGTTTGACATCGCTTTCGTTTTTAGAATGTCTCGGCAAAGTTCAATAGATATTTAGTTTACACCTATTAAAATTATTATTATTTTTATTGTTTTGGTACTAAATATCAACATTTTATATTTAACCATGTGCACAACATTGTCAAGAAAAAAATTGAAATATTAAAAACATCATCTTAAATTTTTCAATTTCACCACAAACTATAAAACATTAAATAATGTATTCTTCATATTTAATCATAGATTCGAATAATAGCAATTAAAAAAAAATGATAATCTTTGTACTCACTTTTACCCGTCAGTTCTGTGCCCAATGTTAAAATTCAAAATTCCTGCGAAATATTGAAGTTTAAACGTCAAGTCCTCGTTTTAACTCAAGTGTTGGTAAAAAATTACCTACAGAGCCCGCCCTTTGCACGACAGTCATCTTGAAAACAATGCAAGCGGCGAAGTTTTGGTGAATGCACGTATAGTTCCAGTCAAAATTTCAGTACTGTGACGAGTAGTTATTTTCTTACGTATATATACTTCATTGTAATTTATGTATATAAGGCTATATGTGATTTGTTGATAAGTAGCATCCACTAATAAAAAATATCAGTAAAATACTTAATTCCGAATTATAATCTCAAATTTGTATCCCATTCATCAGTACCGTGTCGTCAGTTCCATGTTCGATGTTTCGGTTATCTTTTTTTCGCAAATTTCAATTTAAATTCTGCTTGATTAGATTAAAATATGTTTAAATGTCACATAAATTATGTAAGTTTTTAATATAATACAATTATTTTCAAAAATTTAGCACAAATTGGTCCTCTCACATTTTTAACACCAATTTGTTGAACAAATTCATACAATTATGAAATCAAATCCAAAAAATTTTCGTATGTGCAGGGTGTCTTTAACTTTGGACCGGTCGTAAAGGACTCAAACAAAAACAAAAATAGAACAGAGGCAACGACAAAGACCAAACCAAAACAAAATAAAAAAGTGTGTAGTGTAGTATGGGCACATATGTTTTTTACTACCGCTTCCATACTAAAGATATTTTTAATTTTTATAGGGGATTAATTGTTACTGCCAACAGTGAATTATGTATTTTTTTCTGTCGTTCCTATTTTAAATGCATATTTCATTAAAATAGTTTAAAAATATATTAAAAGTAATAAAATTATAATGTACAAGGAATGTATCTATATATTAAATTTTTGCTAACTTTGAATAATTATAATTATTAAATAATTATTTGCAAAAATGGCGGATGCGCCGGGATAGTGTTACTTTATAAAATCATAAGCAAAAATGCAGATTTTTTAAATTTTTTTTAACCTAAACAGTACAAATACATAAATATATTTAATAAAAAAATTTAATTATTGTTTTATATTATATTATAAATAGATAATGTATTGTAATATTTTGTTTAAACTTAAAGTATTCTATAGGCAACCCATTATACATGTATAGATTTTCTACTAGGTATTCGTATATACTGTATTATTTAATAACATTAGTTTACAGCCATTTTACCCACCATTTCTCACTATGATTTTCTTGTGGAGTTTGGCTCTCTAAACGCGAAAATCACACTTAAATTTTTTTCATGGAAGCGTTTTTGAGATATGAATTTTTCTTTTGTATAGTTTTATCCATGGATAAATGCGAAGTTATGAATTTTTCAGTGGAAGAACAAAATTCAGTTTTTCTAGAATTTTTACGTTTTTTTTCATTTTATTGAATTATATAAAATTTAATATTGAACATTGTTTTTTATTTTAAATATATTAAATGTTGAAATTAAATTAAACAATAAATATTGAACAAATTGTTTAAAAAAATTCTGACTCCTTCTTTGTTTTTTGTTGCTTTCGTATTGCTTTCGTATTCCGTTTCTCGTATGAGGGACTGGTGTAATTCAAGTTTAAAGATTTAAAATGCTCTATTTCAGTCCTTATACACTTTATTATATTACAATGACTTGGCACTTAAACATTACAAATATTATGTACAAAATATCAACTTAAAACTAATTAAAAAATATACAACCAACCACGCATATAATGGAAGTATTTTAGACATTATTTTTAAAGACCTGTTCAAACGGAAAATGTTGAAAATCTTTGTTAAAAATTTCAGTGAACGCTGTACTGACTAAATCGTTGATGAGAGGGCTTAGCATGACAAAACCAGGCTGCCACGCTGTGTTGATTATCCAATCCAACATATTTTCTAAAAAAATTATTCGTTAGAAGATATTCTTTTGAGGTTTCACTGAAATTATTGAGTTTTAACATGTAACACTGTTTTGCTGTACTCACCAAATATGGTCCTTCCTCCTGCCAAATTACCAATATGCAGCTCCAACTTTTTGCAAGTTTGAATCTGTATTTTGGCTTTGATGGGCGGATTTTCTACTTCAACGTCTCTGGAATCCCTGATGGGTTTTCTGGTGGCCGTGGTAGTTTGGGTGTAGTCTATAAGTCTCAAGTCCCATGAACCCTGGTTCTGGACTTTCTGTCCAAAGAATTCACCGCTGATTTCATACGAACCTTTCAGACGTTTATCAGGGAAAAATTGCGTGTACTGAACAAGGTTCTTGTTTAAATCAGACCTAAAAATACAATTTTTAGTTTACTAGTTTTATAATGGTCTTATAAGGTTACTGTAAACTCTAGGTATATAATTATGTTATATAATTGTTTCTACAAACATTTTATATAGCCTTTAGTAACCGTTACCAGTAGGTTTATAAATGAGTTGTATAAGAGTGATATAAACATTTCTGCAACCAAATTAAGAAATTTAGGATTTATAATTTGGATGATATAACATTTATGGAAATCACTACAAAAACAAAAATGTTTATTGAGATATTACCTAAATCTTGTAATTTGTGACTGGGTCCACCCAGATTCAGTAACATTTCTCAAAATTAATTTGTAATTAAAAAAGGGGCCGCTTCTTTTTTGGGGCACTTCAGCAGCGTGGAAAGGGTCCAATGGAAGAATCCCATAGTCGGGGAGACCTATTAAATAGTAACAAAAATATATTATTATGCAATGTTTTTGTTTTATTTTTTTATTTAAATGTTACCTGTAGGGTAATGTGGTCTCAAGTCATTGATGACATCTTTAATACAGCCATCAAATTTGATAGTGTGTGGGAGACATTTTCCAAAATAATTTTCTGATGCTTAAAAATAATATATAATATTAAAAAAAAGTTTTTATTCAACACAAATGCTATGTTAAAACGTATACGAGGTGTGTTCAGAAAATATCGGGAATTTTCGTTTTTTGAAACAAATATTTATTTATTTGTCTACATTAATGTTGTCACCTTCAAAATAGTCCCCATTGGATATTATGCACATGTGCCAGCTCTTCTTCCAATACTCGAAACACTTCTAAAACGGATAGCCTTTAGTTCTTTCAGCGATGCGCTTTTAATGTCATCTATGCTTGCAAAACGACGGCCCTTTAAGGTTCTCTTTATTTTTGGGAATGGGAAAAAGTCAGACAGAGGCATGTCTGGCGAATATGGAGGCTGGGGCATCACTACAGTATTGTTTTTGGCTAAAAATTTTGCTCAAAATTTAACAATTTTAGAACAAATTTTGCTGTCACGCGTTTCATACCCAAAACATTCGAAAAAATTTCATGGGATGAGCCAATCGATATACCAACATCATCAGCGACTTCACTGATGGTTTATAACCATTTATTCCACTTTTTCCATGTTTTTATCGGTTGTTAATGTGCTTGTGCGTTCGGGGCGTTCGTCATCTTCAACGTCTTCACGGCCATCTTGGAAACTCTTATACCACTTATAAACTCTTGTTTTACTTATAGCTTGTTAACATTTCACAGAATTTATTTCATTTTTTAAGCAAATTTGGATACAAATTCTTTGATCCATTTCTTTTAACGAACGAAAAATCGCCGAGCTCATAAAACACGTCTAACCTTAGCGGCTGCCACAGACAAAGTAAACAACGAAAACAGCTAAAGTTTTTATCATACTTCGGGGGCATGTATACCAACATAATAAAGAAAATGTTTTGATAACCGGACCCTCCGAACCCGCGAAATTTAACAATTCCCGTTATTTTCTGAACACACCTCGTATAACTACTGTAAAAGTTATGGCCATTTATTTTGTCACGTGTGCCAATCACAAACTAACTGGCACACCATGAATTGCATAACATTTGAAGAGATATGCGTTCTTATACAAGAAGACAAAAAAAATGTTTTTAGATTTTAATAGAAAATTTAAAAACCTGGTAAAATATTTTTTATATTATGACAAAACTGGCAATATTATATTACATAAAGCAAAATCATACATATCCACAAACTTTATTATAGGTATGCAGTTAAAATTTGATAATTAACGTACCTAAGTCAACTTGACATTTAACAAATAGGGCACTGCATAACACAAATAAACACCGCTTCCACATTGTTTACAACTATTATACAACTCAGAGTTTACAGGAACACCTTAAAACACACTAGTTTTTTCTCTTAAAACATTTTTGTGGACAGTTAGACAATGAAAGTAGCGCTATGGCATTTCGTTCGGTTTTTCGATGATCTCCCACCCCTAATTCTGCGATGTTAAGGAATATCAGGTTTTTAAAATACACTTTCTATAAACTTAATTTTGTTAAGTAATACTTAGTAGTTGTTATGCCTCGCTACCTCAATCTTATTGTAATTTATTTGTCTTGATTATGATACATTTTAATTGCTATATGGGTGAAAATGATTATTGTTTATTTTTGGTTGTTTCACTGTTAGTCTAGAATGTGGTTTTTGGGAAGCCACCATGTCTAGTAATAACATAACATAAGTGGTTCTGCACTAATGCAAGAATTTTAAGAAATCATACATTTTGAATATTAGAGCTTCACGGAGGTTAGGATTTCGTATGTTTTTTTATTACATCCCTTTGTATATTTGAAATAAGTTATTGTATCTTTTGACCCTTAATATTTTTTAAAAATACAATTGAACATACATAAAATATTTATAAAAAATATCTACTTACTGAGATATTACACTTCACGGTGAATAGGTTTTTAAATAGCAAATTAATGAATTATAAAACAGCAACACTCTCATCTGCATATAAATTCCAACTGACCTTTAGGAATCACATGCATCTATAATGTCGTAAACAGAGGTTTTTGCTTATTTAAAATGATTAAAGCGCCATCCGTTGCATAAAATTTAAAGCAAAAACAGATTCACGGAGGATAGAATCAATGTTTGTAACACCTACATAAATGGTTATAAAAATTGTTTCTTTTAATTTTTAATAATATTTTATATTTGATTCGATTGCTTTGGATGTGTTTAATTTACTTAGTGAACTGATATTTTTAGTATGCTTTTACTACCTCAGATATTTGAAAACATATAGGTTAACCTAGAAAGAGTAACAGTCACGGAGGATAGGTTTTAGACATTTGAAACATTGTAAAAAATAATTAATTGTGGTAAAAATTCTGGAACCTGAGCCCTTTGTAGCTAATTTTCTCCAACCCATAGCATAGTACAATAAGTATTTTTTGCTTCTTGGTAAGCATTTTGGGTTTTAAAGTTTTAAAGAAAACATATATTTTCTTTGAAGGTAACCACAAACTTCCTTTCTCATTTCTTCTCATAGCAATCATACCAATAAAATAAGATAAAAAAACCGTGACTTTCACTACTAAGTGGAAATATATTGATGTTGTAGTATATGCTAATTTCTAAGCGTAGAATGGATAAATGCATATTAAAAAATCATGCATAAGAGATCTCCTATTTCCTATAAGGAGAAATTCCCATTAAGTATTTTGCTTTCATATAAAAAATTATAGATACATATATATGTAACTCTTAGGTAATATTATTGATTTTATGCAATGTCATTACCAAAATTATATAAGGGAATTAATTAATTTAAGGTAAATGTTATTATAATTACTATATTTATATCGTAGTGTTAAAATCAATTAAAAAAATATGCAGAGTTCATTGCATGCAATTTAACGGTTTAGTGGTTGCTTGCAAAAAGTAGTTTGTAACTATAATTATAGTTATGTAGAAGCTTATCAATATTAATTGATATACTGGGTGTCACTAAATAAGTTGTCATTATTTAAGATGACAGTAATATCATTCTGTTCTTAAAGATATAAAACTATACTGGATATAAATATAATTATATTTATTCTAAGATTAGTAAATATTGGTACGACTGGCCTATTCTTAAAAATATCCCCCACTCACGAAAGTGTCCGACATTTTGGAAGATTGTTTCTTGTGTTAGTTAATATTTGGTTTGGAATTATGAAAGAGCTGCTAAATTAGTGGAATTTGATAGAATTAACCACCAAATTATGTGTAGGTATAATTATATTTATGTGTGTATTATGTATTGAATTTTAGATGTTGGAGTGATATTAGATTGGCCGAAGAATCACATAAAAAACAATTATGTATATTTTACCTCTGGATTATAGGTACGAATAAAAATTTTGGTTAAACAGGCCAATATAGCCAAAAGCAAACAAAATCAACGTGTCTGAAGGTTTGAAAAAATCATTGCAGTATATATTACATATATATGTAGGTAGATAGGTAAATATGTATTTGAAACATTGTAAAAAAGTTATGTAATAAAGAAAATGCTATAGACCAATATCATTTTTTTCAGACTAATAATAAAAATAGGGTAGTTAAATTTTTTCTGACCTGTACTTTTTATGGTTTTGTAATATTAAACATATCTGTGAAATCGGAATTTCAATTGAGTTTACCGTTTTCGAGATATTTACAAAAAATATAAATTTTTATGACGTCACAAACCTCGCCATGTGACCAACATTCTAAGATTTCTATTGGTTGAAAATTACCCTGTTGTCAAGTTGTCTTGTTAATGATTTCATTTGGTTATGTCAGAAAATACCCGAAGAGGTTATGTACAAATACTGTCACTGTCAGTTGAGTGAAAGATGGTCACCAAATTCATTAAGTACCTATCTTCCTTATTACGAGGTATCATATTACTGTTTGATATTTTAGAGTCCAAGATATATCTAAAAGAATATAAAGAACTAGGCATTATAATAATGAAATGCATTTACGACAAAATATGATTATAATTATAGGTACTTACTTTATTTGTTCAAAAGCTCCAATGTTCAATGTAACCAACCATTCCACAGGATTCCTCTGCTTTGGAGTCCGTTATTAATAAATCACTTATCTAATATCAATTACAAATAACATAACAAAAACATTGATTTTCAATAATCTAAATTTAAAAAAAACATAACCCGAAAAAAAGAAACGTCAAAAAATCAATTCTTCTTCTTCTTCTCAACTAAAATTATAGATCAAGTGGTTTTAAAACTAAAATATTATAACGTGGCGCCATCTATCGTAAGAATCTTAAACTAAACACACTGGCAACCATAGAAAAAGCTGGCAACGTTGTCAAGAGCCTAGTGACGTAATTAGGAGATTTTTTTTGTAAATATCTCGAAAACGGTAAACTCAATTGAAATTCCGATTTCACAGACATGTTTAAAATTACAAAACGCCTTGAATAAAACCATAAAAAGTACAGGTGCTTAACTTACATAAAGATACCTTATATTTAATCCAAAAGTAAATATTGTATCGCCAAGAATTATAACATTTGTATCAAAAAAAACTTATTCTTAAATTAAGCATAGTGTATAATTTATTTGAGGGTGCTTGCATTTAAAATAATATGATAGTTTTTCTTGAAATAAGAATTAGTTTACCCTTGCACCTAACATTGAAATAAATAGTTTTTTTACTAAAATCATATTTTGATTATTTTCTCACCCCGTATAGCGCACATTATCAACTAGCCAAGTTATTAGAGAAGCAATTACAGTGAAAGTTAATATCTTCAATGCCTTGGCGCGATCATTTGACAAGCTAAACTCTGCATGTAAACTTGCATACCGCGAATTGCATTATTTGCAAAAATTAATAAAACCAACCCAAAATGCAATTTCTAAGTGTTTTTCTTACGATTTTTGTGTCGGAGGTATTAACATTGGATATAAACGAAGTGCGTAAGTATCTTTTTTTTTTAAATATTTTTGTGAAATTTTTAATTGTTATGTTTATGTTTATTCGCAATGCTTGCACAATGTACGGTTATGTAAATTTTTTAAATGTTAGTTTGGTGTAAGAAATTTATTATTATGTAAGGTTTTCTATATGTACTAAATTATATAGATAGCGATTTTATTAGTTTATACTGGTTGCACTACATACAGTATGTTTTTTTTATTTTTTAAATTTCATTTTAATACAACATTCATAACTAGCTAATTAATAGACATGCGACAATGTAGAAGACATTTTTGTACAAAAAAAGGTTTTTACGATTTTTTCGTAAAATCATCGATTTTGTAGAGCTTAAAATTTCCTAAATTTTCTTATAATGTAATTTAATAAAATTTGTTGCATGTATATAATTATAATAACTTTCTTTCATCCGATTTTTTACCATTAAACAGACAGGCTTACAATCAGAGAGTGAAAGTATAATTTTTTTGTTTCTCGTAGAAAAGGAAACTTATTAGATACTTTTGTTGAGCGACGGTGTAAAACTGTTTAATAAAAAAATAAACTAAAAAAAATACAGAAATATTTATATCACTCTTATATACCCCTTAAAGAGCTTATTTGGGGAGTTTATGAAGGTTATCGGTACCTATTTTAGTAACACTATAAAACCCAAGTTTTATAACTACACATAACAGGAATATTATGAAAACCACTATATAACTTCCTATATAACTGCTACCGGCTTTTTTCATTTTTTTAATATTTCTCTCTTCCTCAGGCACATTTAAAATATATATTTTATAAAACCTTGTTAAACTCTTATATAATTTGACAACTCTTATATAACCTTTATATAATTTATCGTTACCATACGTAGTGCAAATTGTGTATTGGGATGATTGATTTATTGAGTAGGTTTTCCAAGGATTTAATGCAATTAAGTAATTTGTATGCAGAATTTTTACAAGAATTTATTTATGTCAATGTTAAATTTAATCCTAATGAGAAAATTATACGTTATAAGGCATTTTTGTAGGAAATGCAGTCTTCTACACAATATGAACTTTTTTAGCTCCATACGTAAAACAGTGTTACGAGGGGGACCCAAAAGTCGTTGAGTGTTTTAAGGATGCCCTTTTACATTTGAGGCCCTATCTAAGAAACGGCATACAGGAAATAGAACTGCCTTCAGTAGAGCCCTTCAAAATGGAAGAACTGAGTTTGTCTTTGACTGGAGGACCTAATGGATATAAGGTGTCCTTGAAGGATATCGACATTTTTGGGGCTAGCAACTTCACAGTACAAAAAATAAAGTAAGATTGTCCTAAGATGACCTAAACATTATCTAAATGAAAGTTAATATGTTTTAGACTCATAGAAAATGGCCAACCATTTGAAGGCAAAATTACAATACCCTTACTAAGGATTAATTCGAGATATACAAGCAGTGGCGTGCTCATCATTTTACCAGCCAGTGGTAATGGAACCTTCAATGGACAATTTGGTAATAATGAATTTCATAAAAAAAGTCTTTCAAAATACAGTTATCGGACACTTTATAGTTATTGGACAATTAACATTAATACTGTAAAAACGAGTTCTATAAATAGTTACCTTAAAGTCAAATCATTAGATGACGCTGTATACAATTATAACTATTTCAGTCGGTAATAATATAGGACTACTTTATTTTGGGTCCAATATAGGACAAAAAAGTTCGCACGTTACTTTGGTGGCAAGATTTTTGTTTTTTTCTTAAGATCAGGGCTGTGTTTAAATTACAATAAAAAATACTTCTAAAAGGTGTACAGATCAGTGTGTGGTATAAAAGTGTTCCTCATGGTTTAAACATTGTCACTTTAATACGTTTTAATTTTAATTCTGAAAACAAACAGTAAAATGGCCAGTGTCCAATTACTGGTTGGTAAAAAATGTAAATTTCTATTATTGGACAATGTCCAATGGACATATATCGAATATCATACTCTATATATATCCCGGGCATTTACCAGTCAATTCTTATGTAAAATTGTCCCCTGAATCCGAAAAGATCGTCAAAAACCATAAAAGTTAAGCAGTTTTTGAGATAAAGTCAATTCCATATTATATGTAAATTTGATTATATTTCAAACTTTTATAACTTTTGACGACATTTTGGGATTCAGCGAATACTATTTCATAGGAATTGACTGCTAAATGTCCAGGATATAAATTGCTGTTGACGAGAATTATTAGTGGCTGCTTTTTCGCTATGACATTTTTGACTAATTCATTTTTAGAGAGTAAGTAATAAAGTGATTTCTTCGTCACAGGACATCTTGCAGAATAACAGTGCATGATAGAGAACATAAAAAACTAATGGCAACAAAATTAATAAATTCGGAAAATACTTTTAACATACCACCTGAAAAAATATTAGATATATATAAATCATCCTGTTCCGGCCTAAACATTATAAATGCTTAACAAACTAGAGATACCACACTTAATGATATTTGCATCAAAATATTTTAGAAGTCAGACCAAGGAATTAGTAGTTACCTTCAGAATCCAGAAAACAATTTATGTTATTTGATGTAAAATTGTTATGTTTATATAAAAATTGTATGTCCAATAACTATGGTCCATGTGTCCAATTACTATATGAAAATACTTTTTGTTTTGTTTTTATAAAACTACTTTAGGAATTGTTTTGTATGTTCAGTGTGTATAGGCAATCCAACATCACAGGTTAAGTTGCGTGGGTTGCCTATTAGGGTGGTCATAATTAACTCTTTTCAATAGCATATTTTAAACTTTTCAGATGATTTGAGTGCCTATGTTAAGGGCAAAGTCAGCGTACACAAGAAAGACAATGCAGAATATTTGCACGTAGATTCTTTAAATGTAGACGTGTCAGTAAGAAACGCTAGAATGGCCGTCAAGAATATTTATAAGAACAATAAAATTTTAAGTAAGTATTATTATTTTGCATATTTATTTTTTAATATCTTTTGTTGTATGTATATTTTAGCCCAAGCAATAAACCTCTTTCTTAGAGATAACGGAATGGAAGTGTTCAAAATAATGTTGCCCCAGTTGAGAAAAAAATTATCCGGACTTTTTATGAGCATTTCTAACCAGTTATTAAAAAATATACCTTTACACACATTCTATGTACCTCTTAGCAAACAGACAGTAAACACTACAAAAATATAGGTTCTTTAGATTAAAAAAAGAATAGCTTTAGTATCTATATATATATATATATATATATATATATATATATATATATATATATATATATATATATATATATATATATATATATATATATATATATATATATATATATATATATATATATATATATATATATATATAGAAATGACTATTATTTTTAGGATTTTAGGTATTTATGTTCTTGTATATAGAATTTTTATGTTATGTGATTTGTACCAAATTATACAAAGTGGATAAAATCAACATAGAGTTTGATTTTAAACCATCAAAGTACCCCCCCTCTCTTCCGCATATAAACCATGGTTGAGTTCAGTGTCATGGTCACTTGATGGTGCCGAGGAGGTCACATATAGTCAGTTGTTCTTCTTGGTTCCTTGCTCTTAATTTAGTGGCCATACGATTTTTTACCCACTAGATTTATTATTTCTATATTTAGTGCCCATTAAATTTAGTTTTTTAAGATGTACAAAGTTGTTTTTTTATTGGTTTTAGTGCAGAGTAATTTGGCTGATTATCGTAAGTATACAATTTTTTATATTTATTGCTTTTAATGTATTTAAAAGTTTACTAAAAGAAATAATATTAAATTGTTATATATATTATATTATATATTGTTTTACTTAAAGTATTTTATTGACCCAATTTTATTTGTATTTACAGTTACCTAATTTGCATATTAAAAAATATATTTATACATTATTATATTATTTTATAGTAAATCTTAAATAATTTAACAAATTAATTAATTAAAGTTTTTGTTTTATCACAAACATAATTTTACTTTCACAACCAATTTTTTGGTGGCAAATTACAGCTGATTTTAATCATGGTACTGTTATATACATTGTTGCCAAATTATTTCGCACTTCATATAAATATATTTTTTTTAAATTATTTTTTGCTTTTTTTTTAATTAAACAAAAATATAATAATTATTCAAAATATTCTTCTTTTTGTCGAGTTACTTTGGCAACACTGTAAGCTTTAATGGTGCATTGTCGTATCGGTTACCGTTTTACTGCCTTACCTTTGACCGATTTTTCAATGGTTGAATGAAAGAAAACAATGTACTAATTACAAAATTAACCTTAAAACTTTACTTTAAAGTAAAACTTTTTTTATAGTTTTTTTAAGTTTAATTTATGTTATTTTTACCTATTTTAATAACCCTGAAGTTTCCACTTTCAAGTATTATGAGGGACGTAATTTTAACGAAAGAAAATTACTTATAAGTGTATTTCACCTAAAGAAAAATTTAAGGGTAATTTTTTCTTAATGGTAAATGTTACTCATAAGTCATAATTTAACGATATTAAGACCACTTTATAACCGTAAATAATTACTATTAGCCTGGGATTTTTAGTGGTAATAAATACTATTAATATTGACTAAACAAGGAAAAATAAGCTTAAGGTGAAAAATAAAACTTTTTTCAGGTCGCCATAATGAGTTTTTTAAGATGGCATCCATTACTTATCTAAAGATTTAAATATTATTTTTCTAAAATATAATAAGGAAAGTTTTAGTAATTAAAAAATGATTAAAACTGAACGATTTTTAAAAGATTTTATAAATTTTGTAGGTTTTAAGTTTTGTTGAATTTTCTTAATTTTTTCAATGCAAAATATTATTAGTTTTGACAATTAAAGTCATATTTTTTAATTTTACTCTAGGGTGGCCTTTATTACTTTGTAAGTACCATTTTGTAAAATATACGTCAAAAGAACAAAGAAATTACGATGTCAATGTTTTAGAAAGAGAGAGCAAACAGTTAGTAATTATACCGTTATTTTCACGTAAATTTGTGGTATTTATATTGTTTTTATTACGTTATTCTCTAAGTAGATCAAAAAGGTTATTATGTAGGTAAAATAACAAATTTGGTAATTTTTCGTATCTGTACCGTTATAAAACCGTTTTAGGTAACCGTAAAAAATCCTTGAATATCATTAGCTTCCTTGTCTTGGCACATTTCCTGTACAGTGCAAAAATAGAGATTTAATTTTGTAATGCAAAATATTATTAGTTTTGTAATATTTTTTAATTTTACTCTAGGGTGGCCTTTATTACTTTGTAAGTACCATTTTGTAAAATATAAATTAAAAGAACAAAGAAATTACGAATGTCAATGTTTTAGAAAGAGAGAGCAAACAGTTAGTAATTATAGCGTTATTTTTACGTAAATTTGTGGTATTTATATTGTTTTTATTACGTTGTTCTCTTAGTAGATCGAAAAGGTTATTATGAAGGTAAAATAACGAAATAAACCATTCCCCAAATTTGGTGATTTTTCTGTTATGGACTGTTCTTGAAGATCATTAGCTTCCTTGTCTTGGCACATTTCCTGCACAGTGCAAAAATAGAGATTTAATTTTGTTTTTCATATTTTATTTTAATTTCTTACTCTTCAAATATCATATTATGTTTCCTGATTTTGTCCTATTTCTTGTTCAATGGCACAAATACCAACAACTTTTGTAATTTCAGCAGCATATTTCGTGAAGCAATGCAACAAACTGGACGATGATGTGAACCAGTGTCTTCGTCAGAGTGCAAATTTTTTGGTGGCCAACATGAGAAACGGTATACCGGAAATAGGGGTGGAGGAGCCGGAACCAATCATCATAGACGAAATCCAGCTGGCCCTGGGCAGCGGGCCCGACGGCTACAGGGCCGTATTCAAGAACATTAAGGCCTACGGCGTCAGCAATGTGACTGTCACAAACGTCAGGTAAATGTTTTTTGAGTGTTTATAACTTTTGATTTTTTTTAAATTATTTTTAATAGGTCTGATATTGACACGAACCAATTCCAAATCACCATGTATATTCCAAAGATATCTGCTAGAGCCCAATACGAATCCACAGGAGTCCTAATTTTGGTGCAAGCTTCTGGAGGGGGGGATTACTGGGGGGAATATGGTAAATACATTGATTTAAAAATAAAAAATATATTTTATTATTATAATTTTTTTTAGATGGGGTTAAAGTGAAAGTTTATATTAGAGCCTCACCAGTAACCTATGATGGTAGACAATTTTTAAAGTTGCAGCAATTGAAAATGGACTTTAGCGTCAAAGAAATTTCCATGGGAGTTACCAATGTTGCTAACGGCAACACTGTGCTACGTAAGTATTATGAGTAGAGTAGCTTATAATTTTTACGGAAAATTATCTGGAGAATTGTATTCGGGTGAATATATTGAGATGTACACCAAGTGAAAAGGATTATTTTTTATTTTTCGTTGTTGATAAATTTATAAAAAAATCTACTTACTGAGATATTACACTTCACGGTGGATAGGTTTTAAATAGCAAATTAATGAACTTAAACTTTTGATTTATAAAACAGCAACACTCTCATCTGCATATAAATTTTAACTGACCGTCAGGAATCACATGCATCTATAATGCATACAATTTAAAGCAACAACAGATTCACGGAGGATAGAACCAACCATCATCGAGAATTCAACAAAATAAGATTTTTTTTCCTTATAGAAGCAGCCCTGAATTTATTCATCAACTCCAACGGGCAAGAACTGCTTAAAGAAATGAAACCAACTCTAAAGAAAAAGCTGCTGATTCTAATGAAAAACTTTGTGGATAACTTGTTCCAAAAAATACCATACGATTCGTGGATTGTTTAATTTGACAAAAAATTACTATTTTATATAATATTTATTTAAGTTATTATTATTATTATTATTACAATAAAATCTTGTTAGGAACTTTGAACTTTTATTTCTTTGGTTACACTAAATTAAATCTATGACCTTTATTTCATGGTAAAAAAAGTATTGGAATAATAAGTATTAGGTGAAAAATCATACATTAAGTATACAAAATTATATAGGTATATGGTAAACATGCAAGATAATAAATTACTTAAATAAAAAATTAAGATGGTATAATTTAGTTAAACCAATAAAGATAGATTGTTAACAAGATGAAATTTTTAGTAATTTTGGTTTTGTTTAGTTTATCCTATGCGGATGAAAGTTTAAGTGAGGAAGGTGTGGATCATAGAGATCTATGTACTAAGTATAATATTATAGTAAATAAATATTACTAACATTGGTAAATTTTAGTACCTTTCTTGGAATTTTGCAGAGAAAAACATCTTAATTTTGAACGGTGCTGGGAATCTTCCATAGAAGATTTAAGAAAAATTTTAAAAAAGGGTAAAATCAAAAAAATACTAAAACATAATAATAATAAAAAATCATTTAGGTAGTGAAAAATACTCCCTCAGAAGTGTAGAGGAAATTCACTTAAACAACCAATATACAGAAAAAGTAGTGTCCATGGTTGTTCGGATTTCAGACTTGATTTTAAATGGTTTGGGAGATTACTACATCAAGAATATCAAGTAAGTAATTCTGGCAACACTGCCTGAGAGAGAACAGCAACACTTTTATTTTGTAGTCTTAAATCCAGCACCCCAGAAATAGAAATAGACGTTTCCAAATTAAAACTACACGGTTACTATAATGTTAGTGGCAGCTTACTGAACTACCCCATATTACCCATCAATGGAAATGGGACTATACATATAAACATGAGTAAATTTAAATAAATATATGGGTGATTCTACAAAAGTTGGGCAACTTTTGACCTCATTTTGTTTATATAGTTTTCGGAAAAAATTAAACAGTATTTTGTTATGAGAACATAGATAATATAATAATTATACTGTTCCAGACCGGGCCAGTCACTTTTTCAAACAGTTTCTGAAATATCTGTGTTTTCTAAATTTGAATGCAAGGAAAGTGACGAGTATACCAGGGTACTAATTAAATACATAATTTATTGGAAAATATAACATTTATTGCAACTTTGAGCATAATATACATTAAATATCTTAAAATCAAATAATACCACACATCAGTGGCGGCTGGTGGATTTTGGGTATACCGATATCTCAATTATTAGATATGGGACCCACACCAAATTTATATGAGTTTATAATGACATTAAATAAACAAGTTCTGCGCAAGTAGAATTTAAACCTGGATCTTTTGTAATATACTAAGATATTTACAAAAAATATTAAAATACCTACTCTATTGACTGATGACATCAAGTTGTCCAACTTTTGTAGAATCACCCATATTTCTAATAATATTACTTTTATGCAGCTGATTGTACCTTTAAGTCAAAAATGACGCCAGAAATCTACACAGTGGAAACCACGAGAAAGGTAAAATTTACCAAGGCAGACGTAAAAATGACTATAGATGGAGGAAAAATAAGAATCGATGATAGAGCTAAAAAAATTCAAAATTATAGTGAGTTTAAAACTTATACAAATATCACTAAAGAAACTGTATCAAAAACAATTTTTTTCAGTTGCTCCTCTAAATTTTTTGCTCAACCAACACTTTGTCCATGTCACTAAACAATTGGTACCCCTGATAGAAGAAACAGTGGAATTTTTACTTCTAGATGTTGGTAATGCTATTGCCAAATCTTTCACCTACGAAGAGTTGTTTTCAGTAGAGGTCTAAAACTATCGATAGTTGGCACTATCGATATTATTCGATATTTGGTCACTTTACTATCGATAACTATCGATAGTTTTCGATAGTGAGAGTAAATTATAAAAAAAAACATAATTAAAAAATAAAAGCAAAGTAATTATTTATTTTTATTCAAAAATCACATTACAAATTTTACAAACTGCCAGAAACTTAGAAATTTTACAAACTATAAACCTATAAAATCCCACAAACTTACCTTTTTTCTTTTTTGTCTCGGACCCAGATCGAGTTATGAATTTCTCCATTTCTTACAAATTTTTTAAAACACTTGGTGAACTCTTTAGAAAAAGCATATATCCAAATTTATTATCTATGATTGTTAAAAAAACTTTTTCTACAACTAAGCGAAAAGTACAAATTTAAGCTTCCAAAAGAAAGCGCAAAGTTGCACTTTTACGAGGAGCGAGCGAGAAAGTTACTTTGTCAATCTTCTCGCTCAGAGCGGCAATGTATCACTTTGCGCTCTTAATACACAAATATATTCCATGACGAAACCATGACAAAAACAAAAATTTCGGCGTCAAATTTCAAAACAAGACATCGGAATTTAAAACAGTGCAATTATTTGACAGAATGAGTGTAATGTGAGTGTGTCCCTAACTTTAGTTGCTATTAAAATTTACCAAGATTAAGATTTTCGTGAAAGCTTTAATAGTGGGCTAAAAGTTAAAGCGTTATAAAATATCGGAAACTATCGCGATAGTTTTAAAAAACTATCGATATTATTCGATAGTTAAAACTATCGATATTTATCGATAGTGCTATCGATAGTTTTAGACCTCTAGTTTTCAGAGTATGCGATGAACAAAAATGTTACTGAAATCGATGTGGAATCAAAGGAAAAACTTGAAAGTAGTTAAAATAAAAGTTTTTTGTTCATTTAGTTTTTTATTTTACCAAATTTATACTACATTGAAAATGCATATTAAACAAGGCAAGGACCTTTATACCTATAAATAAAAAAAGTAGTTTAATAAATAATAGATGAACTTCACCAAAGCAAAACAATTGTTTACATATAGAAACTGGCCTTGCATACTAATGATATGTATGTTTTGTTGAAAACTACAATTGCCTACAATTTTCAATTGATTTTTGATATTAATTAATTAATGTTTATATTTAGCATGGCATTTATTTGTGACAAATCAGGAAACTGAGCTTATAATCATTTTTCAATGGCAAAAATAAATATTGTTCAATAGTTAGTAAACATAGTTAGTAAATAAAAATGAGGTTTGCGGACGTGTTTGTTGTATTTTTTGTTTCTTATGTTCAATCAAAAGAATTACGTGAGATTTTTAACTTTAATACTATAAACATTTCGTTAAATTATATATTTTTAGCGCCATTTTTGCATATTTGTAATCGATCAGACCCAGATTTTGAAAAATGTATGATACAATCAGTTGAAGATTTGAGGCCTGTATTAAGAAAAGGTACTTACAACTTAAAAAAATTAACTTAAAAATTGTTTTAAAGATTTTAGTTTTTTTTCTTATAAATATATAAAAAGGGTAGTTGTTTGTTTAAATTTTATTTAAGTTTACTTAAAAATAAGAATTTTTGAATTTTTAATAATAGTTTTTTAAAAACATTCAAAAAATTATAGTAATTGGACATTTTATATAGTAATTACGATGATTTATATACATCTAATATTTTTTCGGGTGGTATGTTAAAAGTATTTCCAAATTTATTAATTTTGTTGCCATTAGTTTTTATGTTCTCTATAATGCACTGTTTTTAAATCACTGCTATTCTGCAAGATGTCCTTTGACGAAAAAATCACAATATTACTTACTCTCTAAAAATGAATTAGTCAAAAATGTCATAGCGAAAAAGCAACCACTAATAATTCTCGTCAACAGCAATTTGTATCCAGGACATTTAGCAGTCAATTCCTATGAAATATTATTCGCTGAATCCGAAAATGTCGTCAAAAGTTATAAAAGTAGAACAGTTTTTGAAATATAATCAATTTTACATATAATATGGAATTGACTATATCTCACAAACTGCTTAACTTTTATAGTGTTTGACGGTCTTTTCGGATTCTGTGGACAGTTTTACATAAGAATTGGCTGGTAAATCCCCGGGATATAAATAGAGTATGATATTGGACATATGTCCAATAATAGAAATTTACATTTTTTACCAACCAGTAATTGGACACTGGCCATTTTACTGTTTGTTTTAAGAATTAAAATTAAAACGCATTAAAGTGGCAATGTTTAAACCATGAGGAACACATTTATACCACACACTGATCTGTACACTTTTTAGAAATATTTTTTATTGTAATTCAAACACAGCCATGCTCTTAAGAAAAAACAAAAATCTTACCACCAAAGTAACGAGCGAACTTTTTTGTCGTATATTGGACCCAAAATAAAGTAGCTCTATATTATTACCGACTGAGATAGTTATAATTGTATACAGCGCCATCTAATGATTTGACTTTAAGGTAACTATTTATAGAACTCGTTTTTACAGTATTTTTTCAGGGGACCCAGACTATCACATCCCCAGTATAGAACCCCTATTTATCGACAATTTGATGAGTGAAAATTTAACGGACATGCTTTTAAACGTCTCTAGTGTCAAAGCTTATGGTTGTAGTGAATACCAAATAACCAATATACAGTAATTAATAAAATCATTAGCTCCACAATTACAAACAAATATTTTTTTTAGTATGGACTTTGACACAATGGATTGCAATTTTGATATAGACATTCCAGTTTTGCGTATAGAGGCGGACTACAACATAGATGGAAAACTAATTATGATTCCAATAAAAGGAAAGGGCGTTTTTGACGCCAATATAAGTAATACTTTATTTTGTTATTAATAGTGCTAAAAAATATTAATTTTCAATTTTTATTAAAAATAACTTGCCACAAAAAAGGAAATAGAAGCTCGTGGCCTCCTTGTTGTCCAGATTTAAATACACTCGACTAAATTTTGTGGCTAGATTTATTTTTATGAAATACTCATTTTTTATATATTTTAGCAAATGTAGCTGCAAAGGCATCTCTAAATGGAGACTTAATAAATAAAAATGGAGCAAACCATTTACACTATAGCACTATCAACCTGAAAGTAAAGGTGGGAGGGGGAAATGTCAAAATGGAAACGTATCATTCTGATAAAGTTTTCCGTAAGAATAAAAAACATATCATACTCTCTTGAAATGAATTTGTCAAAATTAACTAATTCTTAGTCATATTGACTAATAATTAGTCAAATTCTACTGAATGAAATTGTCAAATTAGTTGATTTACACGGAGAGAAAAGTATATTACTGATTACCATAATTATAATACCCTTTACTATATTATATATTACTATTTGGGACAACTATCTTGTATATTGCCAGTTACTATGCATATTTAGTAATTTTTAAATATCCATGTATATTAAACTTTAAGGTTATTATTCTCAACCAATTTTGTTTTTAATTCTTATTATAATTAGATAGTAAATTTTAAAAATAAATATAATAGATAGGTAACCCATAAGAAACTAAATAGTGTATTTTATTATTTTGTATAATACATTTAATTAAATCATATAGTAAATATTACTATTTGTAGATAGTAAAATCAATTTACTATACAAATATATTTAAAATTAAAATACGTATTATACATTTTTGATCTAATAATATTGGTGTTGTAATCTTTACTAAAATTGTATAATAAAAAATACTATTTCGTATTACAATTTTTATATTTTCCTGACGAATATTTAATATTGTTAAACTAAACATTTTTTAAAGTAAATTTTAATATATTTTTTTAACTATCTAAAATTTACTATACATTTCTCTCCGTGTAAATTTAAAAAAAAGTTCTGACCCAGCCGGGATTTGAACTCAGGACTGCCGCTTCTCAAGCGCATGTCATAACCAATGAGCCATCAGTCACTTTCATAAAAATCAGTTTTATTTGTCTATAAATATTGCTCATACTAATTCAAATAGTAGAATTTTGACTATTTCATTTTAAGGGAGTAAATCTACTGTAGATTTTCTACATAATAATAATTTATTTTTTGTTTTAGGTCAAATAGTAAATGACGTGGTAAACAAAAACTTTGCACTTTTTATGAACGAGCTACTGCCACCAATACAACACGCGTTATCTCAAATTTTTTTGAACACTGGCAACGAGATAGTTGGGCAGTTTACGTATGAACAACTGTTTCCAAAATAAATAAAACAAAAAATAAATAAAATAAAAATTATATTTTTCCTGCAAAAAAATTCTTACACGGGGAAAATGTTATCATAGTCGAATCTACTTGTAATTCTGTTCGAAAAATCAATAATGATTTTAGAAAACTCTTTTTCCAATAAAGGTATTACAACTCCAAGCATTTCTTCTTTAGCGTCATTGATGACATCATTGGTAGCTTTCCCTAAAAAATTATTCAAATTTATCAATGAAATTAAAAAAAAAAAAATTACCTAAGACAGGATCGCCACCAAAAAGATTCTCAAGAACAACACTGTAATCGCCAACTTTGACCTTGACGTCCATATGGTTGAACTTCATTTGTTTGCGATCGCCATTTTCGACGATATTCGCTCTCATTATAGTTCTTGCTTGTACGTTCGCTACGAAAAATATTTTCTATGTTTGTTGTGTCTATGGATTTCTATCTATTATGTGTAAGGTCTATGTACTTACTCGCATTTCCTTTAAATTTCCCGTTCCCTTGCAGCTTTAAAAATATAATTTTACCATCTATATTGTAGTCGGCTAGAAAATTTAATACAGGGAAAGTCAAATCGCACCGTATGATCAATTTATCCACATTGACGCTAAAAAAGTTCTACTGTGTATTTTCATATAAATTTAATCATATATTATATCACGAGAACTATGAATTTAATCGGTTAAACTAGGCTCAGTAGTTTTTTGTTTGGTTTTTGTTGGCAAAACTATTTTCCAAAAAGAAAAATCAAACTTACTGAGCCTAGTTTGACAGATTAAATTTATAGGTTGAGTGATATACGTCTAGATTATTTCTCGAATTAAAGGAAACTACCTATTTGACAATTCATAAAATCTGACGTATGTATGTGTCAAAATTTATAAATATTTTTTTTTAAGAAAATTCCATTAATTTAAGGTATGTAATAAGTAATAATTGATATTTCGTAAACTAGATAACTTATTTTTTATTGTTTTTAAAAAAATGTTTGTTAAAACTTGTAAATAACACCATACAATCGCAAACAAAAATCCAATATGGAGGCTAAAATTTAATCGCTGTTAAATAGTTCTAGTGATTTAATCGCTTATTTAAACGAAATTTGTTCGAAAATTCAAGGCTTTTGATTGGTTCATATTATAATGAGGGAAATAATCTTACTTTAAACTGTTAATTTGAAAGTTGCTACAACCGCTAATTTCGAAGTTGTATAAGTTGGCTAAGAAACCATCCTGCGTCTGATTGGCCCCGCCAAAAATTGTCAGATTGTGCAGGTAAAACGGTTCTATAGCGGGAGCGTTGATTTCAGGAATACCTTGCGCCAATTTCGGCCTCAATTGGTCCACAGATTGTATTATGCATTCATCTACTTTTGGATCTGTCCTTTTACATACGTGGATATAGTCAGCTAAACAAAATGTATTATTTAATATTAATATTAATATTAATAATTAAATCTGGCAACACAGCATACTTACGTATTTTGGTATCTGCTCCCTTGGTTATCTTAATAAAATTATAGCTCAAACACAACACAAGACAAACTTTACAAAGAAGCATTTTTTTAATGGTTGGTTACCTACTTGTACAATATTAAATATAAAAAATCGCACAGCTAATGCACTAGTACTTAAGTGGAAAAAAATCAATTAGATTTACGTATAAACCTGTGATCTGACTGGAATATAAATTAAATGTTAATAACAATCATTAACATACCCTAGAAGCATTAAAAAAATATTAGCCTTAGCTAAGTATTTATTTAAATGTTAATTTTAACACAAAAAACAATTATCAACAAAGTAATCCATGATAACAATAATGGAAATTTTTAATGATTATTTCCCTCATTATAATATGAACCAATCAAAAGCCTTGAATTTTCGAATAAATTTCGTTTAAATAAGCGATTAAATCACTAGAACTATTTAACAGCGATTAAATTTTAGCCTCCATATTGGATTTTTGTTTACGATTGTATGGTGTTATTTACAAGTTTTAACAAACATTTTTTAAAAAACAATAAAAAATAAGTTATCTAGTTTTAGCCTCCATATTGGATTTTTGTTTGCGATTGTATGGTGTTATTTACAAGTTTTAACAAACATTTTTTAAAAAACAATAAAAAATAAGTTATCTAGTTTACGAAATATCAATTATTACTTATTACATACCTTAAATTATTGGAATTTTCAGATTTTATGAATTGTCAAATAGTTTCCTTTAATTCGAGAAATAATCTAGACGTATATCACTCAACCTATAAATTTAATCTGTCAAACTATGCTCAGTAAGTTTTTTATTTGATTTTTCTTTTTGGAAAATAGTTTCATGCAAAATAATTAAAAATAAAAAAATAAATTATTTTGCATTCAACATTTTCCAACAAAAACCAAACAAAAAACTACTGAGCCTAGTTTAACCGATTAAATTCATAGTTCTCGTGAATGCAGGTAATATTTTCAAAAAAAATATGTTTTTGTTCTAAATTGTTCTAAATGGATTTATTGTTGACTCAACAATGTTGAGGAAGATTTTAAAGATAATATAATCTTTTTTATATAGTTTTTTAATTTGGTACTATTTTAATGATTATTTAACTACATTAATATATTAACGTACAAAAATTATTGGTCGGTAAGTTAATATAAACAGCTAACCAGAATCCATTTTGGTAGTGGTAAAAAATAAGTATTTGTAATACAATGTATTGGATATTGTGTGCCAGTGTTTTATTCGTTTGTTCATACGGCCTTCCACCACGTAAGTAAAAAATAGTGAAACCAAAAATTATTACAAAATTAATTTATAGCTTCTTACCTTAAGCCATGCTCTGTTTCCAAAAGTTTTGAAAAATGCTCCATGGAAGTTGGTAGACATGCTTTACACTCAGTTGCGAAAGGTAATAATATTAACTTATTAAAAAAATATATATAAATCATACATTTGAATATTAGAGCTTCACGGAAATTAGCTTCAAATACATAAAATATTTATAAAAAAATCTACTTACTAAGATATTACACTTCACGGTGAATAGGTTTTTAAATGGCAAATTAATGAACTTAAACTTTTGAATTATAAAACAGCAACACTCATCTGCATATAAATTCTAACTGACCTTCAGGAATCACATGCATCTATAATGTCCTAAACATAGGTTTTTGCTTATTTAAAATGATTAAAGCGCCATCCGTTGCATGAAATTTAAAGCAAAAACGGATTCACGAAGGATAGAATCAATTTTTGTAACACCTACATAAATGGTTATAAAAATTATTTCTTTTAATTTTTAGTAATATTTTATATTTGATTCGATTGCTTTGGATGTGTTTAAGTTACTTAGTGAACTGATATTTTTAGTATGCTTTTACTACCTTAGATATTTGAAAACATATTGGTTAACCTAGAAGGAGTAACAGTCACGGAGGATAGGTTTTAGACTTGTAAAGCATTGTAAAAAATAATTAATTGCGGTTAAAAATCTAAAACCTGAGCTGTAATATCTACTTAATTATGAAAGATCAAAACACATGTTTTTAGGTGACAAAAAATACGGAATTCCCAAATTGGATCCATTCAACATAAAACTCATAACAGTCGGTTCAGGGACTTTTGAAAATAATTTAATGGATATAATATTGACTGGTTTAAGTAAATCCATATTTCAAGGAATGACGTATGTATACTTTTTTATACTAAACATCTTTTACATTAGTGGTCCATTAGAAGTCTCTTAAAATGAATTAGTCAAAAATAACTAATTATAAGTCATATTTGACTAATTGTCATAGCGAAAAAGCAGTCAATAATAATTAGTCAAATTCTACTGAATGAAATAGTCAAATTAGTAGATTTAAGTTTAAAAAAAGTTCTGACCCAACCGGGGTTTGAACTCAGGTCTGTCGCTTGTCAAGCGTATGTCATAACCAATGGGCACTTTTATAAAAATAGTCACTTTTATAAAAATTAATTTTATTCTTCTATACATATGGCTCAAATCTTATTTTATTTTAGATATGACCCAAAAACAAATCATGCCAAAATAACTCTGACATACGATCATATCAACTTAAAAGGAAGATACGTAATGAATGGAAAACTTTTAGTGTTGCCCATTCAAGGAAGTGGTGACTTCGAATTAGATTTTTGTAATAATTACATTTGTTTTAAATTAATTTTTTATATTCTTTATTTTTTTAGTCAATGGAACAAACTTTTTCTCTTTCGATCTGGAAAAGGAAGTTAAAGATGAAGTAACATACGGTAAAATTACAAATGCGCAGTATGACTATGAAGTAGGATTGGTACAAATGAATTTTGATAACCTTTTTAATGGGGACAAAGTTTTAGGTAACAATTTACATGCTTTTGAATATGTCCCCCTAACAACAAAAATACGATGGTATATATAAAATCTATTTTTGTAGGTCCCCAAACTAATAAATTTCTCAATGAAAACTGGCAAGATGTACTAAAAGATGTGGATGGTTCTCTTAAGGATGCTGTATCCAAAGTGTGGGAACTAGTTTTAGGCAATTACTTTAGTAGAATTCCATATAAGGACCTTTTTCTGGATTAGATCAATGTTGAACACTGTGACAATGATGAGATTGTAGATGAGATATTTTTAAATCATTTTATTTATTTTTACAAAAAACATCAACCTCAAACAATAACACTATAATACTCAAAAATCACAATAAAAAATTTTTACAATCACACATCTATTTTTCCGGGAAAGCTTCATCGTAATCCAAATTCTCCGTAATCTTATTGGCAGCATCCAATAAGCTTTCGGATACCCTTGCTTGGATGAAAGGGATTGCATTTTCCAGCATTTCTTTTTTGTTGTCCTTAAGGAGATCACCCACAGCTTGGCCTAAACATCAACAATCAACAAAATAATTTTTCGAAAACCTGTCTTTACTCACTCAACACTTTATCACCGTTGAAGAGGTTGTGAAGCTTAATATCATAGTCTTCAATCTTCAAAGCTAAGTCGAAGGCATTAAACTTCATGTTTCTTATTCCTTTATTTTGAACAACTTCCCCTCTCAGGATTCCATACCCATCAATTTTAGCTTAAAGATATTTTAGGTAAGTAAGAGTCTATATAGCTAGTCAATAATAAATTAAAAGTGATTAATGCCTGAAGCAACTGGAAGAGGTAACAAAATCTATGTTTGGGCATTTAGGGCTAGTAAAAGGCCAAAGGACAAGCAGGTTTAAAGGAACAGAACCATTCTTCAGGTATATAAGGCAGAAACCAGGAAATGGGTGAACTCCCCACACTGAAGTGAATACTCACTGACTTCCGCATTAAATCTGCCCTTTCCTTGAATTGGAGCTCCCAAAATTCTGGCATCTACATCATAGTCACCTTCCAGTTTAAGTTGAGGAATTTTGATACCAAAGTGGTATGTATTTTTGGGGATGTCCAACCTACAAAACAATCACATGGTTTATTTCGAAATTCCTCATTTCTCTCTTCTAACTGATTGCTCAAAAGCCTTACTTTAGCCTGGTGACCTTGAAATCGCCAGCTCCATGGGCCAAAACGTTGTTCAACTCGGCCCTGATTCCGCCGCCTCCTCTGATAATGTCGATTTTTTTTATGGACAGTGGTTCCAAGGATGGAACGCCGATTTCGGGAATTCCTGCTATCAGCTTTGGTCTCAAAGCTTCAACGGAGTTCCTGATGCATTTCGACACTGCAGGATCGTTTCTTTTGCAGATGTGGATGTAATCAGCTAAACAAATGAACATCGATAATAGTTATATGCCGTTTTGTTTATGTAAATAAAAAATGTGCTCAAGACTTTAAACTTTGAATGTGGATAATTTTCTTTGTGACATCAAAGTTTAATTGTGGATATAAATAAACACTGCAAGTGTACATATTTGAAAAAATAAATTGTTTTTTACTTAGCTGCGTCAATAACTAATTAAATTTAAAAAAAAAACATTTTTTGTATTTAGTAATTAAAAAATGTGACTACAGACAGAAATAATAAAAAAATCAACCTATTAAAAAAATATATATTGAAAAAGTCTCTACTTACGAACTGTTCCAGCACTGATCAGCGACGCGAAAGCCACAAACAAAAAATAAAACAACGTATACATAATTTAATTAATGTACATACATATGCTGTCCTTAAGAATCCCAATGGAAAACTCAAATGCTATGAGGCTTACTATAAGTATATATATATAGGTTGGATGCTTCTTGTGACGCGTGTAAGTAAAATAAAGGCTGACCAATAAAACAGGAAAAAATTATAATAAGACATGTATATTTGACCTTTAGTATATGCATCTAAAAGCATAGGATATTCCCATTCTGATACGCTGCTTCAAAAAGTTATGATTTTTGCAAGGTTTTGTATTCAAAAATATTTCTATTTAAAAAAAAAGAGTTTATAAACTTTTCTAGACAATCCTATTATTAAAAACTCGCTCGCCTCATTTAAAATCATAACCAAAATGGCTTTATTAATAACATGTTTTTATTTTAAAGTTTATATTAATGTTTTTTATAAGTTTCCTTGAACATAACTTTACATATAATTTTACATAAAAATACACGTTTTTTGTACATAATTGCCTATTATAACTATTATAATATAAATAAATAAATAAAGCAAACAATTGTTCATGTAACTTAGCTATGTCTACATTTTATGTCAAGAATACCTTGTTTTAGAATTTGGTAAATAACTATTAAATTTATTTTTAAATTTTATGTATGTATGTATGTATATAGGGCGAGTTTAAAATTTCCAATGTCTAATACATTTTTTCATATTTGTAATAAATGGCGCTGTAATGAAAAAAAAATCAATTTTGTTCGATTTTTCTTCTGTATACGATTCTGCAATAATTTTTCTATAAAAATATCACTTTTTTGGTAATAATTATCCTATTATATTAAATCTGACTTTTTTAAGTACTACCCACGATTTTTTAACTAATATTTAAGTTTCCTTTGGTTTAAGTTTTATACATTATTTCATTCGGTGATAATTATCAATTGCGCACCATGGTCACTTTTTACCTGCCAGCATTAAATCCTTTAATTTAAAGGATTATTGTACCATTTTTAATAAAAATACATCATTTAAGGTAAAAAAAAATATTATTTTGTCAATAAATTAATTTAATCCTAATTGAGGTATAAAAAAATGGTAGTTAGTTAATAATTTGTTATTAAGGTATAAAGAAACCATTTATAGTTTAACATTATTTAATCAATTTAGTTCGAAGATTAATTTGCAAACAAAAAGACCTTCTTTTGTTAAGCAGTTATTCATAATGGATTTTTTAACAGTGGAAGAAAAATAAAAATGATATTGATTTATGGAGAAGCAGGCAGGAATCTTGATGATGCTGTTAATATCTACGCTCAGCGTTTTCCGGAAAAAATTCGATCACGTACTTCATTTCACCGTACAGTCAAGCGGTTTACTACAAACGGGAGTGTCAACCGAAAAAAAGAATTCGTCGAGCAACAGTCACAGGTGGAAATAACGAAATTAATGTATTAGCAGCAACGGTCGCTAATCCTCATGCAAGCACACGAGAATTATCTAGAGATTTGGGAATATCCCAGAGCAGTGTTAGCAGAATATTAAAACGAAATGCGAATTTTTATATACCTGGACATCTTTTAATTTTTTATGTCAGGTAAAGAAATAAATATTTTTTTTCTTCAATTTTGAGTTTTAATATTCTTGGTACCTGTGTGTTTTTTAATTTAATAATTTTGGTGTCAATGTTAACAAAGATACAAATTATAATCATTATTTTTTGGCAATTATGGTAATTTGTTAATTGGGAATTTTCCTTAAATATTTTTTAATTTATTTATGGGAAACAATAAAAAATAATCTTATAAACTTTCACGTCATAAACAACACAACTATGGTCGACTTCAATCCCATCTCAAGACTTAAATAATAGAAGATATATTAAGAAATCAAAATAAATTTTAAAAAAACGTAAGGGATAGGATATTCAGTATTCAAGACATGAGAACACCTTTCAAGCCAAGGCTGATTACAAAGACAAACATTTCTTGAAATACTCTCAGCCTGTCACCACGTTGCCATAATACTCTTGTTTACATTGGTGGACGGTTGAGCCAATCAAATACGAGCATTTAGTTGAAAAAATGATTTTGAGCATACAAAATTTCGTGTTTTTTTCCGCGTTTACGTGTGTTTTGTGTGTTATACGTGAGTATGTTTTTTATGTAATTTAATTGTGATCTTCCTGTATCAAAAAAATTAAACAAATTTGTGTTTAGATTATAATCAATAAAATGAAGGTTTTAAAAACAAATTAAAACAAATAAGTTTAAAATATTTTTTGTATTTTTTTTTAACTCGTTTTATTTTATACCAAACGGGGAATCCCAATGGGTTTAAAGTACAATTTTAATAAAGATTTTAAAATAACCTTTGGTTGAACTATTTATAATATATGTATATAATAAAAGAAATTTGTAAAATTAAGAGCATTGTACAAATTAGTGGAAAAACATTTTTTAAATTTATTTAACTTAATTTTTGAAACATTTCCATATTTTTTCTTTATGTGAGTCCTAAATATTGATTATGTTTAAAAATAATAATTGTTACCAATTTATACAGTATGTATGACATATTCTGTGCACTGTGAGAATTAATCCAATTTTCTCTGCCGCAAACGGACCAACTTTGGTAATAAATAGAAAGTAGAAGATATTATAAAGCAAACTGGTATGGATTACAATATTATTAAGCATTTTGTAACATACCTATGTAATTATTACGGAGAAGGAATTTTTTTGATTAAATAATTATATATTCAAAAAAGATAATATATGTACCCAATATTATGTATCAAGTTTTAGTTTTATTAGTCAAAAATTACTAATTTAATAGTTATTAGTGGCTGCTTTTTTACTTGTACCGTGGTTCTTATGTAAAATTGTCCCCTGAATCTGAAAATACCGTCAAAAATTACGAAAGTGGAGAAGTTTTTGAGATATAGTCAATTCCATATTAAATGGAAAATTGACTATATCTCAAAAACTCTTCTACTTTTTTAACTTTTGACGACATTTTCGGATTCAGGGGACAATTTTACATAAGAATTTTGGGATACCATGGTATTCCATGTTTAACCCTGGTACAAGTGAAAAAGCAGCCACTAATAACCATTAAATTAGTCATTTTTCACTAATTCTTTTTAAGAGAGTAAGTTACGAGTTTCATTAGGCACAAGCGAATATTGCGAGCGAGTGTTTAATAAAAACGAGTGTCTACAGAAGTCTATAAAACGAATTTAACCTTACTTTTTCTCTATTTATAATAAAGCCACTGTTGTTAACTTTAGCCCGTAGTATTAGATAAAAAATTAATTGAATTAAAAAAAAATTTAATGTTCTTTTAAAAAAACACACAACCTTGGTTTGCAAAATTTGACAACCATTGCAAAAAACAAAATTGATGATACTTTTTTTTAAGTTTCACTTAAAAAATGAAACAAAACAAAAACCACATCAATCTTCATTTAAATCTATACAGGAATAAGAACTTAACCTTGAAACAATAAAAAAGCATCAATTACCCAAACACTTTGTATTACAATCATTATCATTATAAATAATTAAAGTTTAAATGATGGTAAAATAATAAAATGAGGTAGTATGTACAGGGTGGAACAAAAGTATCAAATAATGGCTTTAACTTTGCTATTTCCAAAGTGAAAAAAAGTTCAATTAAAAAGTTATTGTGTACATTACCAAGCATGTTTTGAGTTTTTTAGTTTGTTGATATTTTTTTTAATTTTGTTTCTATGGCAAAATTTTTTGTTCATTATGAAAAAATTTATTTACATTTCTCTCTATTTAGTCATAAAATTTAGCAATTTAAAAAAAGCGAAAAAAATATTTATTAAAATTTCAATTTTAAATTCATCGTCAGAATTTAAATTTTACACTTTTTATACCATGTATTTTATGTATGTAAGGTTATAAAATACATCTGAGAATCGATTAAAATTCAATTTAAATATTATGCGTCAGCCAAGTTCACACTTAGGTATACCAACTGTGAATACAAACAACAAAATTAGTTCAACCTTCGGCTGATTAAATTTATATTATATATACTTATATATATATTTTATTTAATTGTTGAGAATAAAAATCGTATTTAAAAGCTTGCTACGCTGCGCACACTTGTACCCCTTTACTATATACAATGCGTACTTTTGTACTACCTTACCTTATAAACATTTTTTGGTCCATTTTTCAGCTGGTTACATAAAAGTGTGCAGTTCGAGCGAAAAAGATCTGGACAAATGCATAATAAACTCCATAGACGAGTTGAGGCCGAAATTGAGGGAGGGAATAGAGGAACTGAATGTTCCTTCCATCGAACCTCTGACGTTGGATGAGGTGAAGCTGCGCAGCGGTCCTAGAGCGGCCAAAATCGATGCCAACATAACGAATTTGAGGGTCTGGGGTGCATCCGATTTCCAAATATTGTCGCTAGAGTAAGTGTTGCTTCTTTGAAGTCAGTCACTCAAATGTGTTTTAAAAACACGGTTTTTGGTTTTTATTAGTTTTTAAAATATATACGATTTATACGTAATATCGTCCAATTTTTACTTTGTAGGCCAAATTTAAACAAAAACAAATTTGTTTTTAAAGCCACCATTCCATCTTTATATTTTGAGGGCGATTATGATATTGATATGAATTTGTTACTCCTAAAGTTCAAGGGTCAAGGTCCCATCCAAGGAAATTTCTGTAAGTAAAATGTATACCAAAATATTTTGATCTATTTTGCGTTCATAATGACTTCATTATAACACCGCTATCGGTGCTTTAATCAGATACTTTATCCCACCCAAAATTTTGATTTTATAGGTTGGCTATACTTTAAACAGCATAATATTTTGCATATTGGATATAATATTTTTATGACTTTTCTAGTACTTACGAGACTTTTCTGGCAGTAAATTTTGTTTAACACCAAAGAAAATCCTTTTTTTTCTTTTACATTGCCGCTTATTGTATATAAGTAAATTAAGGACGGCATGGCGAATCGATTTTGACATTAACTGTCAAACCAATGACTGTGATACCAACTACCTAAAGCAAAATTCGGCCAAATTAAATTTAAGGTATAAAATTAATTTTTTTATAGAATTTTTGCAAAATAGATATAATATCATAAAGAAGACATGTATATGGGTAATTCTTCCATAACTTTAATATTTAGATACACAATTTTTAAATATAAAATGTTTAACAACGTAATGTTAATAAAGAATCGTAGTTATTGTTAAACAAAAATAATAAATATGTCTATTTTTATTATTGACAGTTCGGAACAAAATAAAAATACCGATTCTTTTTTACTTTGTATTGGTGTGAATAACACTTTTTGAAGCCGAAATTTAAAAAAGGTTTAGAGGATATCATTACGCCAAGTATTTTTTTAATCTTTAACATTTTTTATAGAAATCATTAATAACATTATCATTATTAAAGTTTATTCATATTGAAGTATTTTTAGATGAGTTAGATATTAATCCCTGCGCATCCGCCATTTTTGCAACAATCTGCTAATTTTGCAAGAATTTTCTATATAATATGGGTGAATATATTAAAGTGAAAATGATTATTTTTTATTTTTGGTTGTTTCACTGTTAGTCTAGAAAGGGGTTTTTAAGAAGCCACCATGTCTAGTTTATAATAACATAACATAAGTGGTTCTGCACTAATGCAAGAATTTTAAGAAATCATACATTTTGAATATTGGAGCTTCACGGAGGATAGGATTTTGTATGTTTTTTTAAAAACATCCCTTCGTATATTTGAAATAAGTTATTGTACCTTTTGACACCCTAATATTTTTAAAAATACAATTGTACATACATAAAATATTTAAAAAAAAATCTACTTACTGAGATATTACACTTCACGGTGGATAGTTTTTAAATAGCAAATTAATGAACTTAAACTTTTGAATTATAAAACAGCAACACTCTCATCTGCATATAAATTCTAACTGACCTTCAGGAATCACATGCATCTATAATGTCGTAAACAGAGGTTTTTGCTTATTTAAAATGATTAAAGCGCCATCCGTTGCATAAAATTTAAAGCAAAAACAGAATCACGGAGGATAGAATCAATTTTTGTAACACCTACATAAATGGTTATAAAAATTATTTTTTTTAATTTATAATAATATTTTATATTTGATTTGTTAAATTATTGAATTGGCTATCAAACAGTATAAATTAAATTTTTCCAGCCGACTACACATTTGACTGCGTCTTGCGTGGCAAACGCATCAACAAAAACGGGGCTCAGTACCTAGAGTTCCGCAAGATGGCGCTGCGACTGAACATAGGCCCGAAATCCCTCATAAGGCTGGGAAATTTGTTCTCTCAGGACCCGCAAATAGCCAAGGCCACCAATCAAGTGATAGAGGAAAACAGCGACATCTTTGTGGAGGAAATCAAACCGGCTTTGGAAAATTCACTCTCACAGAAGTTTACGGATATCGCGAACCAGATCACCACTAGGTTTACTTTTAAAGAACTGTTTCCTTAGGGAGTATTTTTATTTTTTTCTATATTAGAAAGGATTTTTTTTTAATAATTTTTAGGGTAAAAAAAATAACACTCTAAAAATGTTTGTGTATGTAGTAGATATTAATAAAGTAATTATACAAATTGATACAGTCATTTTACTTAATTATATAATTTAAGTTTTGTTAGTTATGCAACCTTCAATACATATTGTATAAGTAAGCAAGGAATGATTTTTTATTTAACGAAAATTTTGCTTGGCAATATTTTTTTTCGCAATAAATAAATAATAATAAAACAAACATTCTTTAGTTAATTCTTATCTAACCAATTCACTAATTGGCAAATATTCAGTGACTTTCACATTTAAATCAATACATTATAAGATTATTCAAAAATTGTATAATACCAAGATTTAGGCCAGATTGCAAAGACATTTTTTTCTTAAGTGACTGCTAGAAACAGAATCAGCCCAAAATCCAAAACAGATCTAATATATAATAATAATAATAATAATAACCCTCAAATAAAATATGCACTATGCTTCATTTAATAATAAGTATTTTTTGATACAAATGTTATAATTCTTGGCGATACAATATTTACTTTTGGATTAAATATAAGGGATCTTTATGCAAGTTAAGCAATAATTGTTTCAAATATTGTCTATCCTAACCTTTAAAGTCGAGCAAAAGTTAAAAAAAGAATAGACAATATTTAAAACAATTATTGCTTAAACTTAACCTAAAAAAAATGATATTGTCTTTATTAAATAACTTTTTTACAATGTATCAAATACCTATTTACCTATATACATAATATATACTGCAATGATTTTTTCAAACCTTCAGACACGTTGATTTTGTTTGCGAGACAGATTTTTTGGCTATATTGGCCTGTTCAACCAAAATTTTTATTCGTACCTATAATCTAGAGTTAAAATATACATAATTGTTTTTTATGTGATTCTTCGGCCAACATCTAAAATTCAATACATAATACTACACACGTAAACATAGTTATGCAATAATTATTACCTACACATACATTTGGTGGTTAATTCTATCAAATTTCACTTATTTAGCAGCTCTTTCATAATTCCAAAGCAAATGTTAACCAACACAAGGAACAATCTTCCAAAATGTCCGACACTTTCGTGAGTGGGGGATATTTTTAAGAATAGGCCAGTCGTACCAATATTTACTAATCTTAGAATAAATATAATTATATTCTACATATTGGTAAACTTTTGTCAGGAATTTCAGTTTCACCCTGTGTATTATACATATCGTACATTGTGTAAAAAAGGATGTCACCAAATAGCTAACAAGCACCTAATCAGTACAAAATAATGATGATATTAACCTATGGCATTACAAAATTTCGCTATTAGTTGAAGGTTTTAGAAATTGAAAAAATAATTCAATAGTTCACATTGCAAAATTTGTTGCATTTATGCTATTATTATAGGCGTGTGAAATGAATACAATTATGTTGTTATGTTTATACAACAAATACTACTAATATGATATCTATTAAATTTTCTTATATAAAATTAAACTATTTGGTCAGAGCAAAAAATCAGAGGTGCATTTTAGTGGCCAGCTCGATCTCCAGACCTTACCCCGTTGTATTCACTGGAAATGTTGAGAAATGTTTAAAATAATTTTTATAATCGTCTAGCATTTTCTCAAGAAACCAGAGGATCTCATAAAGCTATACAATTAATTTAATAATGATTATTTCCCTCATTATAATATGAACCAATCAAAAGCCTTGAATTTTCTAATAAATTTCGTTTAAATAAGCGATTAAATCACTAGAACTATTTAACAGCGATTAAATTTTAGCCTCCATATTGGATTTTTGTTTACGATTTTATGGTGTTATTTACAAGTTTTAACAAACCTTTTTTAAAAAACAATAAAAAATAAGTTATCTAGTTTACGAAATATCAATAATTACTTATTACATACCTTAAATTATAGGAATTTTCTTTAAAAAAATATTTATAAATTTTGACACATACGTCAGATTTTATGAATTGTCAAATATTTCCTTTAATTCGAGAAATAATCTAGACGTATATCACTCAACTTATAAATTTAATATGTCAAACTATGCTCAGTAAGTTTTTTATTTGATTTTTCTTTTTGGAAAATAGTTTCATGCAAAATAATTAAAAATAAAACCCCTCGACCGCTACGCGGTCTCGTGATTTTATTAAATTATTTTGCATTCAACATTTTCCAACAAAAACCAAACAAAAAACTACTGAGCCTAGTTTACCCGATTAAATTCATAGTTCTCGTGATATAAATATGATTAATTAATATCTAACCATTGACATACAAGATAATTTTAAAAATGCAAATTTATTACACCATACAACATATTATTAAAATTGTCCTTAGATCCTTAAGATTTATAACCGGACAGCCAGGTGGGACTGCCATTGGCGGTGCAGTGAAAAAATTCAGAGTGGTGGCAATGATTCTTTAGCACATTATTATTGAACGGTTCTCATTTTCGATTCGTAAACGGTTCAGACAAGCCTGAGAAACCATTCAAGAAAATAATAGCAAAATAAATAATAGAATGAAGTATTTAATAGTGTTTGTTTGTGCCTTAGTTGTGGCAGTCGAAAGCAGGGGATTGCGTAAGTAAAAATAAGAAAATTGTTTGGTATTTTATAAAATTATAGAATGTTTTTATTTATATGGATAGTGGGGGAGGTATACGATGAATAAAACGTGATTATAAGAGTGTTTTTGATATTTTAACTCTTTACCTACAACAACAGACTTTTAGTACATTTTTTTAAATTTAAGTTGCATTAAAATTCAAGGATTTGTGGAACCTTGAAAGATGAGTTTTATCATGTAAAAATATCTTTTAACAAAGCAGCTCACCTTGTTTTTCTTTTAGATGGGTAAACAATATCAAATATGTACATAAAACGAAAAATTAACGAAACCTTAACCTAAAAGCAAATCCCAAATCTGTAGATAATTCTCGTGTGCTTGCATGAGGATTAGCGGCCGTTGCTGCTGATACATTAGTTGAACACTCCCGTTTGTAGTAAACTGCTTGTGCGTGAACGAATTTTATCCGGAAAACGCTGAGCGTAGATATTAACAGCATCATCAAGATTCCTGCCTGCTTCTCCATAAATCAAAATTTTTCTTCCACTGTTCAAAAATCCATTATGAATAACTGCTTAACAAAGGAGGTCTTTTTGTTTGCAAATTAATCTTCGAACTAAATTGATTAAATAATGCTAAACTATGTATAAATAATTTCTTTATACCTCAATAATAATTATTATTTATAACTAAATACCATTTTTTATACCTCAATTAGGATTAAATTAATTAATTGACAAATTAATGTTTTTTCTCTTAAAATGAGGTATTTTTATTAAAAATAGTACAATAGTCCTTTAAATTAAAGGATTTAATGCTGGCAGGTAAAAAGTGACCATGGTGCGCAATTGATAATTATTACCGAATAAAATAATGTATAAAACTTAAACCAAAGGAAACTTAAATATTAGTTAAAAATCGTGGGTACTAAAAATCAGATTTAATTTAATTAGATAATTATTACCAAAAAAGTGATATTTTTATAGAAAAATTATTGCAGAACCGTATACAGAAGAAAAATCGATTTTTTCATTACAAATATGAAAATCATAAAACATTGTAGACGCAATTAAACGAAATTTACATAATAATGCACTTTACAGTGAGCATTAAATGGTACATCTGGCATTACTTTATAAATTTACACATTTATAAATATAAACAAAATAATTAAATAATAATAATAATACGCACTTTCAATATCTCATAAAATGGACTTGCAAACCTTGGGAAATCAAATATCAATTCAAAAACAAGGTTTAATTTTTTTTGTATAGAAAAAAAAATTACGAAAAAAATTTTTAGAGCTAAAAAAAATACAATTTTGCAAAATGTTTTTTGACATTCATCCATTTTACACAATATTCTCTTAAATATGCAAACTATGCAATATGATTGAATTAATCTTACATCAACCCAACTAAATGAATAAAATATAGAATAAATTATTAAATAAATAACATGCAAGTCGGTATAGTGTGCTGGCCCACTTTACTTTCCATTTTGCACTTGTGTTGCATAACACAGCGAATTGGCTTTCACGGTTGACAGGTTTACCAACCCTCAGGCTGTATTGACAAATTAATTCTTTGTTTGGGGTTATGTAACCAAATAAGTAAATAAAACATAAACTTTTTAGCAAAATATCTGAGAAAATTCGCCTGCGCCCGCTACGATCCTGAGTATGAAAAATGCATCTTCAGGAGCTTCGAAAATTCCCGCCCTTACTTCGTCAAAGGTATTCCAGAGTTGGGATTCCCCCCATTGGACCCCTTCGAGTTGCCTGTTATGAGTGTAGACAGGACCATCAGCGACCTAGTCAACATCAAAGCTGTTCTGAGAAACGTCAAAATGACTGGCGCCAGAAATACAGTCATCGATTACCTAAAGTAAGTAATTAAATTATAAAACCTAAATTTCTTAATTTGGTTACATAAATATTTATATCACTCTTATATACCCCTTAAAGAGCTTTTTCGGGGAGTTTGCTTAATTTCTGTTTCAATTACTCACAACTTTTATTTAAAGACAAAATAGTTTTATAAAACAGTTAACCGCAAACTTTATAAAACTCCTTTATAAACCTACTGGTAACTGTTACTAAAAGTATAAAATGTTTGTCGAAACAATTATATAACCTAATTATATACCTAGAGTTTACGTAACCTTATATGACCATTATAAAACTAGTAAACTAAAAGGCGATTTTATAAAACCTTGTTAAACTCTAGAAGTTATATTTTACCAAATATTATAATTATTATAAATTTTTTAGGGCTGATGCTGTAAATGGGACAGGAGAAATCAGGTTGACAATCCCATACTGTGAACTGGAAATGGAATATGACGTCAGCGGACAACTGTTGAGCATTCCTCTTGAATCCAAAGGATTCTTTCAAGGAAACTTCAGTAATAATGTTTTTTACATAATACTAAATGTTAAAAAAATTATATATTTTTTTTAGCCGATACTCAACTTTATGTTAAGGGTGGAGTGAAGAGGTACCTTAAGGACGATGTGGAATACTTTAGAGTTGGAAAGTTAGACAGCAAAATAACCGTTGGAGATGGACATATCAGTCTTTTGGCCAAAAACCCAGAATTGCAATTTGGAGGTAAAATATTCGAATATTAATATAAAAAAAATGTTATACGAGGTGTGTTCAGAAAATAACGGGAATTGTTAAATTTCGCGGGTTCAGAGGGTCCGGTTGTCATAAAATTTTCTTTATTATGTTGGTATACATGCCCCCGAAGTATGATAAAAACTTTAGCTGTTTTCGTTGTTTACTTTGTCTGTGGCAGCCGCTAAGGTTAGACGTGTTTTATGAGCTCGGCGATTTTTCGTTCTTAAAAGAAATGGATCAAATAATTTGTATCCAATTTTGCTTAAAAAATGAAATAAATTCTGTGAAATGTTAACAAAGGCCTATAGTGAGTCTGCCATAAGTAAAACAAGAGTTTACAAGTGGTATAAGAGTTTCCAAGATGTCCGTGAAGACGTTGAAGATGACGAACGCCCCGAACGCACAAGCACATTAACAACCGATAAAAACATGGAAAAAGTGGAAGAAATGGTTATAAACCTTTAGAGAAGTCGCTGATGATGTTGGTATATCGATTGGCTCATCTCATGAAATTTTTTCGAATGTTTTGGGTGTGAAACGCGTGGCATCAAAATTTGTTCTAAAATTTTGAACAAAATTTTTGGCCAAAAACAATACTGTATTGATGCCCCAGCCTCCATATTCGCCAGACATGCCTCTGTCTGACTTTTTCCTATTCCCAAAAATAAAGAGAACCTTAAAGAACCGTCGTTTTGCAAGCATAGATGACATTAAAAGCGCATCGCTGAAAGAACTAAAGGCTATCCCAAAGATCGAGTTTTAGAAGTGTTTCGAGTATTGAAAGAAGAGCTGGCACATGTGCATAATATCCAATGGGGACTATTTTGAAGGCGACAACATTAATGTAGACGAATAAATAAATATTTTTTTCAAAAAACGAAAATTCTCGATATTTTCTGAACACACCTCGTAGGTCCCAGAAGATATCAATTAATGTTAATTTTAAACGTAGCTTAATATTTCTTTTAAAAATTAAAAAAAAAATAAAAAATAATTTTATTGTGCATTTAGAAATAACTGAAAATTTTGACTAATCACATTTTTATTTTAGCCAACTTGATCTCCGACTTTTACAACGAAAATCCCAGAAGAGTTATGGACGCAGTTAACCCAATTTTCGTGGAATCCTCCAACGAATTGTTCAGGGTCGTAATGGACCAAATTTTGGCCACCATCCCCGCCAAGGAATGGTTACCCGAAAACTAAAATGTTTTAATTTTATTTATACATCACAAAATTTTTGTGAAATAATGTTTACAATTTTTTTTATGTTTTATAAAAATAGTACTAGTAATTTAAATTTCAAAATTTATGTACAAAAGTGATTTGTTAATATAATAATAAAAATAGATTTGTTAAAAAAACAAATTTTTAATTTTTTAACTTTTTAAACAATTTTAATTTAAATGGAGGCTAGCATCAACTAAAAGAAATAAAAAACAAAAAACAGAGATGTAAAACAAAATGGTGTCCAAATTTGCGTGAAATGTCATGTTTTTTTCTGTATTATACACCTTTGAGATGTTGCACGACCTTTGGAACACCCTGTATATATATCGACTAAGCATTTTAAATTAAGTTACAATTTTTTATATCACCTTAATATTAAACTAATTGGGACATAAATTTTACGAAAAATAAAACAGTCCTGACCTTGACAAGCTACTAATTACCTAATTTAGTAATATTTAATTAATTAAAATTATCAACCAAAACATTTTTCTACCAGAACGAAACAACCTTCTTTTTTGGTGTAAAATCTTTGAGGTCAAACTACGAAAAAAAAAATTTTACGGCTTGTCAAAATAACTATTGTTTATTATTATTATTATTTTAATAAAAAGCAAATTTAACATTTTTTTTATATATTTTTATCATTAAAAACTATTTTCTAGTTTTTTTTAATTGTGTTCATTTTTACGAAATTTGGCACTGCCATTTTTATAGCCGGTAAAACAGATTCCTATCATTAATTTGGTAAACCCATTTTGTTATAGATGGCGCAAGCGTCGCATGTCATTTATAATAAATATTAATTTGTAACTAATCAGTATCATTTAAATTAAAATAAATAGATACATAATTAAAACTAATCATATCAACAATTTTTTATAAATATATATATATATATATATATATATATATATATATATATTATATATATATATTAAACCTGATACATAATTATAGGTACTATTAAAAAACTGGTTACATTTTTTGATATCTTTGAAAACAAGTGTTTCTAGATAATTTCTATAAATTAATTAAATCAAAATCACCCTTAGGTGATATATATACATATGTATACATAAATACTATTAAATAGTAAAAAAAAAAGTTTATATTATTTTTATATTAAATTTGTATGGATAATTAAAATAATAAAATTCAAGGAAAACAACCTTAAAATTATTATTCCGATTATTACAAAATTATTATTTTTAACTTGGAAAGGGTATTAAAATTAATTAAAATCGTTTACACAACATTAAAAAATTTATTGCTTATTGAAATTGTACATATTAGGTAAAAAAAATAACCATTTGTTCCAGACTTATCATTTTATTTTATTTATTCGATAATATATATGTACAGGGTGTGTCATTTAACTTGAAACTTTACGAAAAAAAATGTTTAAAATAAAAATTAAATGATTTTTTAAGTACCCACGATTTTTTAACTAATATTTAAGTTTCCTTTGGTTTAAGTTTTAAACATTATTTCATTCGGTGATAATGATCAATTGCGCACCATGGTCACTTTTTACCTGCCAGCATTAAATCCTTTAATTATTATTATCGTACTATTTTTAATAAAAATACCTCATTTAAGGAAAAAAACATTATTTTGTTAATTAATTAATTTAATCCTAATTGAGGTATTTAGTTATAAATAATAATTATTATTGAGAGATAAAGAAACTATTTATAGTTTAGCATTATTTAATCAATTTAGTTCGAAGATTAATTTGCAAACAAAAAGACCTCCTTTCGTTGAGCAGTTATTCATAATGGTTTTTTTAACAGTGGAAGAAAAAATAGAAATGATTTTGATTTATGGAGAAGCAGGCAGGAATATTGATGACGCTGTAAATATCTACGCTCAGCGTTTTCCGGAAAAAATTCGATCACGTACTTCATTTCACCGTACAGTCAAGCAGTTTACTACAAACGGGAGTGTTCAAAAGAAAAAAAGAGTTCGTCGAGCAAATATTTAATATTGTTATTTTGGTTATGGGGATCGTACGGGGGGGAATGGTGGGGCCAAAATTTTTTAAATTATAATTATAAGATTTGAAGTCTTTTCTCATCAAATAACGATTTTTTTCCATAAGTGTAAACGACACTGAATTTCAAAATGTATTTAATTATAATAATTTAAAAAAATATAATTTGCATAATACCCCATTTTATATTACAAAACTGTATAATTATTGAACATATTAACTTGTTCTAGTTTTATTTATTTATTTATTTATCTAATATGCAAATAAGGCTTATTTCCGAAATTAAACAAATAAGGATTAATTTAACAATAAAAAAATTGACTATGTAATTAATTCACAGATTCCTAATTAAAAATGTTTTATTTATTTTAATGCAAAAATCTGCTAAAGTCAAGGATTAATCCTGCTTCGATCAACGACCATGTCAAGTTGATAAATACATATATAAGTATTATCACTGGTTGTTTGAGTAAATAGTTTAAAGGTTTCAGACCAGGCGCTTAGTTATTAATTAAGCAGGACAGAGCTGTGTTTCACTCCCTAGGATTTTTAGGATTTAAAATGAAGTTTGCACTTGCTTTTGTTTTACTTGGTGTGTGCTGTGTGGAGTCTGCCAAAAAACTGCGTAAGTTTGTTTTTTCAAATTTTCGAATTTTAGTGTTGTTTTAACTCTAGAGGTTGTACTCTCTTGTAGTGTAACACATTTAACACAGTTCGTGCGACTTCATACACTATTTGATTGAAAATTACTACACTAACCGTGTTCGGTAGCTCTCTAAAAGTGTTCACTTTGGCACTAATTTATTTGCATTTATTTCACTTTTATTGTGAATGCTATTTCTAATAGTGCTGAAAATTTAATCTATCTAGTGTTTATCCTAACACTAATAGATTTAAAAATTGTACACCAATATTGTGTCTGCAGTGCGCCCTTAAAGTTACATACATAAAATTCATTTAATGTCGATAAAAATGGTATAATATATGATATAATATTAGTACATTAAAGACCAAGCGGAGAAATCACTTATTATCACTGAGCATACATTTCACTGCCGAGGCGTCAGCTGAGGCAGTAGATTGTGTGCGAGGCATTATTAAGCTTCAAGCATTGCATCTTTTAATTTTTTTAAATTCTGTCACATAATTTTAATTAATCTGAAGATGACATTTTAGCTTTATTTCGGTAGGAAGTTTAATAATAATTTGACTTTTGAACTAGTATTAATATTTATGAAGTCTTTTTTTATAGACTTTGAAGTGTTATAATATAAAAATTATTGTACGCTTGAAAAAAATATATAATGGAGGTTTGCAATGATTCTGCTCTTATTAATTTTTGTATATTCATTTGTTTTTAACTAATATATGAATTACTTTTGGGTAGCGCTGCTGGGGTGTTTAAATAATGTTTATATAAAACAAATAAAATTTATATTTATATAAAAATACAGTCCATTGTAAGTTTTACGCTACAAAATATAAAACTAATCTTTGTCAATTACTTAAAATATAAATACGTTCAAAACACCAAATAATATTTTGGCACAAAGCTTAAAATCTCGTAGTTTTATACAGGTAACCAATTCTTACCCATTTTGCAAAATGTGACATGTGACTAAAATTTCTATAGAATCGGGAGATTCTTCTATATAACTTTATACCAAATTTTTGCAGTGTTAATCTCAAAATAAAACTTTGAAGGTCCTCTTTGCAATTCAGTGCTAAAGTTGTCATCATAAAATGCCATCTCGATCTGCAACGATTTACTTATTATATACATTATGTACTTGAAATTTGTCTGTACTATTGTACAAAACGCGATTTTCACACGAATTTCGACCTTATGAACCAAAACAAAAGCAATTTTTGACATTATAAACCATGATGAGTAATAATACTTTGAAATTAACTTACCTTTAGTTAATAATTATAGACCACAACTAAACAGCTTGGTGCATTCTTCCAACACAAATTCTGAGGTAACAATGAACGAAACAAGTTTGCGTTTTTGTCAACTGAACACCCCCTGATTGCATATTTACACTTATGTGCACTGCCAGAGCTTGGCTAGTGTTAAATGAATATTTAAGCGTAAAGTTAGATAGAACGAAAAAATATGTAGTTTTTATAACAGTGTATTTTATATTAATTAATCCCCATCAACTTTAACAATAACAAAAAAATCTTTTTTGTAGCATCCTATTTCCCTCAATGTAAAAGGTTGGACCCTAACCTCAACAAATGCCTGTTGAAGGCCTCAGATACAGTGCGTCCGTTTTTGGTGAAAGGGGTTCCCGAATTGAATATTCCAGCAATAGAGCCCTTCAAAATCCCTGAAATTACCCTGGAACAAGGAACTAACGCCTTGAATTTTAAGGCCGTTTTGCACGATACAGTAATACACGGAATGAAAAACTACAAATTCTCGCAATTTGAGTAAATAAAACGTTTTGATATATAGTGACAATATTTATTTCATAAATAAATAAATTTTTAGCTTTGACACTGAAAAATTACAATTTATCGCCAAGGCCGTCATTGCACCAATAACTCTAGAAGGAAAGTACAAGGTCAATGGAAGAATTTTGGTGGCACCAATCCAAGGAGAGGGCAAATTCACAGCTGCCATAGGTAAATAAACAAATTTTAACACGCCAGTCACAAAATTCAACCTTAGATTATTTCTGGTTTAAAAAAATGTATTTTACTATTTTTTTTTTAGATAAATGCGATGTAAAATTCTTCCAACAAGTGAAACCCACGAAAAACAAAAAAGGATTGGAATTCATTTTGTCCACCTACACCAACACAACAATCAGTGTAGACAAGCCCAGAGCCCATTTGGATGGACTCTTCAATGGAAATGAAGAATTAAGTAAGTTTTCACTATAATTTTTTGTTTACCTCCTAGTCAGTAAAAACCCGTTCGAAACAATAAAAAATTCGACTAATGTCAGATCTATCTAACCTTACTTTTTATTATAATTATTTTTACAAAAAAAAGCTAATGTTGATAAAAATACATGGAAAAATGGATTGGAAGTTTTTGAGTTTTTTACGTACTTTTTTCACAGAAAACATTATTTAAAATTTAAATTTGACATGACTCACGCAAATGGCATAGTTACATTTTACTGATATTTTTTGATATTTCCACAAGGTATTTTTATCATGGTTTTATTTAGTTAATAAAAAGGTTAAAATGAGTAAAAGAAGTAGAGAGTTCGAGTGCGTAAATAACCCGCACAATCTGGGCGACGTAAGTGATGAGCACGGAGAACGTTTTCACCAGCAAATGAAGGCTATGGATGCAGCCATGATGGGTGATTACATTTGGTCCCTCATACGAGAAACGGAATACGAAAGCAACAAAAAACAAAGAAGGAGACAGAATTTTTTTAAACCTATGCTTATTGCATAAAAATCAATGTTCAATATTAAATTTTATATAATTCAATAAAATGAAGAAAAAACGTAAAAATTCTCGAAAAACTGAATTTTGGTCTTCAACTGAAAAATTGATAACTTCGCCATTTATCCATGAATTTTTATAAACAGCAGCTTATTTTTTTCCTTTAAGTATAATCTCTACGTAAAATAAATCAAACTGGACTTATCTTTTCGATTTCTATCTTTCCCAGAAAGATATGTAAATTTTCGACCTCGATTTTTGTAAAAAAAAAAGGACTTTTTCAACTTCATAAAATCACCAGTATCGAACTACTGCGCCGATACCAAAACTATACAAGAGAAAGTTGTAGAGGGCTCAATTACCTTGCTTGTTTGGTCAAAGCATAATGACATGCTTTTAGTAAACATCGACTATTTGAACTTTGTAAATACAATTTTTTCAAACCACACCAGTTTTTATGAAAAATATATTTTTCCCAACATAATTAAGGTCAAAAGTACCCAATATTTAATATCATAATTTATGCATATAATGAAGTAAAAATTATTGAATAATTATCAATAATTTTATTTATGAAAAAGTTTATGATGCATAATTATTAAAATGTTTAGTGTGAAAGGAATAAATTGTTTTGCTTTACCCATTAAAAAGAGTTTATTTTGTAGCTAATTTGCCCAAACCCATAGAATTGCACAATAAATATTTTTTGTGTATGTTTTTAGACAATGCCACAAACAGGATCATCAACGACAATGTAGATGTACTTTTTGAAGAAATAAGGCCAGTATTGGAAAAAATAATCACAGATGTGATTAACGACCTTTTGCTCAAAGCTTTTGAAGCACAAATCCCATATGACGATTTGTATCCTCCAACCAAATAGACAGCCTAAGATTTTTGAAAAATTTGTAAATTGTTAAATGTTTTTTTTTTGGCGATTATGTATAATATATTATAAGAACTTTATTTATCTTTATGTTTAAATAAATTAATATTTTTCTAAGAAGTTTAATTGTTTTGTATAATGAATAAGTTGTGTGGCTTCTGTCAGGTTTTTGCTATCCTTGAGGAGTCTTTCGAAGTCAGTTAGATCACCCAGTTGTGATTTTGAAATTCTTTTTTTCCTTAAATTCCCCAGCTCATTTTGTAAAAACAAGTTCATTAAAAGATCTTAAACACGTCAGAATTTACTATTTATTTATTTTGATTCAAATTTACATCAGTATTGAATGTGAACACTCCCCCCACTACTAGTTTCCTTAGGAGCCCCCTCAGTCCCGACAAATTGCATAGAACTTGTAGCTCTTGCTTCTAGCGCAGAAGAAAAATCACCAAAAATTACCGCTTCTATTGAAGAAATGGCACCTGGAATTTTTGTGCGATATCTATTTTACCTGCCACAGAGTACTCAATGTACCCTCTGTTTCGGTGGTGGATTTCCACCCGCCATGACGCTTGATGGTGCAAATATCACCCTCTGCATTAGCCAATGATGTGGTCGATGGTCGACACTATGACCAGTGTTTGACTCTGAATCTGGTGGTTTCAAGAAAATGCCACTTTTGATGGAGTGTTGATACCTACAGGTGCACAGTGCATCTTTCATTGTCATATTGCAGGAAGGACTTTTCTATGGCGACGAGTTCATGACGTAACAAATTTTTCTTACACATTTTAATAGCGTTAACTAAGAAGACTTTCAACGAAATTGTACTAAAAATTGTGGATTTTATCGTTGCATGAACTTTTCATCGATATCTACTTGAAGAAATCAAGAGAAAATCCTCTCCTTGTAAAAAACAATGTTACAATAAAATACGTTTAATTTAAAAATAGAGTGTTTTTTTTCACTGGAACTAAATAAATATAAATACATTTAAATATTAACATAACATCTTTTTTAATTACAAATTATCTTAATAGGATAAATTACATAGGGAATATATTTTTAAATGAGCTGGAAATTAGTGTATGTATAAATACCAAACCAATTAAAGGAAAACTTTAGTTCAAACTTATCAAAGCTAACCACAGCAAATAATAATAAAGATGTATAAATTCGTATTTTTAACATTTGTTGTTCTTGTTTCTTCAAGTGATGACAAAGATTTGCGTAAGTTTTTTTTACAAATTTTCAAACGTAATTCTGTTTTTCTACTTTTGAGCAACATTTTCCTTTTCAGCACCAAATTTTCCGAAATGTTACAGAGACTGGCCGATAGAAAAATTCGACGATTGCATGGTAAAAGCCACGGAAATTTTGCAACCCATATTGAGAGTGGGGGTGAAAAAGTTGGGATTTCCGCCCTTAAACCCTCTACTCCTACCTGAGGTTACTTTGGAACAAGAAGGCAACTCGGCTGCATACAAGGCCTATGTCACAAATTTTGCGTTGTATGGTCTGGACAATTACAACTTTAAAAAAATACAGTAAGCAAAGTTAATATGACAAAATGTTGTTATATGTATGTTTTTAAGTTTTGATTGGAAAAAACACTACGCAGTGGTGGAGGTGGATTTTGATCATATATACGTAACAGGGATTTACATTTTTAACGGAAAACTATTGCAGATACCCTTAGAGGGGAAAGGAGACTTTAAAGCTAACATAAGTACACACCTATAGGTAAAACAAATTTAAAAAATATTTTTCAAAAATTTTTTTAGCTACCTCCACCCATGCTGTAATGGAACAATGGAGCCGAGAAGAAATTAGAAATGGGACAAATTATCTTCATCATTTTAAGTATGATCTACATTTGGACCTCGGAAAAATCACCAGTCTTAGCGTTGAAGGGCTATTTGAGGATAATGAAGTTTTAGGTATTAAAAAAAAAATACCATCTATTGTATTTAATTTTTGTTTATTCTTTATAGCGAAAGCAACCCGAAAAACAATCAAAGATAACATCGCAGATCTTGTCGAAACACTTAAACCAGCCGTAGTAGAAGTAATTATAAGTTTGTTTAAAAACGTATACTTCAAAGAAATGGACTCCGTTCCCTATGACAATCTATTCCCTATATCCAAAAAATAAAAATTATATTAGTTATAACACTTGCGATTTTTATTAACCTTTGATTGAACTGATCCACGATGCACTTAATTGGTAATATTTGAAACAAGGTCAACTTTGGTATAAAGATTATTAATTTTACCTCATTATGATAAAAATAAATTCAATTACTTGTAGTTATTACTTATTAAGATTTAATCAACGTGTATGTTTTGGTTATGTATTGAGTTAGTCCAGATTCAGCTTATTCAAAACATTTTTTGTTTGTTTCCTAAGAGACCTGAATATAGTTGGAACAATTCAATAAAGTTGAAAAAAAGTATTTTTACAACAATTTATTTATAATATAATCGATAATTTTAAATGACCTTGTAGTTATTAAAATCATAATTTGAATTACTCAACTTTAAATCAAAAAAAGTTATAAATTTTATTTTGTACTTTTTGGTTATTGGATATAGGGTATCATAATACCCACATACAGTTGTGTGGCTTCTGTCAGGTTTTTGTTATCCTTGAGGAGTCTTTCGAAGTCAGTTAGATCACCCAGTTGCGATTTTGAAATTGTTTTTTCCTTAAATTCCCCAGCTCATTTTGTAAAAACAAGTTTATAAAAACATTTACCCTAAAGATCTGAAACACGCCAGAATTCACTATTTATTTATTTTGATTCAAATTTACATCAGTATTGAATGTACTAGTACTAGTTTCCTTAGAAGCCCCCACAGTCTCGACAAATTGCATAGAACTTGTATAATAATAATAATAATAATAATAATAATAATAATAATAATATTACTTTATTGCCCAACAGATTTACATCCAAATAAAGGACAAAATTATACAATATACAATAAGTTTATACGTACATAAAATAAAACAACATTTACACATTAATGATATTTTTGAAAAAGTAATCAGCTTCTTTTAATAAGAAAGTTAGCGAAGAACTATTAATGTCAATTTTTGAAGATATTTCGTTAATATTTTTCATCATGACTTGCAATGGAGATTTCAACAAAACATTAGTACGGGCATTATCTTCCCTAAAAGTTAATTTAGTCCTAGAGATTAAACGGGGAATATACAGATTAAACATAGATAATAACAACATACAGTCGATATTATTATGAAACAAGTCATACACAAATTTTATGCTAAACTTAACTCTACGCAATTCAAGTGAGTCCATTGAAAAGGCCCGAAGTAATTCAGCCTGAGGATGACCTCTGATAGGATAAAAACCATGAATTCTAAAGTTTACAAATTTCAGGAATCGTCTTTGAATATTTTCCAACGAAACTTTGTAGGTTGTGTAAATTGGGTACCAAATCAAGCTGCAATATTCGAGCCTTGAACGAACAAACGAATAATACAAATTTTTTAATGCGTTTATATCATTGAATGTATCAGAATTCCTTATAATAAATCCCAACATTTTTAGGGAAGAACTAGTTATATTACTTATATGCCTATCAAAAGTTAATTTATAATCAAATAAAACACCCAGATCTTTGACAGTATCAGAAAGTTCCAGTAAAGAGTTATTAAACATATAATTAAATGTTAACGGATTATGGCCTTTGTAATATGACATAACTTTACACTTAGAGGCATTCATATACAATTTATTGGCATGACACCATTGGTTAATTTTGTTTAGATTATTTTGAATCATACTACAGCTCTCAGCACCATCCACTCTAAGAAATATTTTTAAGTCATCTGCGAACATAAGTTTTTCACAGTCAAGGTCGTGAACAATATCATTAATAAAAATGAGAAAAAGCAGAGGGCCCAAATTTGAGCCTTGCGGGACTCCAGATTTACAAATAAATGGCAATGAGTTAAACCCATTATAAGAGACAAATTGAGTTCTATTAGTGAGATAAGAAGCAAAGAACTGAGTTAATGAATTGTCAAAGCCAATAGTATTAAGTTTGCTCACAATAAGCGAATGACTAATCCTGTCAAAGGCCTTCGAGAAATCCGTGTACACCACATCAACTTGAGATCGCTGGTCAAGTGCTTTGGAAACATATTGGGTAAAATAGACAAGATTAGTAGTTGTGGAGCGACCAGCCATAAATCCATGCTGATGCGGTGATAGTTGATTACGAATAAAGGGATAAATGGTGGAGTACAGGGCCATCTCGAAGACCTTCGCAAAGTTAGACAGTATCAAGATGGGGCGATAGTTCGACATATTGGACGCATCACCGCCTTTAAGAACTGGACAGACACGAGCGATTTTCCAAATATCTGGAAAAGTGGAATATTTAAGAGCTATATTAAAAATATATACCAGAGGTTGAGCCAATACGTGAGCACAATCCTTAACCAGGAAGCTTGGCATCTGGTCATGTCCGGAGGTCATCTTATCACCCAATCTCTTAACTGCAATAAGCTATAGCTCTTGCTTCTAGCGCAGATGCAGAATCACCAAAAATGACCGCTTCTATTGAAGAAATGGCACCTGGAATTTTTGTGCGATATCTATTTTACTTGCCACAGAGTACTCAATGTACCCTCTGTTTTGGTGGTGGATTTCCACCCGCCATGACGCTTGATGGTGCAAATATCACCCCATGCATTAGCCAATGATGTGGCCGATGGTCGTCTCACACTATGACCAGTGTTACACTCTGCATCTGGTGGTTTCAAGAAAAAGCCACTTTTGATGGAGTGTTGATACCAACAGGTGCACAGTGCATCTTTCATTTCCATATTGCAGGAAGAATCTTTGCATGGTGACGTGTTCATGTCGTAACAAATATTTCTTACACATTTTAATAGCGTTACTAAGGGCCGGTTTATCAATCTCTGGTTTAGTTCCAGTTAGTCTATCTGACAGTTAAATTCCATATCGATCGTTGTGAGAACAATGGTATCCATGGAGATTATCTGCCAGATAACTAACTGCAACTTTAACCGGACATTGATAAACCGGTGCTAAGAATACTTTCAACGAAATTGTACTAAAAATTGTGGATAAAACGTTGCATAAACGCTTCATCGACATCTACTTGAAGAAATCAGGAGAAAATCCTCTCCTTGTGAAAAACAATGTTACAATAAAATACGTTTAATTTAAAAATAGAGGGTTTTTTTACTGGAACTTAATAATGATAATTACATTTAAATATTAACGTAACAAATTTTTTAATTATAAATTATCTTAATAAAAAAAATACACATGCATGTATTTTTAAATGAGCTGGAAATTAGTGTATGTATAAATACCAAACCAATTAAAGGAAAACTTCAGTTCAAACTTATTAAAGCTAACCATATTAACTAACCATGTATAAATTCGTATTTTTAACATTTGTTGTTCTAGTTTCTTCAAGTGATGACAAAGATTTGCGTAAGTTTTTTTTACAAATTTTCAAACGTAATTCTGTTTTTCTACTTCTGAGCAACATTTTCCTTTTCAGCACCAAATTTTCCGAAATGTTACAGAGACTGGCCGATAGAAAAATTCGACGATTGCATGGTAAAAGCCACGGAAATTTTGCAACCCATATTGAGAGTGGGGGTGAAAAAGTTGGGATTTCCGCCCTTAAACCCTCTACTGCTACCTGAGGTTACTTTGGAACAAGAAGGCAACACGGCTGCATACAAGGCCTATGTCACAAATTTTGCGTTGTATGGTCTGGACAATTACAACTTTAAAAAAATACAGTAAGCAAAGTTAATATGACAAAATGTTGTTATATGTATATTTTTAAGTTTTGATTGGAAAAAACACTACGCAGTGGTGGAGGTGGATTTTGATCAGGTTTACATAACAGGGATCTATGTTTTTAACGGAAAACTATTGCAGATACCCTTAGAGGGACAAGGAGACTTCAAGGCTAACATAAGTATGACGGTAAAACGAATTAAATAAAATATTTTACAAAATATATTTTAGCCACCAATACCCATGCTGTGTTGGAGATATGGAGCAGGGAAGAAGTTAGACATGATACGACTTATCTACACCATTTTAAGTACGATCTAAATTTGGACCTCGGAAAAATTACCAGTCATAGCGTTGAAGGACTATTTAAGGACAATGAAGTTTTAGGTACACGAATACTTAACTTTTTTACTATGTTTCAAATTCCTATCTACCATATATATAATATATACTGCAATGATTTTTTCAAACCTTCAGACACGTTGATTTTGTTTGCGAGACGGACATTTTTTGACTATATTGGCCTGTTTAACCAAAATCTTTATTCGTACCTATAATCTAGAGGTAAAATATACATAATTGTTTTTTATGTGATTCTTCGGCCAACCTAATATCACTCCAACATCTAAAATCAATACATAATACTACACACACACAGTAAAAAAAGATGCTTTCAGTCAAATACTGTAGGTTTAAACCAAAGCATTCATTGTTTTAAATAGCCACAAATAAATCATCTATTAGACTCAAGATAAGTTTATATTTGTAATTTAAATATATCATGATCTTAGAAAAAGTAAATGCGCGCTTTAAATTAAATGCATGTTATGACTTAGTTTAAAACTAATATATTCTTAAATGGAAAAGTTGGGCTTCTTTATGTAAATATATAATGCCTTTGTCGTAAGTATTGGATATTTTTTATAGAAAACTACGATATATTTAATTTAAAAATAAATTAAATTTGACGCAAAAATAATGTTTTTTGGTTAAAATTTAACATATGGTTGAATTAAATGTATAATATTTTTGTTGGAAGAAATTCATGCTTTCATATTAAGGCAACGATGTGTTTAATTTAAATAATTTTTATACTTACTTTAAGGTCAAATTTAGATTTAAAGCAAAAATGTAATATTTTTTAATAAATCCTTTTATATAGGCTTTATTTAAATTAAAATGTTTATTTACACACAAAATGTACATACATAATGTAGTTTAAAAAAGTTAAAAGTTAATTTAAGTAAGAATGTACCTTATACACTTACATATATAAATATAGTAATATTATATTAGTTAAAATAAGCATTTTAATAAGTTAATCCTTCTTTGCAGAATTAATTTAAAAACATTACATTTTTGCCTACAGTCTAGTAGATTAAGTCTACAGTAGATAACAGCTTTAAATTCCTTTAGCTTGAATATATTACCATGATTTAAATTGTTCAAGAACTCCACTAAGTAGGTATGTTTTATTTTTTAAAATAAAGAAATAATACATTAAATAATTAAAAATCCATATTTATTTAATTATAATTATTTTGGTACAAATAATATAAATTTACAAGAGCATCATGAAACTAATCCTAAAATAACAAAAAATAAACATTCGCATATAAAATGAAACAAAAGATAAACCTTTGTATTTAAAATTAAACAAAAATAAACAATACGGTATCTGATAAAATATACGATACCGTATTTTAAATATAACATATTACAATATTAATAATAATAATTTTAAAAGCAAAACAATAGCAATACACATATTACTATTATTATTAATAACATATTACCTACCTTTAAAAACGGGGATTAGATCTTCTAAATTACATTGTTCTAATAGTTCTTCCATATTTTTGCACAAACTTTTATAAACTACACCAGAGGAAACACATAAACGAAATGGCGGCTAAAAAGAATACCGGCACCGGCACCGATACCGAAGCGAAACAGTTTCTGGTAACCCATTGGTTCCATAAGTCACGTGATACTAACAACTCATCAGTTTCTGGTAACCCATTGGTTCCATAAGTCACGTGCTACTAAAATCTCGCGATAAAATATTTTAAACATACCATATATTTAAAATAAAATTATATTTTTAAATCAATTATACATATTATTTGTTTGAAGAATTATAATTTTAGTTCAAAACAAAAATATTACTTTGACTTAAAACTCTTGGTATTTTAGTATAAAATAAATCATATACTTAAATGAAAAATAAAATTGTATTAGATTAAATACCTTTATATTCTTAAAATCTAAGAAAAATATTACTTAAATCAAATATTTTAATATTTAGCTAAAGAAGCTTTTATTTGATAACGAAGATTTTTTATTTCTTGGAAAAAGAAAATTGCAAAGCTTAATTGAAAGATATATTTTTAAACTAAATAATTGATTATTTCACTCAAAAATATATTTCCAATTATAGCAATTATCTTAAATTAAGAATATTAGTTTTTACTGTGCATAAATATAATTATGCAATAATTATTACCTACACATACATTTGGTGGTTAATTCTATCAAATTCCACTAATTTAGCAGCTCTTTCATAATTCCAAACCAAATATTAACTAACACAAGAAACAATCTTCCAAAATGTCGGGCACTTTCGTGAGTGGGGGATATTTTTAAGAATAGGCCAGTCGTGCCAATATTTACTAATCTTAGAATAAATATAATTATATTTATATCCACTATAGTTTTATATATTTAAGAACAGAATATAGGAAAGAATAAGATCTGCTTGTTTAAAGAAAGATTAATATTTGGTTTAATGTTGGTTTTAGCCTTGCAATATTAGGTCAATCTGGTTTCAACTGTACTTGATTTTAAGCCAAAAGAAATTTAATGTAGTTCCTTACAAAAATAACATTCCAATGTATTTAATTTTTGTTTCTTTTTTTAGCAAAGGCAACTCAAAAAACAATCAAAGATAACATTGCAGACCTAGTCGAAACACTTAAACCAGCAGTAGTAGAAGTTATCATAAGTTTATTCAAAAACGTATACTTCAAAGAAATGGACTCTATTCCCTATGACACTCTATTTCCAAAAACCAAAAAATAAAAATAATATTTTTTTTTACACATTTTTTTTATTAACCTTTGATTAAACTGATCCACGATGCATTTAATTATTAATATTAAATAATAATATAATTTTAGTAATTTTAAAAACAAGGTCAATTTTGGTATTAAAATAATTAATTTTATTTCACTAACTGAGGTAGTTAATTAGTTATAATTATAGTTATTAAATATTAAGATTTAATAAGCACATGTACGTTTTGCTTGTGTATTAATTGTTGTTATACAGCGTGTATAATACTTAATGCTACACAGCAAAACCACATATTCATGTGTTTATTGTTTTTCCAAAGTTATTTAATAAAATCGTAATCGAAATATAAGATCCGGTCCACCTTAAGCATAAAAATTATAATTATACTAAAATCTGGTTATAAATATCAAACAACTGTTTTACTTTTTTTCAATCTATAAATAGGTATTCATAGGTGAAAAGAAAATGTGTAAAATTGCTTTGTTAACAATTATAGTTATAGTTTCTAGTTCTAGTGTGGATAAATATTTACGTAAGTTAAAACATATAAAAATGCACGATTTTGACTTTTTTTGACTTTAGCATCAAATTTTCCAAGGTGCTACAGAGATTGGCCGACAGAAAAATTCGATGATTGCGCAAAAAAACTCGTTGAGACGATCCAACCTATGTTAAGGGTTGGCATTAAGAAGTTAGGATTTCCATCCCTCAAACCTCTTGTATTTCCCAACGTTACGCTGGAACAAGAGGGAAATACTGCTACATTTAAGGCCTTTGTAACAAATTTCGCCATACATGGGTTTGATAACTATAAAATTCAAAAAGCACAGTACCCAAGCTATAGAATAATAAAATATAAAATTTTGATGTATTTTTTTTTTAGTTTTGATTTTTTAACACACTATGCAGTGGGAGAGCTAGATTTTCCAGAGATTTTCGTAACAGGAATTTATCACTTTGATGGAAAACTATTCCAGGTACCATTGATGGGACAGGGAGATTTTAGGGCTAATATAAGTAATAATGATAGTAAAACAAAACAAAAACAAAAAATTTTGTACGAAATTTATTTTTAAGCTTCCAATACCCATGCTGTATTTGAAGTATGGAGCAAAGAAGAGATTAGAGATGGGGTAACATATCTGCATCATTTTAAGTATAAAACTCATTTAGAACTGGGTAAAATTAGTAGTCATAGTGTTGAAGGACTTTTCAAGGACAATGAAGTTTTAGGTATACCTAAAACTTTACTGCAGTAAAATTAATTTCTATTGGTATTTTTTTTTAGCCAAGGCGACTAAATCTACCATCAAAAACAACATAGCAGAAATAGTGGATACTCTTAAGCCAGCTATTGAAGAAGTGATCACAAGCTTGTTTCAAAATGTGTACTTCAAAAAATTAGACACGATTCCCTACGATATATTATTTCCTATATCCCAAAAATAAAAAAATAATATTTGTTATTCTCGTGTTTTTTATTCAACCTTTCGAAGTTGCATTATATTACAAAACGTCTTTTTATTACTTTTTTTAAATATAAGCCTATAAAAATTATATTTATATAATTGGGATTTAATATTTATAAGATCTTCTCAAAAACAAGTTTGTGCATAATACATTGTTAAACAGTTCCTTAATTCAATGCCATTTTATAAAACAATATCAACCTGTATAAGACTTATTGCGAAACGGTTATTCTTCAGTCTCAAATGGTACATGTCAAAATGCATACTGTTTTCTTAAGTTTAGTTTTGTGTGTTGCGAGCTTTATTATTTTTGGGGTACAAAGTAGGCAATTACGTAAGTATAAAGTAAATTTTGTATTTAAATATATGTATGTATGTATATATTATATATAGACAGTTAAAAATTTATAAAATTGTTACTTGATACAAAAATAATAATAATTAAAATCTTAAAATTTCAAAAGATTTAACAAACATTAATGTGTTAAAAGGTTCCACACAAATAAGAATGTTAAATGATCATTTTTTTGTACATTGTAGTATAATAATATAGTTAATGTTACGAGAAAATTATGTTAATTTCAATATAATACATTAGTTTAAATAACTCCTAAACAAGTGTTAATCTAACTCAAAAATATTTTTTAAAAATTTAAGTACAGAAAATGTTTAATCAAATTAAAACAATTGAGTATTTTCTTTCAATGTAAAAATTAATTAAAAAATATTGTTAAAATAATCAAATGAAGACATACTATTTGTGTAAAATCAATAGAAAGTTATATGTTAAAGTAAAACATTTTTGTGTAAAATAAATAAAATAAAAATTATTAGGTTAAAATGTTATATGTATGTAAAAAAATATATATTAATTTTCTTTTACACATTCTTCTGTTGTGTTAAACATTAACATAAGTAACAAGAATCAAAAAAACTAAAAAAATTAAGTGGACTTTCTGGGACACAATAAATATACATAACATGTTAAATATACATACATTTTTTACTGTGTATATACATTGCTTTAAAGATTTTATGTTAATTCTTTAACACATTAAGCTGTGACGGGTGAATTTGGTTTAAACGCTTTTTTAATTAAAAAACGAAAAAAAGACCCAAAAACAAAAATTTCCCATAAATACATTACGAATTATAAATATACAAAAAAGCATGTAATGTTAAGTGCAAGGTTATTCATCATTAAATAATCTTGTTTTTATGTATGTCAATGCAAACACAAATGTACTTAACTTACATAAATAACATGTCACAAAAAATATAAAACACTTGTTGCTTTTTAGCTTCATATTTTCCGAGATGTTACAGAGACAGGCCGCAAGAAGAAATTAATGAATGTATGCTAAAAGCAACTGAAATTGTGAGACCCTACCTGAAAAAAGGTGTTCCTGAACTAAAAATACCCTCCATATCGCCTTTGACAATCCCTGAAATTTCCCTGGAACAAGGGACTACCTCCACAAGCTATAAGGCTTACGCCAAAAATGTTTCACTCTATGGACTGGACACATACATCTTCAGGAAAAATGAGTAAGTTAGGGGGCATCCATTAATTAGGTTTTATTTAGGAAGATCTCCTTCATAATTTTGAACCAATTTTCTTAGCACTTCTTCCACCCCAACTACACTAACGTGCAAAATAATCGATCCACACAAATTTTCGATGAATTTCAATCGCAAATAACTTTTTTATTTGATGTCGGATTTAAACGAATATTAAAGAATATTGTAGATAAATTAATGGACAATCGCTCACATTTTAAAAAAATACTAAAAATAGATGTACGTTTATAATATACAGGTTTAAACAAAAAGATGTTTTTTACCATAAGTTTAAAACACTCTGTAGAGTGGCAAAACCGTATATTGTTCTAAATTAAGTTTTATTTATCAAATCACATCTATTCTTAACAGTTTTGTTTTTGGTTCACCTCGATATATTTATTTTTGTGGAAAATATGGATTTTTTTTAAAAAACATTGCAATTTCCAATATTTTTCCTGTATGAAGAACTAAGGTTGCTATGGTCCATTCATAGCTTATGGAGAATGACAGTGACAGTTTTGTTGAATCATCCCATACTTGGACATGTCATATACAGCTTTCAAAAGCTATCAAATTGTTTTTTGTAAATTAATGTGTTAATTTTGAGGTGTCTTCTTACTTTTAAAAATGTCTCCGACTGATGTTGCCCTTTGTACTTTACTTCTTATGACGTTTAAAACACTTGCCAAGTAATACTGTGACCGTCCATCCTGGATTAAATTAATAGCTCTGGCAACATCAGTCGGAGACATATCCATTTTAAGTAAGTAAGAAGACACCTCAAAATTTAAACATTAATTTGCAAAAAACAATTTGATAGCTTTTGAAAGCCGTGTATGACATGTCCAAGTATGGGATGATTCAACAAAACTGTCACTGTCATTCTCCATAGCCTATGGATGGACCATAGCAACCTTAGTTCTTCATACAGAAAAATATTGGAAATTGCAATGTTTTTAAAAAAAATCCATATTTTCCACAAAAATAAATATATCAAGGTGAACCAAAAACAAAACCGTTAAGAATAGATGTGACTTGATAAATAAAACTTAATTTTGAACAATATACGGTTTTGCCACTCCACAGAGTGTCTTAAACTTATGGTAAAAAACATCTTTTTGTTTAAACCTGTATATTATAAACGTACGTCTATTTTTTAGTATTTTTTAAAATGTGAGCGATTGTCCATTAATTTATCTACAATATTCTTTAATATTCGTTTAAATCCGACATCAAATAAAAAAGTTATTTGCGATTGAAATTCATCGAAAATTTGTGTGGATCGATTATTTTAAAGATATATTCTTTTCAGATTTAATCCAAAGACTTTGGCCTTCTTCTGTGACGTTAACATGCCAGTTTTAGCCATGAGAGGGACATATGTGGTGGAAGGCAAATTTTTAAACGCTCCTTTGCAGGGACAAGGAATTTTTTACTCCAATATAAGTAAGTCGTTGTGTTTTACAAACCTTCACCTTTAGGTGGTTAGAACCAAAACATTTTATTTATTAAATACAGCAAACTCAAACGGAACTTTGGACATACAAGCAAAATTGGTGACAAGAAAAAACGTTCAATACATGGAAATAGAAAAAATGGTCACCAAACTGGACGTTGGGAAGGTTGTGGACTACGGGTTGGAAGGTCTATTTTCAGACAACGAAATTTTAGGTAAACAACATTATTACTTTGCTTTAGTATATATCAAAAACAGTCCACAATGGCCCGCGAGATCACCGGATGTATCTCCCGTTGATTTATTTTTTGTGGGAACATCTGAAATCCAAAATGTATGCTTATATTTCTTTATTGTAGCCAAGGCAACCCAGAATGCACTGAGAGAAAACTTGCCATTGGTAGTTGAAGAATTAAAACCAGCCATAGAATTATTAATGACCAGATTATTTAGGGACGTGATTCTAAACGCCATTTTAAAAATACCGTATGATGAAGTGTACCCCATATCAAAAAAATAAAAATGCTGTTTTATTTATTCATTAGGTTATAAAATAAAAATCGTAAGTTATTGTTGATTGTTTTATTACAAATGTACGAAAAATCATAGACATTTCAAAATTAGAACTATTCCGGTAAAATAGCGTCGATTGGGTACTTGTGGAAAATTTTATTTGAAAACTTTTTAAAGATGCTTGCAATCGTGTCCTCCATGACTGGTTTAATTTCAGAGGCGACGTGTTTCCAATTGTCATTCAGAAACAAATTCATTGCTTCACCTAAAAATTTTTTTTTTTGCTATTAATGCTTGAAAAAGTAATCTCAAAGGTATCAATAAATAAAAATATTACATTTTAACAAAAATTTTCTGTATATGGGTGAAGTAGATATTACAGCACAGGTTCCAGATTTTTAACCAAATATCTGAGGTAGTAAAAGCATACTAAAAATATCAGTTCACTAAGAAATTAAACACATCCAAAGCAATCGAATCAAATAAGAAATATTATTAAAAATTAAAAGAAATAATTGTTATAACTATTTATGTATGATTCTATCCTCCGTGAATCTGTTTTTGCTTTAAATTTTATGCAACGGATGGCGCTTTAATCATTTTAAATAAGCAAAAACCTCTGTTTACGACATTATAGATGCATGTGATTCCTGAAGGTCAGTTAGAATTTATATGCAGATGAAAGTGTTGCTGTTTTATAATTCCAAAGTTTAAAGTCATTAATTTGCTATTTAAAAACCTATCCACCGTGAAGTGTAATATCTCAGTATTTTATACTTCTCAATATATTCACCCATATGTACTTACCTAATTCTTTGTCTCCATTAAATAGGTCGTCCAAACGAATCTGCGCATGCCCCACGTTAAAATCAACCAAAAAATCTTTAACGTTAAAGTACAACTCGTCGCCTTTCTTTACTTTTTCCCCGTCCATGGAAACAGTGGCGTCGATGTTAGCTAAAAAAAAGTGAACAGTTTTTCCAAAAAAAAAAAAAAAAATCGCCTTACTATAGTTTCCAGTACACGCCCCTGTTCCTTGAATGGGCATCATCAGTATTTTGCCACTCATTGTGTAAACACTGGAGATTTCCAGATGTGGAATCCATAATTTGATTCTTACCTTGTTTTTGTCTAAATCAATTCTAAAAAAAATAACATTACATATTATCAACAACCCAATATACAATTTGTACTACTTATGGTAAGGTTATATAAGAGTTTAACAAGGTTTTATAAAACTCCCCAAATAAGCTCTTTAAGGGGTATATAAAAGTGATATAAATACTTATGTAACCAAATTAAGAAGTTAAGGTTTTATACTAAAAAATAACCTTTGAACAGTACTTACTTGACATTTTTTATGGTAAATTTCGAAGGCCCGTATATCTTGATATCCCTATAGTTCGACTGTACAGCTACTGAACCAGTTCCCTGATCGATAGAAACCTCTGGAATGAGCAATGGCTCGCAACTGGGAATATCAAACTCGGGTATACCCTTTGCCAAGAAAGGCCTCAGCCTTTCCACCGAATCCTTTATGCATTCCTTCAGTTTTGGATCATTCCTATGACAAACCTTCAAAAAAGAAGCTAAAAAATATTATTAGAAAATTTTTTGTAGTGTGTTTATATGGTTATCTTACGTAATTTTGGCTTTGCATTCACAAAACTGCACAAAAATATGGTAACGATTAAAAATTTTACCACACCCATCTTAACCTAACACCACTAAACAATAAAATATCACAATGTGTAAAATGTAGTTAGTGGTGACATTATTTTATTTTTGCCTATTTATTAGTTTGATAATTTTGTTTTAATACTTCAGCATTTTTAATAATGTTGCCCAATTATTGTTTTTATTTTTAATTCGCGTATTTCTAAATGCATCAATTATAATATAAATATACGGAATCAAATAATTATGATAAATTATTTTTTATAAAAATCTCTTTTTATTTTTACAATTTATTACAACAAAATATATATTTTTTTACCTTCTTGGCTGTGCAAGGTGATAAATTATAATTTTATTATAAATGTAATTAAATTACATAATTATTAGAGACCGGATTTATATGCACCTAAAATGAAAAAGGGTCCTTAAAAGAAACAAAAAAAAAACAAATTATGCACACAAAGTTAAAAAATGCATGTAACAGTTTCAAAATATTATATCACCCAAATTATAAAACTTAAATTTCTTAATTTTGCTACATATATACCCCTTAAAGAGCTTATTTTAGGAGTTAATAAAAGTTTTCGTTACCTGAGTTAACTAAAACCCAAGTTTTATAGTGTTACTTAACTCTATAACTAATATAGCTATAGCTAAAGGAAACAGAAATATTATGGAAACCACTATATTCCTTCTTTAAGAACTTTTTTCCTTCTTTTTACGTTGCCTTAGTTTTGTAATAAAATTTGATTTACATTTATTTTATATAGAAAACAATAATGGCGAAATAAATGAGCCCTCTTATATTACTTATAGTAATTTTATATAACCTAAGGTATTAGTTCAGTTTTATAGTGGTATCTATTTTACTAAGTGTTTTTTATAGTTTTGAAAGTCTTATATACATTTTAGTACAAGTAATGTTATAAAACTTTTGATAGGCAACCATCTAACCACTCAAGATTTATCCACTTTTAAAGTATTACTGTTATTAAATGTTTTCTTTCCAACTAATTTTTTATTAAAATTTAAAAAAAGCGTTTAAAAAAATTAAATTTATAAAATTTATAAATTTATAAGATATTTTTAAAAAACTTATATAAACCTACCGTACTATATAAAATGTTTGTGAAAACAATTATATAACCTAATTATATTACTAGAGGTTACAGTTACATTATATGGTCATTATAAAACTCGTATACACTTTGACTACCATTATGTAATCTTTATAAAACAAAAAATAAGGACTTGGTTTTATAAAAACAGGTCACAGCAAGCTTTATAAAACCTTTTTAAAAACTTATATAAACCTACCGTACAATATAAGTTGTTTGTGGAAACATTTATATAACTTAACTATATTAATAGGGGTTACAGTAACATTATAAGACCATTATAAAACTCTTAAATACTTTGACTACTGTTAAATATAAGGTAATAACCTATATATAACTTTAAAAAAATGAAGACTTATTAAAGTTTTATAAAACAGGTAACCGCAAACTTTATTAGACCTTTTTAAAAACTTACATAAATCTATCGTACAATATAAATTGTTTGTGGAAACAGTTATATAACCTAATTATATTACTAGGGGTTACAGTAACATTATATGACCATTATAAAACTATTATATACTTTGAGTACCTTTATATAACTAATCATACCTTAAGTTATACAAATTGTTTATTGGTACTGCTGCCAACTTCAGTGTGTGTTATAAGTCCTTAATAGCACCTAATTGAAGGCAATTCTATTAGCAAAATCAGTTCCAAACGCTCATTAACAAGCCAACGAAGCAAGAGAAATGAAAAATCGCATCGAAAACTTTCACTATTTCAGCTGTGCGCACCTTGTGCGGCAAATCTGTTCCTTACCACGACCGAGCAGAGAAATCACTTTCCCCTGAAACGGTCGCAAAACAAAATTAACACGTACGGCGAAGCAAACGTCAAACGTTCATTAAAAAGGGGAAGATCGAAATTTACGGAGAAGCAATTTTTAATTCAGACCATCGATGTGTTAACAGTGTGGTGCGAAATGGAAGTTCTTCTCAAAGTGTTTCTCCTGGGATGTGCGACTTTTTTTCATTACGGTGTCGAGGGGTATGAAGTAAGAGAGGCACCGTTGCTCAAAAGTAGACGTGAGTACAAAATCTTTGACGTTTTTTGTACTGTACATGTACTGTACTTCTTGACTGATTTTCGTAGTTTTTTAATCTATATGAGATAAGTTTCTCATCTCATTTTGTTATTCTTTTGGTATTTCCAAAAATTAACAAAATAAACCAAATTTTTGAAAATCATTTGTCACATCAGTTTTTTAAAATGCAATGAAATATAATGTACCTACCTACATAGAACCTGCATTTCCCAAAACATAATCTAAACAATGAAATTCCCACTGAATTATCTTCCTTTGTTGCCCATTTTAATGGTAGCAATCGTAAAAACTTTGCAATGTAAGGTTATATAATATTCTCAACGTTAGATAACTAAATATAATTTACGGCATATCTGAACTTTCCTTTTTTTAGCAAGCTGTCCTAGATACTGAGCCGAGACGATCAAAATTTACGTTATGCTTTTCCCAATTTATTTATATTATTTATTTATGTAACGTAAGAAATATATATGTATATACGAAAAAATGTTTAAAATAAAAATTAAATGTACTTATAGGGGGAACAGGGGGTATCTTTAAAATTTCCAATGGAACACCCTATTTTTTATTGCAGATTCGGATCATTCGACTAAACCGGTCTAAAACATTTTTTCATATTTGTAATGAAAAAAAATCATTTTTTTTCGATTTTTATTCTTATACGATTCTTTAAGTTAAATGACTCACCCTTTATATACATATATATTTCTGATACACCACTGGACATAAATGAAATGTTTTTTTAAGCAAAATGGTTGAAAGCCTGCAGAAGAAATGGCCCTGATATCAATGACTGCATCAATGATTGGTTTGGAAGCTTGTTCCCCTATTTAGCAGTTGGTAAGTATTTTTTTACTAAACAACAATTATGGTGTCCAAAATAAAAGAACCAACACTGCATTTCTAACGGTATCAAAAACGTCTAATGTATTTTTTTAGGTATACCCGAAATCAAGGTCGATCCCTTCGAACCTCTTCCATTGGATAGAGTCTCTATAAGCAAAGGTTCTGGAGCTATAACCTTGGCAGGCAGTTTATTTAACATGAATGTAGAAGGACCATCAAATTCAACAACCACATATTCAGAGTAAGTTAAAAAAAAAACCCTAAATGGTATTCAAGAACCCACTTTAACTTCCTGTATGTCCAAACCTAAGGTGTATTTACTTAAATAACGTTTTTCTGAAGTTTCAGCGAAAAAGAAAAATATTGGAACTTCGGTTTGAATCTACCCCTTCTAGACATCAAATCAGAATACAATCTTAAAGGTAACATCCTCGTGTTACCTTTGGTAGGTCATGGTACATGCGAAATAAAGTTGTTCGATACGAAAACCAAAATAACCACAGAATTGGCCTTCCCAAGAAGAGAAAATAGGGAGATGGTCAACATCGAAAACATGACTGTCAAATTTAAGGTTGGAAAAATGAGGGTCAAGTTCCACAACCTGTTCAACGGCAACAAGATTTTAGGTATCCTTTGAAAATATTTTCCCGAATTTTTCCTTTAATATATAAGTATATATTTTTTTTTAGGAAAAACTGTAAACTCTTTCATCAACCAAAACGCAGTGGAGATTATAGACGAACTAGAAGACAGCATAGGAGGGAGTTTGGCGATTATTTTCCGAGATTTGATGAACAATATTTTCACCAAAATTCCCACAGATTTGTGGCTACTTTCAGACGCCGAATACGAAAAATACGTTGAAGAAAGAAAAAATATAGAAAATACGAATAAGACTGAATCTGTATAAGATTTAATTGTAGTATATTTATTAGATTTGTATTAATTAGATAGGAGATGTTGTTATTTTGAGAATATTAATAAAAATGTTATAAAATGTTAAGTAGTATTAATACAAAAAATTCATCTGAACATAATAATATTATATTATGAATTTTTAACTCTCAAAATAGTTAGGATTTTGAAATGAGTAGTACATATTTTTGTCGGAAATTATAGTAATTTTATTTCCAAAAACACAAATTTAATTTTTATGGTCAAATCAGTATGATACATATAAACAAAAAGCTTTCTGTATACACATATAAACTATTAGTTCAGCTAGACGATAATAGATGGCGCTGCAACACACATATTTCTCCATGGTAATTAATTTTTAAAAAATCAAACAATTTTGTTAATTTCCCCTTGTTGCAATATCAATCACGAGTGCGTAAACACAATAAAATTTTATTTTATTCATTTATCGATATTTTCTATCTTTACGTTGCATAATAGGCAATTTGTTGTTAAATTTGCAGGATGGATGCTGTAACCATTGATGTTGTTATTAGTAATAAAACTCTTTAACGTCAATAATTTTTTATTGAATTGTAATCGTTTTCCTGTATTAAATGCTGTACTCTTTTTATTTTAAAAGTAGTTAAATATAGGTGGCTACGGCCCAGGAGAGACAAAATATTTCTAGACACTTATTTATTAAATACTCGCTATATATACCAGGGTACTAATTAAATACATAATTTATTGGAAAATATAAGATTTATTGCAACTTTGAGCATATTATACATTAAATTTTAAAATCAAATAATACCACACATCAGTGGCGGCTGGTGGATTTTGGGTATACCGATATCTCAACTATTAGATATGGGACCCACACCAAATTTATATGAGTTTATAATGACATTAAATAAACAAGTTCTGCGCAAGCAGAATTTAGTTGAAGTTTGCGAAAAAAAGATAATCGAATGGGATACAAATTTGAGATTATAATTCGGAATTAAGTATCCTACTGATATTTTTTATTAGTGGATGCTACTTATCAACAAATCACATATAGCCTTATATAAATTACAATGAAATATATATACATAAGAAAATAACTACGCACCACAGTACTGAAATTTTGACTGGAACTATACGAGCATTCACCACAACTTCGCCGCTTGCATTGTTTTCAAGATGACTGTCGTGCAAAGGGCGGGCTCTGTAGGTAATTTTTTACCAACACTTGAGTTAAAACGAGGACTTGACGTTTAAACTTTACACTGAGAGAAGGTTTTATTTCAGCGAAAGGCATAACGTTTGTTTCAAACGTATAACATATTTAAATACGGCGGAATGTACCAAGGTTTAATGGTAAAAAACCATCACTTTGGAGCTTCTGGAAAACTGCTTTTGAACGAAACGCATGTAGATTTGTGTCAAATTTGCTGAGTTTGAATTCTTTGTTGAATACTTTTCTGATAAATTGGTAATTGCTTGCTACCAGTATAGTCGATTTTATATGAATCGATGTAGGTTTGACTCAAACTTACTAATTTTCAATTTCTTGGCAAGTAACTTTAGGAAAAATTGGTATCTGCTTGTTACCAATAAAGTTCATTTCCATTAAACGTACCTGCATTTCTGAAGAAATTACGGTTTCTTTGGATGAAACGCCATAATGCTTAAGAATATTGTATAAATCGTCGGCCTTATCACGAAGTCGCCTAACCCACAAAATTGAAAAACAAAATGAGATTTTTCGCAGATTAACTTACGATGGTCCTACTATTCTCACGAAATGGCCTATGTTTTTTTACAGCACATGTGCTGTACAAAGTCTGCAGACTTTGTACTATGGCCCACCTCGTGAAGTATTAGAATATCGTAAGTTAACTCTCTCAAAATGTCACTGTTTTCAATTTTGTGGTTTAGGCCACCGTGATAAGGCCGACTATTTATACAATATTCTTAAACGTTATGCCATTTCATCCAAATGTTTTCATGAAAGCAAAATTATTTTGTAAGAACCGTATGTATACAGTGGAGGCAAATTTAAAACTTTATAAGACACTGTAAGTGCACGAGAAGACGCGTTTCAAGAGGCGTTCCCCCACTCCAAAAATTGCGCTTTCCAAACTAAGCACAATTGCCCATTAACTTTGATATGTTTGCCACAAACTTATTATATTTGTTTCAAATGCTAAGGTTTTCGCAAAAATTGTAGCAGATTTATTATAAGTTTTATCTATTTCAGTTAACCCATTAATAAATTTTAGTGGAAAATATTGCAAGTTTTATGAAAACCCACCTAAATTTAATTCAAAAGTAAAAAACCTAATATTATTGACTATCAGTACAAAGTTTGCATAAAACTTAATAATATTCCAAGCAAACACAGCAGCCTAAACGAATCATCCATTTCTGGCAACGCAGTTCACCCATTCTAAGCAAAAACACTAATTTTGAATTAAATTTCAGTTGTTTGATTCAAAACAATCAGGCTCAAACAATTGCAACGTTTGGTAAAAATATTCTTTTCTCTCAGTGTAATATTTGGCAGGAATTTTGAATTTTAACATTGGACACTGAATTGACGGGTTAAAGTGAGTACAAAGATGATCAATTTTTTAAAAATTGCTATTATTCGAATCTATGATAAAATATGAAAAATGCATTATTTAATGTTTTATAGTTTGTAGGGAAATTGAAAAATTAAAGATAAATTGAATATATTTTACTGATGTTTTGAATATTTATTATGTTTTTTTACAAACGTGCTATTAAAAAAATACATTCAAGTTGGGTGGACAAGTTAAAAAAAAACTGGATCTTTTGTAATATACTAAAATATTTACAAAAAATTTAAAAATACCTCAAGTTGTCCAACTTTTGTAGAATCACCCATATATTTAAAAAAATATCACACAGTTTTCTACTTAAGAAAATGAAAGATACATTTTTTGACTTAAATTTTAGTTGTGCAAATTTCGCAAAACAAAGTAATTTTTTAGAGCATCGCGAAAACAAAGAAAATTACCCAACAAACAAAAACGAAAAAAAAAGAATAAAAACCTATAGTCATCCCCTCTTAAGCGTAGGTACACAATTCGGTTTTCAAACGAGCTACTGATGACACCGGCCCCTTCCAGTGGCGGGCGCACACAAACAGCCCCCCGTTCCGACAAAATATAAATTACAAAAGTACATGCTTTCTCTGTACTCTGCACCGTACAGGTTAATGCAGGTGAACTCGAATTATCAATCGGTACAAGTCTAAGAGACACCAGTTGATTTATAGAAATTACCTATTTTGTTTTCTTCCATTAATATAAGCACGCAATAGGTTACATAGGTTGTGTGTATTGAAAATTGTGTTTGGGACAAAATGAAGTTCTATGTTATTTTAATTTTTTGTTTGATGGACCAAGTGTATGGACTGGAGAGGCCCAAAAATGAATCAAAATATGTTACACGTGAGTAAGAATTTAATTTTTAAAATTCACATCTAAACAGTTAAAATATTTTTTCACTAAAAATGCATACTTAATTCAAGACCTTGTATTTACTGTTACCTTTCTTTTTGCAATTCAATAAAATATTCTTTTAATAATAATAGGTAATTTAAATTAAAAAATTAAATAAATTATAAGGCACTGTGCCAATAAAATTTATTCATAATAAGGCACCTTCTGTTATTCAACCGCATAATAAATAATCATAATGATATTTAAATGTTAAACGCTTAAAATACTGAAAGCAAGAAACGTAACTTGCTGTGGGATCAAGCAAGCGAGCAAGCGCAAGGCCTACTAGCCCCAATTATAATGACATAACACCTCAAAGTTACGTAAATCAAAGATATCAAAATTCCGTGCCCACATTTTTTAATGTTACGATTCTCCAATAATTTTTAAATAAAATACTTGGTTTTATTTTTTAAATTTATTTATTTACTTTTTAAATTTTAATTAAAGTAGGTGCTAATAACAATATTAAATATTTGCTCGACAATATCTTTTTTTCGGTTGAACACTCCCGTTTGCAGTAAACTGCTTGACTGTGTGGTGAAATGAAGTGCGTGATCGAATTTTATCCGGAAAACGCTGAGCGTAGATATTAGCAGCATCATCAAGATTCCTGTCTGCTTCTCCATAAATCAAAATCATTTCTATTTTTCTTCCACTGTTAAAGAATCCATTATGAATAACTGCTTAACGAAAAGGGGTCTTTTTGTTTGCAAATTAATCTTCGAACTAAATTGATTAAATAATGCTAAACTATACATAAATAGTTTCTTTATACCTCAATAATAATTATTATTTATAACTAAATACCATTTTTATACCTCAATTAGGATTAATAATTAATTGACAAAATAATGTTTTTTTACCTTACATGAGGTATTTTTAATAAAAATAATACAATAATCCTTTAAATTAAAGGATTTAATGCTAGCAGGTAAAAAGTGACCATGGCGCGCAATTGATAATTATCACCGAATGAAATAATGTATAAAACTTAAACCAAAGGAAACTTAAATATTAGTTAAAAAATCGTGGGTACTTAAAAAAATCATATTTAATTTAATAAGATCATTATTACCAAAAAAAGTGATATTTTTATAGAAAAATTATTGCAGAATCGTATACAGAAGAAAAATCGAACAAAATTGATTTTTTTCATTACAGCGCCATCTATTACAAATATAAAAAAATGTTTTAGACAAAATCTACCTATTTTTAGTCGAATGATCCGAATCTGCAATAAAAAATAGGGTGTTCCATTGGAAATTTTAAAGTTACCCCCTGTTCCCCCTATAAGGAGGAGAGTATGAGGACCAATTTTAGTACTGATTGATTTCCCCCCTCGAATCATTTAATTTTTATTTAAACATTTTTTTTGTAAAATGCATACTAGCTGAGATATTTAAAAGTTTCAAGTTGATAACACAATAATGCTGGTTACATAATGTAAAAGACATTTTTTGTTTGTGTGTTTGTACAGAAAGTTCCATGTACCTAATGTTCCTGCACAGTAATTGATTTACATAAGAAACAATTAGTAATATACTCTGTTTCAAGGTTATGTAGAATAAATATATGGGTTTGAAGAAAGTTAATTTAAAAAAAAAATTATTCTAGCTAATATTACATAAAATATTTTCTTTGTTATTAAACTATTTGATAATTTATTTATATAAACGATAAATATCTGATATAGTTCATGATGCATTTATCCATTACAAAATCGTAATTTTTATGCAATTTTATATTAACCAATTGGGTGCATACAATTTCAAAATAGGAAGTGTTATAAAAACGAGTTTTAAGGCTAATTGGGCTCGTTTTTCATAAACCAATGCGTATTGGGTTAAGGTTACGTAACAAAAAGTTTATAGATATTATACAACTCACCATTATTAATATAATTATCTAGGTAGCGATGAAACAAAACAAAACAAAAGACAACGAAGTAATTACGGTGCGACATTAATTCGGGTCAATGTGTAAAAACATCTTTACAAGAACTGGGTAAAGCAGCTGTTACATAATTCTCGTAATGTAATGAATGATAGTGAAAGTAGGCTGCTAAAACGATATTTATTTATTTACAATTTTTTTCAGCTGAATATATTTTACCATGTCACAAAACGGACCCAAACATCAACACTTGTTTGGTGGGCACTTTCAATCATCTAAGGCCCTACCTGATAACCGGTATAAAAGACATAGAGGTGCCCAGTATAGACCCATTGAAAATCGAAAAACTTATCATGGAGAATGGGCAAGGGGCTTTTAGGGTAAGGGCCTCTTTCTACAACATCACTGCCACTGGTGCCAGTAACTACAGTGTCAAGACCATTAAGTAAGCAAAACGTGTTTAATTTTATGACCAGCATTATTTTTTTATTAGTCACCTCGAAATTACCATATGCGTTCAATTATTTTTCACAATATTTTATATTGCTTTTTTTCTCTTAATATTCTTGATGGGTGGTAATGTTTGAAGACAAGTATGCATACGAATATTGACTGTACCTTGACATACTAAATTAAAATTGTTTATTTTTAAAAGACAATTACATACTTTTTTATCATTTTACCTGGTTAATCATAATAATTAATAATATGAAACACTAAAATAAAAAACTAAGATAATTTTTTTTAGAGCTGATGTAGAAAATTACCACATTGAGCTGGGCATCAAGCTACCTCGTATTGAAATTCGTGGTAAATACGAAGTTAATGGTAATGTTTTACTTTTTCCAGTCAGATCAAAAGGAGACTTTTGGGCCATATTTTGTAAGTAGTAAAAAACATATAATAGGTACTGTAACACAACTATTTATATGTACGAGGTGTTTTCAGAAAATAACGGGAATTGTTAAATTTCGCGGGTTCTGAGGGTCCGGTTGTCATAAAATTTTCTTTATTATGTTGGTATACATGCCCCCGAAGTATGATAACTGTAGCTATTTTCATTGTTTACTTTGTCTGTGGGAGCCGCTAAGGTTGGACGTGTTTTATGAGCTCGGCGATTTTTCGTTAGTTAAAAGAAATGGATCAAATAATTTGTATTCAATTTTGCTTAAAAAATGAAATAAATTCTGTGAAATGTTAACAAAGGCCTATAGTGAGTCTGCCATAAGTAAAACAAGAGTTTACAAGTGGTATAAGAGTTTCCAAGATGGCCGTGAAGACGTTGAAGATGACGAACGCCCCGAACGTACAAGCACATTAACAACCGATAAAAACATGGAAAAAGTGGAAGAAATGGTTATAAACCATCAGATAAGTCGCTGATGATGTTGGTATATCGATTGGCTCATCCCTTGAAATTTTTTCGAATGTTTTGGGTATGAAACGCGTTGCAGCAAAATTTGTTCTAAAATTGTTAAATTTTGAACAAAATTTTTGGCCAAAAAAAATACTGTAATGATGCCCCAGCCTCCATATTCGACAGACATGCCTCTGTCTGACTTTTTCCTATTCCCAAAAATAAAGAGAACCTTAAAGGGCCGTCGTTTTGCAAGCATAGATGACATTAAAAGCGCATCGCTGAAAGAACTAAAGGCTATCCCAAAGATCGAGTTTTATAAGTGTTTCGAGTATTGGAAGAAGAGCTGACACATGTGCATAATATCCAATGGGGACTATTTTGAAGGCGACAACATTAATGTAGACGAATAAATAAATATTTGTTTCAAAAAACGAAAATTCCCGATATTTTCTGAACACACCTCGTATCATATGAGTCGTATGTATAAATCCTACAGGCATTGTAATTTTACTAAACAGTTTGACAGTTTTTAATAAAAAGCATCTCAGATTCACAAACGTTTTTTGTAATTTGATTTGCTATAATGATATGTAAAATGCATATCACGTGATGTTCTTACATCTCGCCTCGGTTGACTTAGGTGGACAGTATACAAGCTCAGGTGTCTTTCGTTTTTGGTGTTTTGTAATTTTCCCAAATTGAGTTGTAATGAATCGTGTAGTGAATTCACAAAACTGAGTTTTATTATTACTATATTGTGGTGCGTAAAAACATGTTTAGTAAAATTACAATAGAATTTTTTAACAGTGTTATGATGATTCGTTTTAAGGGAAAATTTATTTTTTCTCACTGTCACAAATTATATTTTAGTGGATGTAGATGCAGCTGCCAAAATTTTCGGAAAAGAAGTGCTAAGGGATGGTGAAAGATATATGAGAATCGACAAGATGTTAGTTGATTTTAGACTACAAAAAAGCAGATTCAGAATCAGAGATATTATCAATCACGGAAATGTTATTGGTGAGTAGATCCGCTAAGACAAGGATACGGAGTTCGGGTTGTAGTAGTGCACCTCGGTAGAATATTCCAAAAACTAATAAAAATGATTTTTTTTCAGGCGAAGCAATGAACCAATTCCTCAACAACAATTCCGAGGAAATCATCAAGGAAATGAAGCCAGCTGCGAACGCAGCCATAGCGAAACATTTCAAGGGCTTCTTGAACAGCGCCTTCCTCAAAATACCCCTGCCAATTTGGTTGCCAGGCGCATAGACTCGGCAACACCGCGCCGGCGTAGTGCAAGGGTGCTTGTCTGCTTTTACCAAACAAGAGAGTTATTTGTGATTTTCGGATTTGAGTCCGAACAAAAAATTTTAAGCTTTATTGTACGAGATAGATGTAAGGGTTGATACTGTTTTTGGAAGTCGATAATATGTAGTATATTAGAGAACGAGCGACGAAGCAAAAATTCTATAAAAAAAAATAATTTTATACCTCAAATTTAATTTGGTCGAATTTTACTTTAGATAGTTGGTATCACAGCCATTGGTTTGACAGTTAATGTCAAAATTGATTCGCCATGCTGTCCTTAATTTACTTATTTACAATAAGCGGCTGTTAATGTTAAAGAAGAAAAAAAGGATTTTCTTTGGTGTTAAACAAAATTTATTGCCAGAAAAGTCTCGTAAGTACTAGAAAAATCATAAACATATTATAGTATATAATCAAAATTTTGGGTGTTATAATGAAGTCATTATGAACGCAAAATAGATAAAAAAATATGTAATAAAGTTAATGTTTTATCACGAAAATTACTTTACGAACTATAAAACTGATTTTATTAATGGGATCTCTATATGAATTTTACAGTTTCTTATTTTTTTAAATCCACATTGGACTTTTTTTTTAATTATTAACTTATTGAAATTTAATTAATTTTCTTATAAAATATACTCTCTAAAAATGCAATAGTCAAAAATGACTGTATACAGTCATTATATACAGTCATTAATGACTAATTAATTTTTGGAGAGTATACATTTATCTATCCTTCTATGTATGAGTATTCTTTACATGTTAAAAATGATAACTTACCTATACTACACCTATAGCATGGTATGACATTTTTGGGAGATCCTATAAATAAACATGAAACAATTAAAAAAAAAATTCAGAAGTTTGGAATATTTAATTGTATTTTGTTTCTTACAGAAACAAAAATATAAAAAAACCTTAGTTTTATTACAATTGGGGAATCTATGTCACGCCGTTTTATCCTTTTTAATCTCAAAACTAATTATAATCAAAAAATATTTTAAATATAAACTGTAAACTTAAAAGTTTAAGTTAAAAATATTGGCTTTAAAAAATTGTAGTTTTTATATTCAATCTAAAAAATTATTGGTTTAAATTTGTAAATTAAAACAGTATCAACTTAGTTATCTGCACTGCCTTTAATCTTTTTGTACAAATATTTTATTTTAGTTTAATTATGTAGGTTTTAGTTTTAATAAAAAATTTAAAAAATTTAAAAATGGTGAATTTCCATTACGTAAAACATCTAAAGATAACAACATCCTTTTTATAAAAACATTCTGCTCAGACAAGTTATTTCGACCTCAGGAATAATTTTGAATTGCTCTGATAAAATTTAATTAATGGCCATTTTTATCTCTCTTAATTTAAAAAAAAAATTAAATGCCAACTATTGAGCAATTAATTTAACGCTTCATTTGATCATCAACTTTGATGATGAGATGTTATGCAAAAAAATGTTAATAAAACGGCCTTATCGTATTTCTTAACCTTTGATATCAATTTTTTGGCTAATGATTATTTTTCGCACAATTCCAAAATTATTTTAACGCATTGAACAAATTTTTCATTAACAGCAATAATATTATTCGTTTGCATCATCTACCATACTCAATGTCAATGTCAAAATTATCAATGATACAGTAAAGTTATCAAATAGTTTTTTTTTATATTTTAGTATATAGTTCAAGAATGCGCTTTTAAAACTTTGTGTAAACGAAGAATCAAACTTTACTCCAATATAATTTATTATACAAAGATGAAAAAAAAATTTACGATTCTCAGAAAGTTTCATTCTTAATTAGATTTCAATCTCCCAGAACATGCGACTCATAATTTGTATTGTCTATGATTTATTTTTTCTAAAAATTTTTAAAATTTAAATTATTGTTATAGTTTATTTTTTCTTTGTACAGAACATAACTTATGGGTTTTGACTAATTTGGGTTCAATTACTAATTTAATTTTGACCTGTGTGATACCACTATGGTGTAAATATAAATTTTAATAATCAATAAAAGCATTAAACAAAGCATAAAACTATTATTAATATTAAAAATTATCACGCATTTACGAAAAACATACATAAATAAAAATTGTGTTATTTCTGATAAGAGTATGTATTTTTAATAAAAAGAGACTGGCGTCGTATTTTTGACCTGTAAGCCAAAAACCACTGTCAATTGGTGTCAAAAATATAGACAAGATAATAATCAATTGCGCACCATGGTCACTTTTATCTGCCAGCATTAAATCCTTTAATCTAAAGGATTATTGTACTATTTTTAATAAAAATACCTCACTTAAAATAAAAAAAACATTATTTTGTCAATTAATTAATTTAATCCTAATAAGGGTATAAAAATGGTAAAATTATAATTGAGGTATAAAGAAACTATTTATAGTTTAGCATTATTTAATCAATTTAGTTCGAAGATTAATTTGCAAACAAAAAGACCTCCTTTCGTTAAGCAGTCATTCATAATGGATTTTTTAACACATGGAAGAAAAAATAGAAATGATTTTGATTTATGGAGAAGCAGGCAGGAATCTTGATGATGCTGTTAATATCTACGCTCAGCGTTTTCCGGAAAAAATTCGATCGCGTACTTCATTTCAGCGCACAGTCAAGCAGTTTACTACAAACGGGAGTGTTCAACCGAAAAAAAGAGTTCGTCGAGCAACAGTCACAGGTGGAAATAATGAAATTAAATTTTTAACAAATACAGTGGTATTACAACATAGATAAATTACAAAAAAATGTTTTCCTAGATTTAGTTTGAACTGGTAATATTGTCTTACTGGACTGACCCTGCGACCTATTGTTAGACAATATAAGCTTTTTATTCTATAAATAACATATACAATCTCAAAGTAACAAGTAAAAACAGTCAATAAAATAATAAATAACATGTGATGACATTTGAAAATATTTGAGGCTTGCTTCTTAATTTTTTTACTCTTGATATTTGGTGTTTTTTAAGATTAAGTTTATCTTATTGCCATGCAACAAAGACCAAAATATTTTTTTTATAAATGGGATATTTTTTATAAAGAAAATTTTTATCATAATATTTTACCTATGCATTACATTTCTTAATTATCCTTTTAAATTAAATAATACCTATAGTTTGAAAAGTTCTAAATCGGACAATAAAAATGGACATTATCTACACACATAACGATGAACTAAAGTGACTGTAATCTTTGACCTTTTACCCCTTGTTTAATATTGTCAATTTGCGCACATTGGGACACAGTGAAAGTTCTTGAAACATTTAATTATTAAAATAATTATTTTAGAGTTAGTACCAGTTCTTACACTTTTATTTTGTTTTGATCTTTCATAGTTAAGTGGATATTACAGCTCAGGTTCCAGATTTTTAACCGCAATTAATTATTTTTTACAATGTTTTAAAAGTCTAAAACCTATCCTCCGTGACTGTTACTCTTTCTAGGTTTTCAAATATCTGAGGTAGTAAAAGCATACTAAAAATATCAGTTCACTAAGTAAATTAAACACATCCAAAGCAATCGAATCAAATATGAAATTTTATTAAAAATTAAAAGAAATAATTTTTACAACCATTTATGTAGGTGTTACAAAAATTGATTCTATCCTCCGTGAATCTGTTTTTGCTTTAAATTTTATGCAACGGATGGCGCTTTAATCATTTTAAATAAGCAAAAACCTCTGTTTACGACATTATAGATGCATGTGATTCCTGAAGGTCAGTTAGAATTATATGCAGATGAGAGTGTTGCTGTTTTATAATTCAAAAGTTTAAGTTCATTAATTTGCTATTTAAAAACCTATCCACCGTGAAGTGTAATATCTCAGTAAGTAGATTTTTTTATTAATATTTTATGTATGTACAATTGTATTTTTAAAAAATATTAAGGTGTCAAAAGTTACAATAACTTATTTCAAATATACAAAGGGATGTTTTAAAAAAAACATACGAAATCCTAACCCCCGTGAAGCTCTAATATTCAAAATGTATGATTTCTTAAAATTCTTGCATTAGTGCAGAACCACTTATGTTATGTTATTACTAGACCTGGTGGCTTCCCAAAAACCCCATTCTAGACTAACAGTGAAACAACCAAAATAAAAAATAATCATTTTCACACAGTATTTCCAACTTTGGCCCACTGTGCGTTACGCAGTAATGTTCGAATTTCGCGCCTTCTTGTTATCGTTGAACTTCTTCGTTCTTTCTTACGAGAGATTAAAAAAAATTCTTAATTCATTTGATATTTTTCCAGTCTTTAGGTGCCAACGTTCAATAATAATCTCAAAATAATTCGCAACAAACAATATGGTAAATAGAAAATTCTTTTACAACAACTACTTGATTTACATGGAGCTGTCTAATTTCTACGCGATTTTTTAAACATTCCGTCTGTGTGTCGAAATTTTTTTTGAAGTGCGACAAAAACTTTTATCTGCAGCAAAAACTTTGTGTGTAGTTCGCGTTCGGAGTCCGATTGTGATTTTTGCTGGATTTTATGTAAATAGTGGTTTTATATTTTAAAATTTTTTCGAAAAAATGGTGAATTTTACTAGAAGACAGTGGCTCACCCTGGTCGTTATAGGGATCGCAGATTTTTGCAATGCCATATGTGTATCGTTGCAAGCCCCATTTTATCCAATGGAAGTAAGTATTACCTCTTAAATATTATTTTGAAATTTGTTTTTTTTTAAATAAAAATTAAAATTTAAAGATTAATTAATTTTTGTTTATATCCAAATAATAAAACCAAAATTTCTTAATTTGGTTACAGAAATATTTATATCACTCTTATATACCCCTTAAAGAGCTTATTTGGGGAGTTTATGAAGGTTATCGGTACCTATTTTACTAACACTATAAAACACAAGTTTTATAACTACAGATAACAGGAATATTATGGAAACCACTATATAACTTTCTAAAGAAGTGCAAAGTTATTTTTATTGTAAACATGTAAACAACACTTCGAAAAACAGCAGGGGTCATCAAAATACCAAAACATAAATATTTTTTTATACTATTAAAAAAAATTTGAAAATATTTTTTTTAATTACATTAATATCTTTCTTTTGCTTACATTAAAGTAGTGAATTATTTACCTTGGTTTGGTCAATTAAGTTGTTTTTGTAATACAATTCGATTAACATTTATTTTATGTAAAAAACAATTATGAACCCTCTTATATTGCTCATGGTAATTTTATATAACCTAAGGTACCAGTTCAGTTATATAGGACTATCTAAGTTACTTAAAGTGTTATTATATTATTTTGAAACTCTTATATACATTGTAGTAACTGTCGTTACTACAAGTGATGTTATAAAACTTATGATAGGCAACCATCTAACCGCTCAGGTTAGTGTTGTCAGGTTCGCCATTTTTACATGCAGTAATAATGGTTTTAACGCAATGGAATCACAACCAATTTTTAATTAAAATTACACAATAGTTTTATAAAACTCCTTTATAAACCTACTGGTAACGGTTACTAAAGGTTATATAAAATGAAAAACCTAGAGTTTACAGTAACCCTATTTTACCATTATAAAACCAGTAAACTTCTTATATAATTTGAAAACTCTTATATAACCTTTATATAATTTATCATTACCATAAGTAGTACAAATTGTTTATTGGCTGCAACATGCTAAAGATTTATTATTCGTTATTTTCACAAAAATTACTGTACTGCCAATTAAAGCGTTTGACATTTCTTAAAAAAAACACGCCGATAAAATGTGAAAGATAAATTGCTTGCGATTACACGCTTAATTTAGCTGAACTGGCAAATAATAAACAATTTCGAAATTATTGAATAATTAAGGTCTATTTTTAGGTTATTAAATGTTGTGAAACTTTTTAACAATCTTAACATTAGTACTTTTTATAGTAAAACGAATATATATGTGGGGGACTTTAAACCCACGGTCCGTTCCTACCCCCATCATGACAAGTTTAATTTTTTACAGGCAGAGAGAAAAAACTGCACAGCCACAGAATATGGACTTGTATTCGGTATATTCGAATTTGTAGTATTTTTAGTGAGCCCTCTATACGGGCAACACTTGAACAAAATAGGGCTGAAACTTACTTTTAATGGTGGTATTTATACCACTGGAATATGTGCCATACTATTTGGGTGAGTATTCGAACAAAAACACATTTAAAAAAATTATTTTTGATGGTTTCAGCCTTTTAGACAAAGTAGAAGGTCACTACCCCTTTATATCCTTAAGTTTCATAATAAGGATAGTCGAAGCTATGGGAAATGCCGCCTTTTTGACAGCTAGCTTCGCCATAATAGCAAAAGAATTTCCCAACAATGTTGCCGTTACCTTTGTATGTATTTTTTTAAATTTAACAAATTTTTTTGAGGTTAGATATATGTCTTAGGCTTCGTTGGAAACCTTCTTCGGCCTGGGTCTAATAGTGGGCCCCACAGTTGGGGGAGCGCTGTACCAAGTGGGGGGTTACACACTGCCGTTCGCAGTTATGGGGTCTGCGTTGTTTATGTCTGCCATTTTGACGGCCATAGTGCTGCCGAAACATCCTGAAGATGGCACAGACAAAGAAATAGGACGTAAGTTCAGTTTATTAATAATTATATATATATTATAATAATTAGTATCAAAGTATTAAAAAATGCACAACAAATTTATCAGAAACGTAGGCAACCAATTATACAAGTTTGTTTGTTATTTGAGTTGCCTATATAACTCTATACTATTTGAGGACCCTATAGGGTTGAATAGAAGCCAATTTGTTTATTGTATTGTTAATGAAATTATAATTTCTTGCTTAATTTTGTTTTGTTTTGAGATAATCATGTTTAAAGTAAAAAACACTTTGTTGTTTTTCCAGATGTCCAAGCTAGGATTCAGTTATATCCCTTGGATACCAAGTAAAATGTACCATTTACTATCTTTTTTCTGTACATCTTTTTTTAAATATCACTTGTATCCCTTGGCTTTTATGGTCCTCATTAATATTTATGATTTTTGGTCGCATTATTTATTTAAACATTGGACCTTGGATTAAAGACTAAGGCACTAACAAACTTTCTAAATTCCAGCCTCAATGTTCAAGGCATTGAAAATCCCAGGGGTACTCCTAGCAACATCCAGCATAGTGGTCACCAGTATCTCCATAGGATTTTTACAGGCAACCTTGGAACCCCATTTGAGAAAATTTAACCTATCACCTGTGGTGTTAGGTTTAATGTTCGTAATTAACGGAGGAATCTACGCCCTCTCAGCACCTGTCTTCGGTTGGTTGTGCGACAAATTTTGCACACCGAAATGCGTGACCATTTTCGGGACCATTTTGGTGGCCATAGCTTTTTGTTTGATCGGTCCCGCTCCATTTATACCAGTACAAACGTAAGATGATGTAGTCAGAAATACAACATTTTTTTAAAACTTGTTTCTAGGACATTATGGCTAACCATCGCCGGTCTAGTGTGTCATGGTTTGGGCATGGCTGCCCAGTTAGTAGCCTCTTTCAGTGATGCCTTAAAAACCAGTGTGTAAGTATGAAACAGTGTTTTAAAAGCTTTATACAACTTAAATATTCTGCAAGCATTTCTCTTATCATCGCTTTTGTTTAATTTCGTTCAGGATCTCATGCCAGCATCGACAGACGCGTTTCGTTCTGTGGAACTCATCAGTGCCGAGTTGCTATAGGCTCGAGACCCAAACGAAAACTTTAATTCCCTTCCTTATATTGAAAAGGAATAGTTCAAAAGCGGTGAGAAGAGAATTTGCCGGCACAATGGTGCCATCTATCGTTTTTCAACGCGGTCTTCTATATGTCATGACATTATCTGTACGGGACATATAGCGTGCTTTACGCCATGTATGACAACTTTTTTTCAGGGCGCATGGCTTCCAGAACAACCTGGAAACCTACGGTCTTATCTCAGGGCTGTGGACCAGCACTTTCGCATTGGGAGCTTTCATAGGACCGTCGGTGAGCGGGGTTCTATACGATGTTATAGGTTTCTCGAATGCCTCGATGTTCGTGGTGGTCATACACCTAATAGTAGGTTTCATTATTTTGATGTACTTAATATTCAGCAAAAGCCACATCGCCTACGTGGAAATCAAGGACGAAAAGGTCGGCAATGGGGAGGTCGATCAGAGTTACCATAGGAATACGGGAAACAGCGTTACCGAGAGTATGAAGAGGTATGATTTGCATTGTCTTAACCTTCTTAGTACTTCTTAGAACATATTCAAACGGTATTTGTTCTAGCATACGGTCTGTGGGCAATGGCATATCGATTGAGCAAAGTCGCCCTCCTGGCATGAACAGTTTGATAGCCTGCAACAGCTACAAAAGCCAGGCCTGGCCGTCCAGAGATTCTAGTAGTTTAACCCTAGGGCGATATAGCGCTAGCTACGGCACCGTAGATAGAAACGGGGCTACCACGTCGTACCTAGAGGGTGTCGCATAATTTTTACCCTGGATGATCTTTTGAAGGTTCAACTTTTCTTAAAACTAGTTATGTGGCAATAAATGCTGAGTGGAGTCACCAAGGGTCCAACTTGTCAATATTTTATTATTATAATATTTATATATAGATATTTTAAATTAAATTACGTTAAGTTTTAAAATACAAACTATTTTAAATAGCCGGTGATTTTATTTCTTATCTATTTCCTAAAGGACGTAAAAACCTTTAAAAATAGCCTATAATCATACTTGATTAGATAAACCTTGTGTATGTATCATGAGTACCACTGTTGGGTTTATATTCGCTTGCAGCCGCAGCGTTGTGTCCAACCGTTTACTGTACATACATATAAATACAGATCAGTCTCAGTATACCCCCATTCGTTGACAAACTGAACATGCCGTTAGAGCTGGTCAGAGTTTCATCCCAAAGGGAGTTGCAAGAAATTGCAGGCGAAAGAGGTTCTATTCGCACCGGCCAAACTGTTGATCCAGTAGCTAGGGCAAGCGCATATAGAGACGAAGGATACGGAGGGACCATGTATTACGCGAAGACTAACAACATGGCGAATGCCGAAAATCGACTCTTGGATAATGGTTTGCGTCATAATGTCCAGCGAAACGCTGGATCTGGAGATGGACAACCTGGATACGTCTACGTCATTAAGGGAAGAAAATATCAATAATATTTTTATTTGAATAAAGTGACTTCATAAAGAGATAAGTGTTGTTTATTATTGCCAAACTGTTTTCACAGCTTATTTTAGGATATTAAATAACTGCATAAAGAAATGTCACTGCAACTTTCAAAAGGGATAAGCGTTACCATAGAAACCAACTATCAAAGTTCCCCAGTAGCACAAAGATATTGGCCCAATATTCGTTTTATATATTGGGACAACAAATCTTTCGTCAGATTTTTTCTAGCTTGGTCCAATATTACGCCAATATAGGGCCAATATAGGGCCAACCTTGAATAAATATTTTTAATGATATATTGGCGTAAAATGATATACCAAAATAGGACCAACCTTGGATAAATATTTTTAATGATATATTGGCTTAAAATGATATGCCAATATTGGACCGATCTTGGATAAATATGTTTAATGATATATTGGCGTAAAATGATATGCCAATATAGGACCAACATTGGATAAACATTGGCAAGATATATTAAATAACCATTTTATGCCAATATAGGGCCAACATCGGCTAAATAAATCCAATATTGGTCCCAGATAAAATATTGGGCATATATGCGCCCCCATATAGGACCAATATTTTGTGCTACTGGGGTTAAGTCTTTTAATTCACCTTCCTGTACAATGTACAGCCGGAACTCAATATAAATTTATAAAAAAAATCATGACATTTATTTGTTGAATAAGATAAACTCATATCTAATAAACTATTGATTTGAATAAAAATTAACCTTGAAAAATGATATCATAATGATAAAATCTAAAGTTAAAAAACAATTTTTCAGGTAAAAATGTATATTTCAAGGATAATAAATAAATAGTTTCTTGAGACTTTCAAACATCAAATAATTTTGTTGTTATTTGGGTTGCCTACGTTCAATCCATACTGTTTTAACTTATATGCCAAAAACGTACTAAGAAAAATTTTCTCTAAATATTTATAACTTTTTGTTTCGATAATTTAAACATTGGACCTTAGAGTAGGTAAAGACTGGAAATACCACTATCCACCTCTCCACTATTTAATCCAAGGTACTAAAAGCAGTGTTTTTGCTAGTTTTTATACATTTTTAAGTGTTTATATCATAAAAAACATTTTTCTAACTTTTCCAAAAAGAAGGTCAAAGTCATTACTAGTGGTGAACAAGTTTTGCTTAACTTTAGATTTTTTTATCATTATGATATCATTTTTACTTTTGCAGTATTTTTAACCGTAACGGTTTTCTGAGTTCTTTATCCACAGTAATTCATACCCTCCGTTGGAATTAGCTTTGCGGCGCGTATATATGCTTACAAGCGTTGCACAAACTGCAGTGAGATGCACTGAACGTAAATAATCGATATTTTAAGGGGTGGAATATTTTTTGATTGTTTTTGTAAAATAATGGTGTTTTTGGGGTTTTGATTTAATATTTAAACAAAAAAAGTGCAAAAGAAGGTCAAAGTCGTCACTAGTGGCGAAACAAGTTACTTTATATAGCTCATTTCAAATCATTTATAATCAAGTTTTAAATAACAGGGTTTGTATATCCGTAGTTTGTATCCACAGTGACTCATACCCTCCGATAGATAGAGTTTTAGATCACGTATATAAGCTTACAGGCATTGCATGAATATGGGTGAGATGCTTCAAAGGTAAAACGGTAGATAACTTATTGGGGAATATCGTTTTTGGAAATTGTTTGTAGCAAGAATACAAAGTAAAGGAAAATGTACAAAACAAACAAATTTTGTGTTAAAATAATTGAAAGTAATAATTTTATAGCAACAAATAGGATTTATACATTGAAGTCGATTTCATTGCAACGTCACCATGTCTAGTGCGCATGGCTACAGAAGCGTAATAAGGATATTTATATGAAACTATTTCTCTATAAAATCTTAATTTAATTAATTATCTACTAAATTAAAAAAGATTTTTTTATTTCGCATTGTTTTATAAATAATTTATTTTTTTAATGTGCATTTTTGACAAAAAAGTCACTATAGTAGCGAATATTTTGTAAATATTAATTTAGTGATTACACCTCTGTGATCTGAGTTAAAAATAATTTTATCATGCAACTACTAAACTGACTGAATCCTATTTTTGTCCATAAAATAATTTTTATTCCATTAAATTTTAAAACAAAATATACGAATCTATACATTTTTTGTTTATTTTTATTTCCGCCAGAAACATTTTTTACAAATCTATCCTTAAATTGCTGATGCATCTCGCGTACATTTATGCAACGGTTGTAGATACATATACAAGTTTCAATATAACTTATGTAGACAGGGAATCGACCCCTTCGGCCTAAATCCAGTTTCTCCAAAAGATAATTTCCATGAGGTCCATTAGAAGAATGGAACTCATGAAAAACATCAGGCGGAGAAACTGGGACTTGGGCGAAGGGGGTCAAACCCCTGGGCCAAAAGCGGTCGAAAACAAGCTACTTGCGAAAAAACTATCGTTGGTGCGGTTCCTAGGACTTGCATCTAGTAGGTAGGATCTGAAGATTCGATCTAGATAGCTAGATGTTCAGATCCAAAAAATATCTGCTTAGTTTGGTCATTTAAATATAATGATCGTGGTGTATAAAATACATTTTCTGGGAGATGATATTTAAGACCCTCGAGTGCCTTTTCGACCGCTTTTTGTAAATTTAAATAAAAAACTTTTTTTTAACATTGCCGAAAAGAAGGTCAAAGTTATTATTAGTGGTGAACAAGTTTAGATTTGTTATCACTTATGTCCAAATTGTATAATTTTCAGGAAACACAAAAGTCTCATATGAAGGAGCTGATTTATTTGGAGCAGAATTCAAGATGCCAGTAAATTTGGAAAAATGTATCCCTTAAGAAATTTAAAAATCTGACAAGATGGATCCTAAATGCTCTTTGATTGTCTGTAGCGGAGAAAACTCAGTTTGTATGAAAATAACATAGACCTCATGCTGTTTTATAATTATCGGTGTTCTTAGATCTCATTAGTGCCGGATAGCTGTGATGTCTACATCTCGCTGCTGTCGCTTACACCACACGGCTACCCAGCACTGATGAGGTCCTGGTTGTGTAGCACACTCGTAACCAAAGCAACGGTGACAAGGTATTTTGCAAGTTCTCACAACAACTTAAGTAAAAAACCTTTTTTTGAAACATTAAGAAAAAGATCATTTTTGAGAATTTTTACGTTGAAGTCGATTTCTTTGCAACGTCACCAATTGTTACTTTACAAAATATTTTTTAAATTTATCAATAAATTTAAAAAAAAAATTCGCATTATTTACTAAATAATTTCTTGAGTACACCTCTGTAAACCGAACTAAAAATAATTTTATCATGGGAACTACTAAACTGACTGAATCCTATTTTTGTACATCAAATAATTTTTATTAGATTAATTTTCAAAACAAAATATACCAATAAATTCATTTTTTACAAATCTATCCTCAAATAACTTATTAAACTTGTATCGCTGATGCATCTCGCTTACATTTATGCATCGGTTGTAGATACATATACAAGTTTCAATATAACTTCTGTAGGGACAGGGAATCGACCCCCTTCGGCCTAAATCCAGTTTCTTCAAAAGATAATTTCCATATGAGGTCCATTAGAAGAATGGACCTCATGGAGAACATCAGGCGGAGAAACTGGAACTCGGGCGAAGGGGTTCGAACCCCTGAGCCGAAAGCGGTCGAAAACTACTTGCGACCAAAACTATCATTGGTACCTGTCCCATCATGGTGTTGTTCCTAATATCATGATAATCCCAGGGGACTTGCATCTAGTAGGTAGTACTGGTAGATTTGTGATCTATATTCTAGCTAGATCTCCAGATACAAAAAATGCCTGCTTAGTTGCGGTGTATAAAGCACATCTCCTAGGCATGATGTGCTTAAGACCTTGAAGTAGGTTTTCAACCGCTTTTTGTTCTTTATTATTAATTTTTGATAATACAATTATCAAATAAAAAAAATTCTTGAAATCATTTGACTTAAGAAAAATGTTGCCTCTAAGGGCTATAGAATTGGGTTCAGTAAAAATGCAAAAAAAAAGAAAATAAACGTCCATTACTGAAAATACTTCACACGTTAAATTCCAAAGCAAATATTGTGGATCTAGTAGATTTCTAGCAATGAGATCTACCAGATTCTATTTGCTAGACATAGGACGTCCTAGGACCATGCACTACTTCCTTTTTGAAGTTGTTTTTTTAGTTCACAGTCAAGGTTTATCTGTTGCAAGAACTAATAATAATATACAGGCCCTATAGGAACACAAAAAGCGGTATTCAGTGGATCTGGAGGTCTAGCTGGCCGCGGATGCCATATTGACTCAACGTTTGGGTACTCTCGACGAGCGAGACTTAGGGTCTCTTTGTTAACTGCCCCACCTTACTGGTACGTTCGAATCGAACCGCCACCTCTAGCGGGGACCGGTACGGGTGCCCTAACAGGTGAAGCAGCTTACCTGGGCTCAGTCTTGCCGCGATCTCGCGCATATACGTCTACTTTTGTGAAAGTACCAGTCAGCAGCGCGCACCACTTGCCTGTAGGTACCACCACCTCCTCTATACTCTTGTGTCAGTGCCTTTTCAAGGGACAGTGTTATAGACTTTTTGTTCGATGGTTAGTGATCTTTTTTATTGGTCTTATTGGATTTATGCCTTTTTGGTTTGTATCTCAAGTCGCTAAATTTGTTTTTTGAAAAATATCGTCATTTTAGTTGTTTCTGGCAATTTTTTTTTAAATTTTTGTTTTTTTTGTAAATAGGTACAATAAAAATTATATATTTATTCTAAAACAAACAAAAAAAAACATGATGAAATATTATTGAAAACAAAATTGCCTCCATTATTCCAAATTAATTATTTATTGCAATTAGTATTAGTAAATACCAAATCTAATAACTTCCTTACTACAATAATTAAGTAAAATTGAAAACACAGATAGAGACGGGTTTTTGCTTTTACATTTAAAACGATGATTCACAAATGTATAAAGAAATAATGAAGTTTCGATATTTTTTAATTTAATTAATTTTATCATGTCACTTTCTTTTTTAACATTTTACGGTTTTTAAATTAATAATACAATAATTAAGTTTATATAACTTAATCATTAATATTTATGCAGTTTTTGCGGAAAAAAACTGCTTTCATATCGGATTTAAACAGTTGTTTGTACATTTTCAGGAAAATTTGACAAACTGACACTGACATTATGAAAGTTGATAAAAAAGATTCCTAGCACCAATTTTGGTTACTAATTTCCTTATAAAAATGTCATTTAACTTGAAACTTTGAAATATCTCAGTTAGTATGCATTTTACGAAAAAATGTTTAAAATAAAAATTAAATGATTCGAAAGGGGAAATCAATCAGTACTAAAATTGGTCCTCATACTCTCCTCCGTATAGGGGGAACAGGAGGTAACTTTAAAATTTGCAATGGAACACCCTATCTTTTATTGCAGATTCGGATCATTCGACTAAAAATAGGTAGATTTTGTCTAAAACATTTATACGATTCTGCAATAATTTTTCTATAAAAATATCACTTTTTTTGGTAATAATTATCTTATTAAATTAAATATGATTTTTTTAAGTACCCACGATTATTTAACTAATATTTAAGTTTCCTTTATACATTATTTTATTCGGTGATAATTATCAATTGCGCACCATGGTCACTTTTTACCTGCCAGCATTAAATCCTTTAATTTAAAGGATTATATATATAAATAAATTTAAATTTAAAAAATAAAACCAAGTATTTTATTCAAAAATTATTAAAGTATTTTTTTTAATGGTTTCCCCAAACTGTGGGTGTTGTTTACAAAAGACTTGTTAATTATTGATTGGGTAAACAAGAGACACTTTCGTGAGTCACCTTATATAAAGTTTGAAAAGAAACAGGATGTAAATGTACGTTAAAAAAACAGGTTTGCCATTTTGAATTGAAAATCATTTTCAACGTTTGTTTGTCAAAGAAAAACGAGTCATAAAATGTTATTTTTTATTTATCTAATAATATATCAATAAGTGGTATATAATTATGATTAATTATATGCTAAACGTGAAAAAGTAGCAGTATATTGTAATACCTACATAATTATAACCTAATTGATTTTAAATAAAAACTTTGTTACCCACTTTTTATTTTTTTATTTACCACTAGAAACTATTAGAAATTTGGTAACTGTGCTAGTAGTAAAATTTATACCAACATACTTTTTATACCATATGTGCAAACAATTAAAATACACATTTGGGGTACTTACCTATAAAAACAATAATTACAGATATTAACCGTTTACAAAATTATTATTAACAAACTGTTTCATGCTCTGTATCATAAAACCAAACGGTGGAAAATTTGATTAAATAATGTTTCACTTATTGAAATAAATTTAACATTCAAGAAGTAGTTGAAATGTTATCCAGCTCTTCTATTTATAATATAACAATTATGTCAATGACTGGTGGTATCATTGTATGTAAAAATACTTTATAAGCTCACCAAGCGTTAAATAAAATTCTATAGAGGATGGAAGAATTATCCAATTAATATGTTTACTATTTACTACAACTTTTGTAAAACCAATTGTTATGATGAAAAGTTTATATTTAAAATATTTATCCAAATTTAAAATAAAATATTTAAATATAAATATATTTATACATAGTTTAGCATTATTTAATCAATTTAGTTAATTTGCAAACAAAAAGACCTCCTTTCGTTAAGCAGTTACTCATAATGGAATTTTTAACAGTGGAAGAAAAATAGAAATGATTTTGATTTATGGAGAAGCAGGCGGCAATCTTGATGACGCTGTTAATATCTACGCTCAGCGTTTTCCGGATAAAATTCGATCGCGTACTTCATTTCAACGTACAGTCAAGCAGTTTACTGCAAACGGGAGTGTTCAACCGAAAAAGAGAGTTCGTCAAGGAAATATTTAATATTGTTGAATTTAAAAAATAAAACCAAGTATTTTTTTCAAAAATTATTGGAGAATCGTAGTCAGAAGAAAAATCGAACAAAATTGATTTTTTTTCATTACAGCGCCATCTATTACAAATATGAAAAAATGTTTTAGACAAAATCTACCTATTTTTAGTCGAATGATCCGAATCTTTAAAGTTTCAAGTTAAATGACTCACTCTGTCTCATTCTCATTAATTATTAAAGTAGTTTATTTCAAAATCATAACCTTAAAATACAATGTCAAATACCTACCTAAGTCAACCAATTACAACATTTGGCAACATCAGTTAATAATAAACAAAAGAAACAAACAAAATTATTTTTTTATTAAAATAGGATGTGGTGAGATATTTGAAATATCCTAGTACAATAATAAAAAAAACTAATAGTTAATTATAGTACCTATGTACATATATGTTATAACGAAGCCTTGAGAAAGATTTTAACGCAAAAAAACGACCTTCCTTGTATATCGTAGGTGGTGATCTAGTTCACTGACTGACATTTGCGAAATTTTTAAAAAATTACGTAAAAAAAGAAATTGAAGAAAATTTTTTTTAATGTTTTATTTATCAGGATTTTGAAATACATATGTATGTAGGTATAGCAGATGTTACAAAAAAGTTAGGTAGGAAATTAATAATTAATAAACTTGACGCAATATACGATATTCACCGATCTTCTTGTTTTTTAAATAGAGCTTTATTAAACATACATATATACACTCACAGGCAAAATAATCGACCCACACAAATTTTCGATGAATTTCAATCGCAAATAACTTTTTTATTTGATTTCAGATTTAAACAAATATTAAAGAATATTGTAGATATATTAATGGACAATCGCGTACGTTTATAATATACAGGTTTAAACAAAAATATGTTTTTTTCTATAAGTTTAAGACACTCTGTAGAGTGGCAAAACCGTATATTCTGCCCTACTATGGAGAAAGGCAGTAACTGCTAAACAAGAAATTTGTGGAAAATTAGCATAAACTACATTTTTATAAAAAGCAGTAGGTATTTAGTTGATTTAACTTATGAGATATTTGACTGCATTTCTTTGTGGAATTCGGTTACAAAATGTCCATAGCTTTACCATAGCACAAGAAAACGCATTTTGCATTTTTTTGCAGTTTCTCCATAGTAGGGCAGTATTGTTCTAAATTAAGTTTTATTTATCAAGTCACATCTATTCTTAACAGTTTTGTTTTTGGTTCACCTCGATATATTTATTTTTGTGGAATATATGGATTTTTTAAAAAACATTGCAATTTCCAATATTTTTCTGTATGAAGAACTAAGGTTGCTATGGTCCATCCATAGCCTATGGAGAATGACAGTGACAGTTTTGTTGAATCATTCCATACTTGGACATGTCATACACGGCTTTCAAAAGCTATCAAATTGTTTTTTCCAAATTAATGTTTAAATTTTGACTGATGTTGCCAGAGCCATTAATTTAATCCAGGATGGACGGTCACAGTATTACGTGGCAAGTGTTTTAAACGTCACAAGAAGTAAAGTACAAAGGGCAACATCAGTCGAAGACATTTTTAAAAATTTTCAAAATTAACACATTAATGCTTTTAAAAGCTGTATATGACATGTGATTCAACAAAACTGTCACTGTCATCCTCCGTAGGCTATGGATGGACCATAACAACCTTAGTTCTTCATACAGGAAAAATATTGGAAATTGCAATGTTTTTAAAAAAAATCCATATTTTCCACAAAAATAAATATATCAAGGTGAACCAAAAACAAAACTGTTAAAAATAGATGTGACTTGATAATTAAAACTTAATTTAGAATAATATACGGTTTTGTCACTCTACAGAGTGTCTTAAACTTATGGTAAAAAATACCTTTTTGTTTAAACCTGTATATTATAAACGTACGTGTATTTTTTAGTAATATTTAAAATGTGAGCGATTCTCCATTAATGTATCTACAATATTCTTTAATATTTGTTTAAATCCGAAATCAAATAAAAAAGTTATTTGCGATTGAAATTCATCGAAAATTTGTGTGGATCGATTATTTTGCCTGTGAGTGTATAAAATTAAGGTACAAAATATTTTTTTATTATTGCTATTTTGAATCCGAAACCTGGCATTTGGAATCATAATTTCAAGAGAATCATAGTTGGCTTCTCATGGCTGACGTCAACGAAACAAAAGACGACACAGGTTCATTTCCTTTACTTTTCAACCAACGGCCACTGCGAATTTCAATGACCCGTTTCCGGGCCTCTTTCAAAAGCATTTAAAATTTATTATAATTAAGAAATACGGAAAACAACAACAAGTGTTTTTGACGAGGGTATCACCAGGTATATTTTTCGGAAATAGGAGTGATGTCATGTGCTTTGAAAAAACCGAAATGGGTTGCCATTAAAAAGTTTTAGATGAAATAAGATTTTTTTTTTGTACTATATAGTAAATGGTTTGTTCAAAGTTCTTAAAATGTATTTAATAATAAAGATAAAAACTTTGATATGCCTAAATATTCGTGAGAAGTCTGTTCCAAAATACTTTGGTTAGGTACTTGAAAAAACATTAAACTCAAGACTCAATCACACGTTTGTTAAACCACTTGTGCCTAATGCAATGTAAAAACAACGAAGAAATTTGAA